AAACCACTGAACAGCTACCTCACTCTACTGTGTAGAAACTACCGTACCTAGTGTAGAAGGTGATTTAGTAGAGGTTATAAAGCCAAAAAAGGCGTAAGAGGCGTACATACTAGGGCACGCCTAGGAGCGTTAAGCATTGCACCTTGCCGCAAAAGGGTGCCCGCGATGGCTTGAAGCCTACTTTGGAGTGAGTGACTACCAAGTGGAGAGAGCGCAGCGGGCAAGCGCCCAGATCTTAGTCCAGGGCAAATTCTCAAAATCAAAATGGACTCCAAAACAAGCGTTTGACCACAAATTTCAGCCCATTTTCACAATTCCCACCCCCATTTCGACACCCCGTTTCTGCGCTATTACGCGGCCTGGCCATTCCACCTGAAGCGAGAGAAACAAAGCAGCCAGTCGGCCCCTGCTACAGTAGCATCAAACACACAAACTCCAGATACACCAAAAAAATAAAATGCCAGGCAAGACGTACATTGTCGAGCACCTCGACCCCGAGCTGGGCCCCTGGTCCGAACTCGAGTACATCGCCATCGCCAGAGAAACCCACGCCGCCGAGGGCACCTTTCTCCTCTCCTCCCTGCCCGCCGGCTTCGTCGCACCCGGAAAGCTGCAGCAGGTCCCGGCCTTCAAGGCCGAGAACCGGGGCGTCGAGGAGCTCTACGCCGCCGACAAGTCCCGCGTGTGTCTGCTCGACCCCTCCGCCGCCAGCGACCTGAGCCCCGAGGACGGTGAAAAATTCGACGCCTTCCTTTTTGGTGGTATTTTGGGTATGTGGCCCTGGTGCAAGTTAATGCTATTATACATTGAACTTTTGCTGATTATCCTTCTTCTCTCTAGGTGATGATCCCCCAAGAGGTAAACTACTCTTTTCACACCAGACCTTTGGTCACATGAATGTTCCCCCCTTCTCACTGACCCCTGTAGACCGCACCTCCGAGTTGAGGAAGAAGGGTTTCGAAGGCAGACGCCTGGGTCCCACACAGATGACGACTGACACGGCAGTCCGCGTCACGAGAATCGTCGTCGAGGAGAAGAGTACGTGCAAACGACCCCCGTCCCCGGTATCGCATAATTCAGTGAGATGCTCACAATTAATAGCACCACTGGATAAGATTCCTTACGTGACATACCCCGAGCTCAAGTTCAGTGAGCACGAGAGCACCGAGATGCCCTTCAAGTACGTCACGGACAAGGACGGCCAGCCCATTATGCCAGAGGTAAGTTTTTCTCACTTTTTGCTTTCTTTCTCATGTTCCCCTGTGCATATTACATGAGATTTGAAATGAACGAGTCTGACATCTTTCTAGGGCATGGTTGACCTCATCAAGAAGGACGCCGATAAGGCGATTGATGACCTCTTTTAAGATACCACTTCCAATTGATCTTCAATGACCGTCATGAAAATTTTGCGTCCCGCGTTTGCGCCTCTTTACTAGACCCTCAGACCTTGGCTATGCTTCAACTCTCACTCACTCACAAAGGCTGGCCGGCATTGACCCGATATCTCAGATCGGTCGCGGCGAGCCTATCTCGCAACGTAGGATCCAGAATCTCGGGCAGCTTGCCGGATCCCGGACGGACGGCCCGGCCGGGCTACACTCGATTTGACCCCGCACAAGAGATCGGCCGTCACCCTCTTCGACTCCGAGGTGAGAGGCTTCATCTGGTTGGCCCATGCCTCGTATCTGGACTGAGCCTCTCGCAACCTGGTACTAGGACTCAGGTCCAGCTAAGCTACCTCACAATTCTCCTGACGTATCTCATATCTACGGGTGAACTCTGCTGTCGCCTTAGTCCTCGCACTCTTGCAATAACCATCCCGCATCGTCCTTATCAATTCGACTTTCCTTTTTCGGCGATTCTAAGCACCTCGAGCTCGGGGTCGTATCCTTGCTCATTGGAGCTTCAATCCCTAATCCGCCATTTCATTAATATCTCGACATCCGCCAATAAACCTCTCTTGCCAAGAAGCTTCCTCACATCCCTCTCCCATACATCGTGACATCTTCCATACCTCATCCCCAGTATATTCACATACCTACCAGCTCACAATAGGCAAACAAACATGTCCCACCCCCAAACAACCTTCCGCCAAACAACCTTCACAGCCCCCTCCCTCCTCCTCACCCGCCGCCTCACCGTCTCCCGCACAACAGTTCACGCCCAACTCGCCCAGCTCCGCGCAAACGGCCAGTACGACTGCTTCAAGCTCGGCTGGCACCCCATCTACGACGATCGCTCGCGCTGGCCCGCGCCCCTGCACCTCTTCTGGGACAGCGACGTTGCGAAATGGATCGAGGGCGCGTGCTACTTCCTCGTGGACGAGTATGATGTAGAAGTCGATGCCGCGGTGCGGGAGCTCGTTGCCATGATTCGCGGCGCGCAGCATGAGGATGGGTACCTTAATGTCCATTTCTCTGTTGTAGAGCCGGGGAAGAGGTGGACGAATGTTCGGGATATGCATGAAATGTAAATCCCATCTCACCTTTACTTACTTACAAAGCACGTGAATGACATGAAGACTCACGAGGTGAACTAGGTACAACGCCGGCCACCTCATCGAAGCAGCCCTAGCACACAGACAATACTACAGAAACGACCTCCTCATGGACCCCATCGAAAAGTACATCTCCCACATCCACCGCCGCTTCGGCCCCGGCAAGGACCAAGTGAGAGCCTACCCAGGCCACCCGGAAATCGAGCTGGCCCTCTTACGATGCTACTCGGCAACGGACAACACCGAAGCCTACGACCTCGCGCGCTTCTTCCTCGAGGAGCGCGGGAACCCGACGGGCCAGGACGGAAAGCACTACTACGACTGGGAAATGGAGCGGCGCGGCGAGCCGCGCTGGAAACGCCCCAACTCGTGGCCCATGGATAGGTCGTACTGGTACTGCCAGGCTCACGTCCCGATTCTCGAGCAGGAGTCTGTCGAGGGGCATGCTGTTCGGGCGATGTACCTGCTCACCGCGGCCGCCGACCTCTTGAATATCTCTCAGGGGAGCAGCAGCAGCACTGGCGACGTAGTACCAGTTCGACCCGTGACCGCTGCATCAGACTGGCTCGCCGCCCTGCGCCGCCTTTGGTCTAACATGGTTGATAAGAAAATGTACCTCACCGGCGGCGTCGGTGCCGTAGCGCAGTGGGAGGGCTTCGGCATCGACTACTTCCTCCCGCAGGGACCCGACGAGGGGGGCTGCTACGCCGAGACGTGCGCTTCGGTGGGCGTCATGATGCTCGCCGAGCGCCTGCTGCACGCAGATCCGGAGCTCAACGGCCGGTACGCCGACGTCATGGAACTGTGCTTGTATAACAACGTCATGACGGCCATGAGCGCCGACGGTAAAGCTTTTACGTACGAGAACCAGCTTGCGAGCTGCGAGGCCGCGCGGAGCGAGCGGGAGGGTTGGTTTGTGTGTGCTTGTTGCCCGCCGAATGTGACGAGGCTTTTTGGCAGCTTGGGCGGGTATCTCTGGGATTATGGGGGTACAAGTGGTGTTGGGGAGGAGGGAGAGAAGGAGGCGTTTGTGAATGTGCATCTGTATACCAGCGCCGAGGTGAAATTCCCGGTCGGAGAGGCGGAGGTGACGTTTTCGCAAAAGTCCAACTGGCCGTGGGAGGGCAACATTCTCTTCCAGCTCAAGGGCGCAGAGACACTCGACCAAACGATACGACTGCACATCCCAGCCTGGGCGACACAGCACGGCCACGTTCTCACCCCTACGCCGCCCGCGGGAACAGCCACGCTCGAGAAGGGGGGCTACCTCCGCCTAGATCCCTCATACACGGCCTCGAACCCAGTCTTCTCGCTCGATATCGGCGGCGCTAGCTTCGCGCCGCGGTACATTGCGCCGCATCCGTACACCAACCAGCGCACGCTCACCCTGGCGCGAGGTCCGATTGTGTACTGCGTCGAGGACGCTGATCACCCGCGGGAGGAGAACCACTTCAAGGATGTGGGTATCAAGAGGGGAACGGTCGTGGAGGAGGAGTGGAGGGTTGATGAGAAGAGCGGAGAGGGGTATTTCGCGTTGAAGACCATGGGGTGGGAACGGTCGCCTGAGGTTCTCGCGAGGGGCGAGGATGGGGTGGAGAGGGAGCTTGTGTTTGTGCCGTTTTACTTTCGGTCGAATAGAGGTGGGAAGGGGCAGATGAGGGTTGGTTTGAGGGATGATGGGAGGTGAATGGGGGATATCTGTATGGAAGTTGGCAAGTGCAAGATTACCCTCTGAGGATGAGTTTATACGAAGGAAGAGCAGAGTGAACCACGGAGGGTAATGTAGGTATCTCAAAGTGAATAAATGCACCAATCTTAACCGAAAGTGAAGTGAAGTCGGGCTCCCACGTGATGCTCACCCAGGCACAACCCTCACCTCACCTCGCTCCTTCCCACCTCTTCCCTCCTGCCCTCCTTCATCCGAAGAACCTGACCACCACCTTCCTACTCAAGGCGCCTATTCACCTCCTCCTATCACCAGCACCCCCGGTCGATTTGGCCGAGTGGTTTCGACTCTGACGCAGAGTCGCATTAAAACAAATACTCCAATGAGGCCAGTGCTGGTCCGAGGGGCGCGCTGTTCGAATCCGGACAGGGGCGTGAATTGTAAGGTCAGTATCCCCCCTCCCTTCCTTCCTATACTTTTTGATTTTTAGTAAGTGATTCTTCCTTGTTTTGCTCACAGTCAGTCTAACGTTAGATACTTCTATAGTCGAGAATGTCCTTCCACTTCCATTATAACGAACGAAAAAGGTTGCTCACCTTGCCGGCAATTTAATGCTAACGAATGCCTTAGCTTTTGCTCCAGGGACTGCCATATTCAAGCACGATTGTGAACTACCATAAGAGTATCTCTTATGCAGTGATACGGTAGATAAATATAAGATCGTCGAAATCAGATGCAAAAAGTCTACTGGTTGCGTGACGTTTGGAAATACATACTAGTTATCACCTTTAGAACACACTGACCGGCTTGAAAGTATTGAAACGATCTGGTTACGTGGAATGCAATCGAATGGATCTCTGCCGAGTAAGCCGATATGTTGAAAATACTGATTCCCAATATTCATGTCGAATCGTGCTAACAATGATATGAACTATCGTGCTTGTGTCGTATTTACGTCTCTCATCCTATAGATACTAGAGAACTTAGATATCTACGGCTCATCCTCGCCACTAGTGATTCTTCGTCCAGAACCCAAATCACTTCCGATGAGGAGCCAATCGCTCATATCTTGAACCGGAACCCATGCGCCGCCGCCTCTCCCGGCGCAGCATTGATAGCACCCTCGACGTGCTCCCCCCTCTCCAACTTGCGATTCAACCCCACCAACACAAACCTCAACACCGTCGCCGCGCAGATGGCAATAAAGCAAGCAACACAGTTGTGAATGAACGCCGCCGTATACTGCGGGCTATCCTTTGTCGGGTACAAGTAGCTAGCGTAAATACTGCTGCAATTACTAACAGCATTGATAAACGCCAGCGCGGCGGCTCTCTTGGCAGGGGGGCGCGGCAGAGTGTTGCTGATCCAGGCCAGCGCCGTGGTGTAGCCGGTGTACACACCGGGAACGAGAAGCATCATGGCGACGTAGCGCGGGGCGGTCCCGTGGGTGGCGGCGCCGAGGATGAAGGCCGCCATGGCGACGCAGAGGGGCACGACGATGTGGAAGTAGCGCTCGCCCGTGCGGTCGGCGTGCCAGGCGTTGATGCAGGTCGTGATGACGCAGAGGACGTAGGGCGGGCATGTTAGGAGGAGGGAGATGACTCTGTTGTAGCCGAGGGTCTGGACGACGGTGGGGAAGAAGTTTGTAATGGAGGCCGAGGCAACGATGCAGAAGATGAGGACCAGCTGAGATGAGGTGTGTTAGTCTATGAACGAGAGGGCAAACGAGAGAGGAGGGAAGTATGGCCTTACCAGAATCCACGTCTTGACATCCTCCAACGCCGTCTTGAACCCATGCCAAAACGTCTGCTCCCCGCTATTCTTCCAATCATCCTCGCCAATGTCCTCCTCCAACCTCCAGACCGCGAGCGCCGTCTCCTCCTCAGTCAACCACGACGTCGTCCTCGGGAAATTGGGCAGCACGAAGAACGCCGCAAACGCAATCGCGACAGTCACGACGCCCTCGATGAGGAACAGCCACTGCCAGGCGCCGAGCCCGCGCGCGCCGTCCATGTTGCCCGTGATACCCGCCGAGATGAGCCCCGAAAAGGCGCCCGAGATGAGGGAGCCCGTGTAGAGGATCGTCGTGCGCAGGCCGAGCTCCTCGCGCGTGTACCAGCAGGAAAGGTAGTAGAGGCAGCCCGGGAAGTAGGCCGCCTCGACGAAGCCGAGGACGAAGCGGATCACGAGGAGGCCTGCGTAGTTGCGGCACGCGGCTGTTGTGGCGGAGATGACGCCCCAGATGACCATCTATGATTTAGTCTTGTTAGTAGTCTGTGACTGGACATTTCTTTTGTGAAGGTAGGTTGCTAGGACGGATGGAAGTGAGTTTTTTCAACTTACACATGTTGGCAGGTATAGCGCAGGCTTTCCAATCTTATTGAGAAACAGGTTCGAAGGAACCTGCATGAGAAGATACCCAACAAACAAGATACTCACAGCCGTCTGGAACTGGTTCGAATTGGGATCGAGGTTGAGATCCCGCTCCAAACCCGCCAGACGCGCCGCGGCGATGTTGTTCCTGTCAATGTAGTTTCTTTTTCAAACCCCAACAGGTCAGCAACTACTCTCTCTCGGTCACGGCCCCTCATAGCAATATCATTCTTGCGACCAAAGTTACTAGGACCAGAAAATTCCCCTTGTTGAACTCACAAGATATACATGATGACAATCATGGGCAGCAAGCGAATATCCACCTTGCGCTTCAGCTTCTTCTCGAGGTCGACGCGGTACTCGTGCGACATGGCCGCGACGATGGGCGGCGGCTGCAGCCCGCGCCGCTCAGCGGCTTCGATGGAGAGCTTGGGCGGCGCATCTTCCAGGTTGCCGGCGCCGGCGCCGACGCAGTGCTCGTGGTGTAGCGAGGCGTGGTCCACCTCGGACTGCTTCCCGTCTGCCATGTTTGGTTCCCACCAGTCGTCGTGAAGTTTGGGGGGGGGGGGCTTCCTCAGAGATAAATTTGTTGATTGGGATGCCGAGTCGGGGGGTTTGTCAGCCCTCGTGGGAACTCTTCGTCTCACTCCGACTCGCTGGCGATTGAGTATGTGTGTGACAATTGCTTCTTTCGTTTTTCCAAAGGAGGCAATCTTCGACTCAATCATGAAGCGGACAAGCTTCTTTTTAACTCCGCACATACCCCAGATATGGCACATGGCTTCCCGCAACGGAAAAGGGAAAAGAGTGGCATGCATGCATGGGTGGTTTCGTCCCAGCTTTTCCCCCAAGTCGGGATCATCACCGTTGACTGCCACCCCCCCTCTGGGTAATGGGGTTACATATTCCCAGCCATTCACAGTTGAGATTGAGGGGGAAGTGCTGATTCTTGACTGGAGTGATGAAGATCTCCCCACTAGCTCTTCATTCATGTCCCTTCCTCCGCATCTCCAAAGCAGCCCCCCCGCGGCGATAGTCGATATCGGTCCGATCATTCCTGACTACTTAGCCTCCTCGGTCTGAACTCGGAAGCCAAACCAGTGCTCTTGGAACATTCAAAGAATCATCGAAAATATGCCCATTAAGAAAATCCGTCACGAGAAAACTAGGTAAGAACAGTCGAGAAAACCTACACATAAAGCTGCATTGGTATCTTCTTCCCAACCACTCGGCATCGATCACTAATTACTTTTTTCCTCATCAACCTATCAAACCACACGAGATCATACGAATAATACCAGCCAAGACTTCGTTCTTTCGTTCTCGCGTTCGGAGAACAAGTCCAGAAACAGAAAAGCACCAACAAGTGCCCGGCTTTTAAGCTTGGATTGTAAACAGCTTGTTCGTCCTTCTCTTGCCCCCCCCCCCCCCCCCAGGAAATCCCCACATACGGAAAAGCGTCACGTATCCATTCCATGACCAACCCAAAATCCGGGGTTGGAGGCAAATTGGTGCGGGGGAAACTAGAATCGAAGACGAATGACCGGGGTCGGGGTCGGGGGGCGCGAGATGTGTCGAACGATTGCGGTGAAGGAGGGGGTTAGCACCTGAGTGAAAGGTCAAGTTCGGGGCGATGACGGCACCCGGTGACTGACAGCTTGGGTGCTGTGCCGCATGGGAAACGGGGAAGCTTGATCTTTGCTCGCTCGACCCAATCACGCCAATGTCGCCAATCATTGAACCGATTTACCCACGCAGGCCACGCGAGCCACGGAACCGATAACTTGGCAAAATAAAAAAGGCCATGGGAATATCGTATGCGGAAAACCAATGACGAAACAGCTTCTACATCTTTCTATTTCATGATTGGACCGGCTGTGCGCGCACATTGAGACATTCAACTAAAGCCGGCACATGGCCGGCACGGCACCGAGCGGAGAAACAGTGTTCCCCACAAAAGACCAAGGAGATGTGCCCCACTCACCGGCTCGGCACTTTCTCAAGATGGAAGGGACCAAGCTTTCGGCCCAGACTTGCGGCTCCGCGGCTCCGGACGACCGGCGGCGGCGGTCAAACAGCACCGGATGGAACTAGGGGTACCGGGCCGACGTTTCAGTCACAGCAACAGAATTGAGAAAAACAATCGTTCACCGTATTGATTGTTGCAATTGGAGAGTATTCATGGGGTTGCAACCTTTGTATTATTGATTATATATACAAGCTAGGAAAAAGGATGTACAAAACAATTACTGTGTAACCAAAAATTCCCGGATTAAGAGATAGAGAGCTGACATAGGAGAACATTTCATGACGTTATTTGTCGTTTGCATGTGCAAGAGTGTTGAAGTGTGTGTGTGCAGTGGATGACGGAGATGGGTGGTGTAACTTAGACACCAGAGTCCTCCTGGTGAACAGAGTCCTCCTCGGCATAGGTGCGCCAGTTGGCGCAGGTGCTGTTGATGGTATCCTCGTTGGTGATGGCCGCGATCTCAGTGGGACGCTCAATGAGCTGGAGCGCGAAGCCGAGGGAAGTGTGCCAGCCAATCTGTGACAATGTCAGTACATGGAAGGAATAAGCAGTGGATCGATTGTGGTAAGACTCACGTGGCAGTGCATCAGCCAGACACCTGGGTTGTCAGTGTAGAAGCCGATGACGAGGTATCCGGAGCCGGGAAGCATGGCGACGTCGCGGCGGGGCGCGTTGACGGTCTGCAGCGCGACGGAGGAGTCGTAGGTGCCCGTGGCCTGGGCGAGGACCCAGAAGTCGTGGCCGTGGAGATGGATGGGGTGGGCGAGGCCGATGGGGTTCTGGATGATGAAGTGGACCCAGACGTTGGCCTGGTCGAGGTGGACGATATTCTGCTGGGTAGAGTAGGTGTCGTTGCCTCCAAGGACCTGTTCAACGGCTGTTTTGCAATGTTAGTGTCATGTTGCTAATGTTGTCGCACATCTGTGGAAGGGAAGTCTTACTAGGATAGTCCCAGTCGGAGAGGAAGGTGCTGTTGTTCAGAGTCCACTTGAACTGGCTGCTGACGGTCTGGAGACCAACAGTGAGGGTATCATCGTAGGTCTGTTGGCCGGCCTCGAGAGCGACAACGGGAACGAGGTTGGACATGCTCTCGTCGTTGCAGTCGTCCATGTAGGTGTGCGCCTCGGAGGTGGGATCTGCGGTGGAGGTAGCATCATAGCGGATAATGCCCTTGATGTCGAGCGTGTTCTCGTTCTCACTGCAGGTGAGCTGGGGGATGGCGCGGAGCCAGTAGTCGCCGGAGCTCTCGCTGGCGCGGACGATAACGTCGTAGCGCTGGCCGATACCGAGGGAGACGGAAGTGGCGTTGTAGGGGTTAATGGGGACAAAGTCGGCCGAGATGACCTCGAGGGTGTGGTTGTCAATCATGAACTTCCACATGGTGTCGATGGCGGCATTGACGAAGCGCATGCGGTAGGACTTGCCGGCCTCGAAGGCTGCGGTGAAGCGGGAGCCGCCGCCATCGTACATGCCAGTGCCGTTGATGAGACCGGTCTGGGCGCCGGGCGGGCCGCCGCTGGCGGCTCCGGGGTAGAGCTCGTCGGTGGTGCGGTGGAACCAGTCGCTCAGGACGATTGTACCGAGGTCCTCGTCGTAGGGAGCTGAAGCGGGACCGCGGATGAGCATGGCGCCAAAAACGCCGTTCCTAAGGTTGATTAGACTTGTGAGATATGAGGTCTGTGAGATTGGTCTTACCAGGCCTGAAGAGCAAAATGGCTGTGGTACCAGGACGTGCCGTACTGGGATGCGTGCCAGGTGTAGGTGATGCTGTCGCCGGGAGCAGTAGGGCATTGGGTAATAGAAGCAACGCCATCGGCCTCGTTGGTGTAGTTCTGGCGGATACCGTGGAAGTGAATGCTGGTGCCGTTGTTCTGGAGAGAGTTCTTGACGTGGACCACTGAGATGGGGTTGTCAGCAGACTCGAAGCTTGCAAATCCTTCTCGATATCAGGATCAACTTACCAACAGTGTCACCCCAGTCAGCAATGATGGTAGGTCCAGGAACAGTTCCGTTGATGGAAAGAACCATGCGCTCGACGCCGTCAGGAGCCATGGTGGTGTTGGTGACCTCGAACCAGTACTCGCGGATGACGCCCGTGTTGGGAGCCTCCTCGTACCAGTTGGTCGTGAGATCGTGAGTGCCATCCCAGCAAGAAGGGTTGAGAGCAGAGTCAAAGACGCAGTCTTGACGCTTTTCGAGTGTGCTCGGGGCAACAGACGAAGGGGCGCCTGAGATCAAGGCAGGGAACAGGAGCGCGAAGCATCCCAAAAGTGAGCGTTTATACATGGCGGGAAGACGATGTACTACAGAACGAATGTAGAAAGAAACGATTGAAAGTTTGATAATCAACGAGTGATTGTGAGAAACTGCCTCAAAAACGAATGAAGGCAAGATGCTGATGGAAGGAAGACCGAAGCTTGAAGAAGCGAGTGATGGTGGGTGAGATAACTTTTCCTTCAGAGACGGGCAGACTTGCCTCGTCTTATAGAAATCGAACACGAGCTTTCGAGTCCATTGCGAACAGACAGGCTGGACGAATAGAGGGTCTCTCTCGCCAAGTTCGACGCCGTCTTGGCTAGAGCAAGATACCCCGAATGTGAATCACTGAATTCGCAATCCCAACTTGCAGCGCTCCCTTCGATGTTGCGCTCTGAGGGCCTACTTCGGTGCCAGAGGCCGACCACCCCTGACTCGAAGAGACGGCGTGCCCACATCCACATGGGAGGCACATCGCTCGTTCGACGAGGTAGGCTTGGTGAGATGTGAAGGAGGAGTGTCCTCGGTTACTCGGCCGCTTGGCCGTGACATCGGCTCCGGTGGACGAACTTCATGCTTGGCTGGCAACTATCGAACATTGTGCCTATACGAGGAATCAATACCCATGTCGAAAATCGACGTTGAGAGAAAAGGAGGGTCTCCTGTCAGTCACAAAGACCCATGCCACGCTCACTTTCTCGCTTTCTGCTGCCGAAAACCATCGTCGGGTGTTGTTTCCCTTATTCCGGTGGGCCACTTTAACGAACCCCCCCTCCCCTCCCCTGAGCCCAGTTCGATATGGATGTCATACATGGATCATGTAAGCCTGCATATAGGCGTCATTCCGGTGAACATGTGCGTTGAGAATTTGCGGCCTTGTCAAAGGAGGCAGGGCAAAAAACGGTCTCCATATTCTTGGCCCGTCATGCCCTCGTCTGAAGTTCAGGCGGCTAAGCAAGTAAGACACCGGTGAGGGTGGGAACAGGATGGAGATTCGTCGTTGATCGCCAAGTCCGTCCACATGCTTGGTCGATTCAGAGTCAAGTTCGTCTACGACTCTCTCTCTGGTCAGTTTCTTCTTTCCCCATCAAAAGAGGTGCTCGAAACTGGCTGACGCGTATCTGTAGCCCGTACAGGCTACAGCAGACAGGCAGGACTATCGAAACCGTGCTTGTGTGGCTGCATTAGCCCCGCGGCTACGGGTACAGAGTGCCATCAGGCCCGAACCCCGTGCGCCGTTGTTTCTTCTGCAATGAATACTGAGTACACTCCGAACGAAGCGAACGAGACATGGAATGACATTGACGTCTTCCATGTCCGTGGGTAGTGTTGCTCGACGGCGACAGGACCGGAGAGATGTCCTTGAGATGAACCATGCCTATTTGGGCATCATGGTTTGACTAATAAGGATCCCCATTACTAAAACCCTAGAGTCTATGACCCTCATTGTGCCCGAACTAGATGAAGGAGAAGGGGGATATTCCCACCTTGGCTGCCCAATAAGATAGAACCGAATGCCAAGCATTACGCGGGAAAGCCGTTGGCGGTTAGCGTAATAGGTTGGATGGAAACATTGACGGTGAGAAAGCTCTAATCGGGCCAGTAGTAAGATACGATGGGATATAGCAGAAGGGCGCAAAAAATGCTGTTGAACCGTTCAACGTCCAAATCTGTGGCGTTGCTCCGCTGCGTATGGGCGGACGAGCAGACGCGTCTTGGCAAGGGTATCCCATCCTTTAAGCCGCCGGGGCCCCACTGTGGCCGCGGTCAACGTCATCCAATGCAACGGCGTCAAAACGAAAACTGTTCGATATGGCATGGGAGCGTCAAAAACGGACAAGGGAAGTAGAATGTGGGGTGGGGGGTCAGGGTGATATGGAGAAGAGTTGAGCCAACATGGCTAGTTCCCAAGTAGCCAAGACGAAGACTCCTGTTCTGGATGGAGTCTACCCAAACGAGGTTACAGCATTGCTGGAACACACGGAGACAAGAAATAATCGTAAAACAATAAAGATTCGGTGACCGATGTCGTTTGTAACTATGTTGAGCCTCTGACTCGGAAAAAGCAACGTCAAGCCTCCAACGGCGGTGGAAATTGTTTGATGCTTGCAGGTCCTACCGTCCTAGCTGCATCTCGTCTGCTTCCCCCGCGCAAAGCTGTCTTTGAGACACGCTTGCTGGGAGTTCTCGGACTCAGTGCAACGGTAACGCCGCATGTTTTTTTTCCAGTCCCACGTGTATTGAGTGACGCTCACTGCGTTGAAAGCCCCCTATCGTGGGGTTAAGTGTCATTGACAGTGGCGGACGTTGGCTGATCAGGGGAAACACATCGTGAAGATTCGGGACAAGAGACGACAGGAGAGGCCCGAGAGTTGACGAAGTACGAACATGGGACGGCAAGAGCAAAACCTGGTTCCGAATGCAGGATCACCCGCAGGATCTCGATTATCGATGGCGCGGGAGGGGCTGTTGCGAACCACGGAGTACCTAAAATCAGTCATCAAGCAGCTTTCAAGGCAGGAATTGCAGCTTAGAACCGAGAGCGAGCGCTTCTCGTGTGCCGGATCAGCACGACTCTTTTCCTCTTGGTAATTAGACTCTGAATTCAATCTCGTTATCATCTTGCAAGCGCGCAAAGTATGCTTGACTAGAAGAAGCTCCCGTCAAGTCTCCGTAGCGGGCTCAGGCGCCATTCGCGGGAAGCACCATCGGACTGCGATTGCGTACGTAGTCCCTGGCTCCCTGCGGGGGCCAGGGGAGTATCAATGGTCAGTAGGCACGCAAAGAGCAGGGGGGTTAGGTAGACCCAAGACAGGAGAGGGGCGGCCGGCCGTTAGTGATGGAGAAATAGGTATGGAGACAGCGACAGAGGGAGAGAGAGACGGACGAGAGACACCTGACGCAGGTGAGATGCTAGCCTCGTGTAGGTTGGCAGGATCCAATATGCAAGTAAGAAGAGCAAGAAGACGGAGCAGTGCCTCGATAGCTATACACCCTTGTCTTGGAGTCCTGTCGAGCAAGGAGGAGGTGGGTTTTGGCGGCGTTGACAGGGCACGAGAGCACGAGGGAGGCCCATGTACCTGTCAAAGATGTCGGCCGGCGATATTTGCTGTTGGGTTTGTGGATACGTGTATCTGAAGCAGGGGTGTATGATGGGTGGTTGAAGATGGGAAGGTGGAGTATCGATGTATGGAGGAGAAGGAGGAACTGTGGACAATGGCAAAAAAAAACATCGCAAAGTGCCAATGGCAAGAAGCTCGCCTCCGAGACTCCCCCCGTCACCCGTTGCCCCCCTTCACCCTTCCCCCTTCGGGCCCTTCCCCTTCCCAAATCCCAAGTCTGCTCTCTCAGCGATGGATGCCCCCCCTGCTTGGCCGCGCAAGCCTCATCTCTGGATGCTACCTCTTTTAGAACCCACCAACGTGGCCCCCGCAAGGGTGCGTTAGCGGACAGTGCACAGCGCTAGACAAATGCCGCTTCCCGCATTGCATGGCACTAATACCGGAATGTCTTAGCTCACCGGGGCCAGGGGCTACCCTGAGCCGCCATTTCGACGACGACGACGACGACCACCACCACCACCACCACAACCACGAACTGCAACTTCCTCCCAGCCTAAACCTCGTCCGCCCATTACTCCAGTGTCGCGGGAAACAACCCGCGGGTTTCCCAGTGCAACGACGACATCGCCGCTTGGAAACTTCACCTCATCGATGGAACGACACTCTGCTATCTTCCATGACCCAGCCATCTATCTACAACCAGAGAACAGATCATGGCTTCACTAAGTAACATCAACCCGTGGATAATAACTTACCGTCATCTGGAGATCCGCCGCCATCGCCGAATCCCCCTTTTTGTTCGTCTCCCATGGCCAGAATAGGCAATTAAGTCTTGGCATTTCCAACTTCTCCATCACGGTGCTGCCGAAGTCGCTCGCATCAAATTTCGCCTCTGCCCCTCTATACCCCCCTTCGAGATAACCTTCTCCCAAAGGTGGGCTCGATGGGCCATCACCCGCCGTTCGTTGGTATGTACTTTGTCGGTTGCTCCCGAAATCCCTCCATGGGGGGGATTGCGAGCTCCCAAAAAGCAATAGTGTATATGCTTAATCCTTAGACTCTCTGGCTTGCCTGCCGTTCTTTCGAGGTTCATGCCGAACCTGAACACGTCCGATCCACTGATATGATAGTATCTGATCTCTAACCCAGGAGTATAGGTCACATGCCAGCTACATAGCGGCTGACTTGCCCTGTTCGAACGAGAATAGCGAATGATTGGTACATCAGCAGAGCTCGGGGAGTCTATGGGCCAATATTTCATCTCCCGAACGAAAGGCGTCCCAGCGCCTACTACCTACACGAAGTATCCGTACTGCATTTGTGGTAGGACCCGTCGAATACGGTCTAGACGCAATGCATACGATCACTTGCTTTCACCGCCGTTCCCCCTGGATCGAATACTATGCTCCTGACTCTTGACACGCCCGCAACTCGTCTACCTGCAGCTGTCCATCTAAGCAACCTCTTGGGTTTCTCCATCACAATATCGCCATGCGAAGCGGTCACTATCACAGGAAAGTCAGGTCCACAAGCAAAATTTTCGTCTGCAATCATCACGGCTTTCGGTCGTTAACAGTCTTGGTCCGTGTGTTCCGGTCACAGCCACCGACTTGGCCGACTCTCGGCCTCGGGCATGATCGTTCACCGAGACATCCCGCCCCGTACTCCACGGTCTTGGCACAACTGCACCCCGCTTGCTCTATGCTTTTTTTTCTTTTTCTAAGTTTGACTTTACGGGAGCATCCGCACGAGCCGCACGAGCCGCACGAGCCGCACGAGTCTAATACGAAGAGCTGAAAACCGACGATATTGCGCTTTTTCCTGCCCTTCGTAAGCGGCCTGGGTGCTAGACAACTGCGTCTGCGAGAGTTACAAGATGCCCGTAGTAGCACGAGCCACTTGAGCTGACGACTTCTCCATCCGACCCTTCTGCTTTGCATCGAAGTTGGCGACAGGGAATGTAGCACGCTGGCGCTAGAAGGCTAGAAGAAGTCACATTCAATATCACAAAGACGGATTCAGTCACTTTTCCGATGTGCCGATGTAGAGAGGGAGCGAGGCCTTGCGCTAGCATCTGAGTCAAGGATCGGACGGCAAAGTTGAATTGGACAATCCTCCCAAAACACCAAAGCTCGAAAATCCACAAAAAAAAACGCGCTTCTGAAGTGTCGACTGCCACCTCCAATTTGCCACCGACCTCGTTTCTTGGTTTGGATGATACTTCGGTCTTGCCCCGCTATCGTCGGTTGTCAAAGCTGGATAGGCGAATCATTGGAAGACCCCTCTTACCCTCCGCCGTTCCCGCCATGCGGACAACCTTTTTTCTGCCAAGAGACGCAGGAACTCACACCGGAAACTGACAGCTGATAGTATCTCACGATAGCAACTCACTGGCTACTTCTCCCAAACAAGGTTGACTATCCGGTGTGTACACGCGTCCATACGTCCAGGGCAAAGCTCGATATTCAATATGCTTCTTGAGGGTGGGGGGTCAGCTGAAGAGGGACGGGTGGAGGGGTGCTGACGATGATCCGGACCAGGCCGAAGGGAATAGACTTACACGGCGCTCTCGGCCTCACGGGATGGCGGGACCGCCCGCAAGAGCTCTTGGCAGGGGATAGTATGCATCTTGAAAGTTGCTCAATTTCGACATCGCGATGGTCGATCACCAAAAGCTGAAGGTTTCAAGGCGGTGCTATCTTGCATCATCCTCCCCCTCCACCACCCCCTCGCGTTCATTCCACTTGCGGAGACTCGCAGGCGTCATAACAAGATTTGGATGTACGCGTTTTCGGGGCGTGGCTCTTCATCCAAGGCTAAGCGGGCCGAGTAGATACCCATATCCGTATCCGTACGCCACACCTTTTATTGTCCCTCCCTTGTAAGTCCAGACATGAATATGACATGTGGCAGGCAGCCCTGATTCCAAAACAATGGTCAAATGAAAACAGATGAAAACCGAGAAGGGGTTACATATTTCCGCTGCAGACTTCTGGAGGGGCGTCAGCTTACAGACTGCAGACAACAGCGTTAAGACGAAGATAGTCCAGGGACAAGGGAGAGAGGTATACGTCTGACTCGGTTCTTCACGGCAGTGCCTGCAGGTATGCTTGCAGCTTGACCTGGATATACCAAATCCACAAGGCAAGGGTAAGAAGGCAGGCATAGATTGCCTTACACGATGACAAGCTGGGAAATACGTTTCAAGCGGTCCAATGGGGATATGTTGAGCCAGGGTTTCAACAACGGACTCCGGCGCCATGGGCAGAAAAGTTGACGACTTCTAGCTCTTTGGAAATCGCAACCCCTCCATGTTGACTCGGTTCTGTTTGCCTATCTGCCAGACTACCATGGTCCTCGCGTAAATGCTCGCAGGATACTCCACTATGGCAATGCGAACAGACTCGAGAGGGCAGAAAAACTTCCAAGTAGTCCGCAGATAGGCAACGGGACCTGAATAGGGAATCCTTCTCCGATGTCAAACCGGGGGGGGGGGGGCGGGGGGCGACACGGAGTACAGGTCATGTAATATGCAACATGCAGAAGCACCGAATTATCGGTTTTCTTGTGTGTCCGCATGACTATCCGTACCTCTCACAACCCGTCCCCCATGCCAGGCTGCAGCCTGGATAACCGAAAAACAAAAGAAACTGACAGAAACACCCCATGCTTCGCTTGACGCTCAGAAACTAGCTAAGGCAACTCTCCATGCGGGTAACAAGCTAACGATAGAGTCTTGTTGATCCAGAAAGCCTTGTTATCCAGAACCCTTGAATAGAAAACAAGCATTTTTTTGCCTTCTCGGCCATGGGCGGCAGCAACCGAGGGTTCCTAGTGTTGGGAGGGGACGCGTACGTAGTTTAAATGAGCTGAGAAGAGCACAAGACCCCCATCCAACGATAACAACCGAATCATCCGTAAACGAGGGACCAGTCAGAGTTGACTCTGCAAGGCTTTATTGGAACTTGGCAAGTGTTTGTCGGCTTTTGAGGGTTTTCATTGCCTAGGATTTACGAGATCTTGGGAATTGGCCAACCGAGGCCGCATCTTCATTGAGGCAGTGAGGCCCAACTTTGGCACACACACACTACCTTAACTCAGCTCACGCAGACACACTCTATCTCTCTTCCCCCCTACAATTCTCACCTCCAAAGCGCCTACGTGCCTCAGAGAAGCGTCAAACATAAGCAGCCGGTGGGGTGACAGGCGCTTAAACTTGAGCGTACTTACCGCCAAAAAAGGGCAGAGAAAAGAGAATGAGAGGAAGAAAGAGAGGAAAGTTGGAGAGATAACGTTATGGAACCGGCGGTCAAGGACTCAACGGACGTCGTTTACTGAAACCCACATCCCGGGACTTTGTGCTCGCGGACCGCCCTTCCCCCGGGGAAAAAAATTAAGCACTGCCTCGGGGGGAACTGGGGTCGTGCCGCGTTGCGTGCAGAACAACAAGGAGGAGTTTAAAACAAGCACTTTTACCCAACCGACCTTCTTTAAATGGACTAAACATCTTCGTCACTGGATCTAAGTTTCTTGTTTTCCATTGTCTTCTTGGTTTGAAGGAAAGATCGTCAGGAACTTGGAAAGGGGAAGGGGGAGGGGGAGGGGGAGGGGAGTGGGAAATCCTCGCTAGCGGGCCGTTCGGGCTGGCGGGGGGGGTGGGGGACGGGCGGGGATTTGGCCCCACAATCCGGAAGGCGCGCCCTCCGTGTCCGGATCATTGTTCAGGATGTCGCGGAAGTCCTCGATGGAGAGGGAAGATAAAGAGGGCAGAAAAGATGCGGCAGCTGGGCATCTTGGTTACGAGGTGTCTGTAGCACAATCATGAGTTTCACATGCAAAGAAGAGAGTTGTGTGCTTTCCATGGATTTTAGATCAAGGTGAAGAGAGAAAAAATAGGCAAAAATTCGCGCAGGACGCTAGGAACGCGGGGCGGGAAACCCACAATCCGGATCCCGGCCACTGTCCCCCCCATTCTGAGATTTGCATCCGCCGTGCAAAGACGGGGAGGAACACCAATGCTCTTTGTGAATCGAGACCATCTAGATAGTCATCTGAACAAGGTTCGATAGTTTCGATGGCGGTTGTCGCATTGAAATCTATCGTTTTAGCTGATGCAACACCAGAGACGTTTCTCGCGGGGGCATCGTGACCTCACTCGGCCGAGACATTGCCCCAAGCATGAGGAAACTTCACGAGAACCCACATCCCGCATAACGTTAGCGGACTCAAACCGGAAATATCACGCAACAAAGTCCGACGGGCGATTCACGGAATAGCCAATTTTCAGAACTTCTCGCCATCCGTCTAAGCCGTGGTGGCTCTTGTCGCTTTTTCATGAAGTAACTCTACAAGCATATCTCAAAGACATTGCATCGTATCAAGTGTAGATTGTAGAAACTCATCAGGCATTTGACATTCAGTCCCAAATACATTAATCATGAAGCGATTAACCATTAGAAAATGGAAATAATCGTCAAGATCATCCAAGACAATCATCAAACCGTCTCCAAAGCGCCTCCCAAGTAACCAAAAATCTCAAGTAAAAACATGCAGTCTAATACCGTTCCCATAAAACACATGGTCCGCGTACACTCATCGTCGTAGAATCATTACACACATCCCCAGTCATTAGTTGAAGAGACGCTTGAACACGCCCTTGATACCCTTTGACTTCTCCTTCTCCTTGTCCTTGTCTCTCTCCCTCTCCCTTTCTCTGTCTCTAACCTTCTCGCCATCTCGCTCCCTCCTCCTCTCTTGGCGCCGATGGTCATCCGAGTGCTTTGATCTCGGTTTGTCGGCCGCCTCAGCTCTCTCGGCTCTCTCAGTCCTCTCGGCTCTCTCAGTCCTCTCAGCTCTCTCGGCCCTCTCAGCCCTTGCGGCAGCCCGTTCGGCCTTCTCAGCAGCCCTGCGAGCTTCTTCGGCAACACCTTCGCGGGCCTTTTGCAACTTGGCAACGCCGCCGCCTTCAGATCTGTCTCTGTGTCTGGGCTTCTCCCGCGTTGTGCTCGAACGCTTGGGAGTATCGCGAGTGGGAGTAGACTCTTGTCGTCCTGCGTCGTTATCCATTGGAGTATCGTCCTTTGCTGCGGCTGGCGCCGGAGGGTCCTGGGGAGGGAATTTGGTTCCAGTCGAACGTTCACCTCTGACGCTGAAGAATCGCCGAGGCTTCTCTGGGGGAGGCTCGATGGATTCTCTCTTGCTGAGAGTGCGGTGAGGGCGCTGATGCTCTGACGTGCTGTGGCGACGCGAACGATGGCTGCGTTCGGGCGTGTCCTCGGGCTTGGCGATGGTCTCGGGCTCCTTGCCCTTGCGACGCGAACGCTCTCTCTCCTCGTTCTCGCGGTCGACTTCACGTTGGCGTTCGCGCTCGCGTTCCTTCTCGCGTTCCTTCTCGCGATGCCTGTCTTTCTGTCTGTCACGCTCGGCATCGCGCTCGCGCTCCTGCTCTCGAAGCAGTCGTCGTTCCTCCTTGCGTCGATCATGGGCGGCCTGTTCCTCGGGCGTACGTTCACTGCGGTGGTGGCTTCGCTCACTTTTTTCGCTTCTCTCGCTTCTCTCGGTCCTCTCGCTGCGTTCGCTTCTCCCACTCCGCTCGCTACGTTCGCTGCGATGGCGGTGCGAATGAGTCTGGGGGCTCTCGGAGAAACCGCTATCTTGTCTCTTGGGAGGACCTGGTGGAGTTCGGGGCACAGATTCGCCGGATCGAATAGATCGCTCGCTGTCGGTTCGGTGTCGTCGACTACTTGAGTGATGAGACGTGTGCGAGTGACGTCTGCTACTCTCGTGGTCTCTGCTCTCGTCTTCGCCTCGACTACGGCTGGAGAATGATGAAGGATGGTGGGTTGAGGAGTGGCGGCGCCGTCGGTGCCTCTCGCGCTCTGCTTCCTTCTTCTCTGTAAAGTAGTTAGTATCAAACCTGCTAGTTTTATCCGCTCCCGTAGTGGTAGTACTCCTGCGTCTGGAAAGAAGGCCTGGTAGAACCCTCGAGAAAAAGGCCTTTTTCGGTTTGATCTTCGTTTGCTGCTCCCAGCTGGGCATTGCCTTGAGGAGTTGCGAGCTGCTCTGCGATGACGGACTCATCGGGGGACGAAGGGTTTCGGCTGTGGCGTAGATGACCACAGCAGCCGCTATGAGTTCCTCTGCTTGCTTGATGGAGACCTTGCGCTGCCGTCTGAGAGCCCTCGCTCTGTCCTTGGCGGCCGGTGACATGGAAAGCTCAGGAAGAATCACGGCAGGAGTCGAGGGCCGGAGACCCCATACTGAGCTATCGGTTTGCGTTCCACAGTCCGAGAATCCGTCTCGCAGCACGGGGCTGAAGTTGGCGTCCACATCCGAATCCTTTTGGTCCGCCATGGTGATTGTGTCCGGTGCCGGAACGTGCTCCAAAGTCTGGGTCAATTTGTCTGATGAGCTGCGACGTGACATTGCCTCTGCTGTAGTAGAATCGGGAGCGTCCTTAGTTGTAGCATCGTCGTCCGAGGCTTTGACAGCATTGAAAGCAACCAAGCCGGCTGCAGCAGCAACACCGGTGGCGGCAGCTCCCGCGATGAGTGCGTCCTTGTCAATTGACTCATCGTTGTCGGCTGGCTCCGCGTTGTCGTCCGGTGATTGTATAGCTTCTTCGGGCCCATTGGCGTCTGCCTCAGGAGTTGATGCCTCCTCAACTGCGTCGGGCTCTGCAGGGGCGTCTTCAGGAGCGTCATCGGGGTTGACAGGAGCTTCTGAGGCGGGTTCTTCGGAGGCAGCTGGTATTTCTTCGGATGCGTCCTCAGCCTCTATCGTCGTGGCATCCGCGGCCTCAGGAGTAGGCTCTTCTGAAACAGGTTCTTCAGAGGCACCTTCTTCAAGAACGGCTACTTCAGGAGTAGGCTCTTCAGGGGATGGATCTTCGGGAGCTGGCTCTTCAGGAGCAGCTTCTTCGGGAACAGGCTGTTCAGGGACGGTTTCTTCAAGAGCAGGCTCTTCGGAGGCTGCTTCTTCGGGGACGGCTTCTTCGACTTCAGGAGCAGCTGCTTCAGGGGTGGGCTCTTCGGGGGCAACTTCTTCAGGAGCAGCTTCTTCGGGGGTAGGCTCCTCAGGAGAGGGCTCCTCAGAAACGGCATCCTCAGGAGTTACTTCGGCCGCTGCAGAGTCTTCTGGTGTGGCTTCAAGAGTAGCGTCATCCGGAGTCGACTCTTCAGGAGGGGCATCATCCACGACGGGCTCTTCGTAGACAACTTCTGGTACAGGCTCGTCGGCGGGCTCAGCAGGAGTTTCTTGCGTCTCATCTGGCTCCCCTGGTGTGGCTTCTGCTGCCGACTCTTCAGGCACTGGATCCGCTGGAACTTCTTCGGGAGCGGCATCGATCTCTCTTGATGCGTCTTCGACGTGCTCAGGCTCTGCGGGAGAGGTTTCCTCAGGTGCAGCAGCTTCTTCGGGGCTGGCTTCGACGGGTTCGGGCTCTTCAGTTGCTGCCTCGGGAATAGTATCGGTTGAAGGAACGTCCTCAGGAACTGGCTCCTCCACGGCTGACGCTTCTACTGCGGCTTCAGGTTCTTCGGGTGAAGCTTCTTGTGGGGTGAGTTCCTCGGCGATTGCCTCCTCTGGAGGAGGCTCAGCTGAGACGGTCTCGTCGGAGGCAGGTTCGGCTGGAGCTGCCTCTTCTGCGGGGGCTGGTTCATCCGATGCTGGTTCAGTGGGCTCAGCCTCGACTGTGGTGTCTTCGAGGACTGGCTCCTCTGAGGGCTGCTCAGTGGGCATTTCGTCTGCAGTGACTTCCATATTGTCTTGAGCTAGTGGTTCGGTCTCTTCGGTGGAAGGCTCATCGGTGGAATGCTCCTCGGCAGATGGTGGCTCGTCCGAAGGTGGTAAGGCAGCTTCCTCAACAGGCTCTTCCTCGACCGCATCTTGGCTCTCCTGAACCTCAGCGGCGGGCTCTCCCGGGGCATCTCCTTCGCTAGCTTCGGCAGGCGTCGCTGTCTCATTCTCCTCGACAGGTTCCATGGATTCCGGCTCCGGGGCGTCGTTCTCGGCAGGCTCCGTGACGGGTTCCGGTTTGGCATCCTCGGGGTCTTGGCCATCCTGTCCTTCCCGTGCCTCTCCATCGGTGGAATCGGGATTAGGGGAAGGAGGGGAGTTCTCACCTGATTTCTCTGCCTCTCTCGCATCAGAGGCAATTGGTCCCACCGTATCCTTGCTTTCCTCAGCATCCAAAGACCGCGTCTTCTCACCATCTGCTCCTGCCGCCACCGCTGCTCCCGTAGCTACTGCTGCCGCCGCTACCGCAGCCGCTGCGACTTCTGCTGTGTGGTCTTCAGTTTCAGCCGCAGCGGGTGCCTCAACATCTGCCTCAACCAGTGGCTCTGGCTCAGCAGGAGCAGGCTCTTCGACTGGTTCGGCTGTTGGTTCTGGTTCAGCGGCAGCGGCTCCTTCAACTGGCACAGGTTCGGCAGCTGCTTCAGTAGGCGCCTCTGGCTCAATTGGTACTTCAGGCTCAGCTGGTGCTTCCGGCTCAGCTGTTGCAGGCTCCTCGATGGGTGCAGATTCTTCAACAGCTGCTTCTGCAGCCGGTTCTGGCTCCGCGTGCGCCTCTGTCTCAGCAGGAGCAGGCTCTTCAGCAGGAGCAGGCTCTTCAGCAGGAGCAGGCTCTTCGGCCGCTGCAGGCTCCAGGCCCGCTGCGGGTTCCTCAGCCGCCGCGGACTCCTCAGCTGGTGTAGAGTCTTCGGCCGGGGCAGGATCTTCAACAGGTGCTTCGGTAGGCTCTTCAACGGCTGCTTCTGCGGGCGCGTCAGGCTCAGCAGACGCAGGCTCATCAGCAGGCGCAGGTGCAGGTTCCTCAGCAGGTGCAGTCTCCTCAACCGGTTCGGTGACAGCATCTGCTTCGACGGCGTCGGGGGCCTCGGTCTCTTGAGTAGGCTCAGGTTCCGGTGCCGGCGTTTCTTCAACTGCGGCAGCATGACTCGCCTCCGCAACGGCTTCGGCGAGTTCAGGCTCCCTGGTCTCTTCCGAAGTTGGCTCAGTCACCGGGTCCGCCTCCGCCTCTTTGACTTCGGGTGCAGGCTCCGCCTCAGCGGGTTCCTCCACCGCAGCGGGCGGATCGGGTTGGGCCTCCTCAGCCTCCGGAGTGGTCTCTTCGGCGGCAGCATCCTTCGCATCCTCGACAACTTCGGCCTGGGGCTCAGGATCGTTGACTTCTTCTGCTGCAGCAACTTCTTCAGCAGCCGCTTCGGGTTCTTTGGCCTCCTCGGCTGCTGCTGGCGCTTCCGGCTCTGGGGGCGTGTTTGTAACGTCGACAGCTTCTTCGGCCGGAGCAGCATCGGTCGGAGTGGATTCCGGTTCGGGCTCAGGCTCTTTCGAATCAGTCTCAGGAGCAGGATCAGCAACCTCTGCGACAGGTTCCGCATCAGCCGCAGGCTCTTCTTCTTTGACTTTCGCCACTTCGACATCAGCTTCGGGTGCTTCAGCTTCCTCAGCCGTGGGCGCAGGTGCAGGCTCTGGCTCCTCAACCGCTGCCACAGCAGGAGGTTCAGAAACGGGCTCCTGAGCTTCAACAACAGCTTCTGCTTCAGGAGCGGCATCAGGTTCAGCCGTAGCCTCAACCTCGGGTTCCTTGACGTCTGCTTCAGTAACAACATCGGTCTTGGGTTCCGCCTCCTTGAAATCAGGAGCTGGGTCAGCTTCCACAGCGGGCTCAGCAGCAGGGTCAGCAGCAGGGTCAGCAGCAGCAGGCTCAACATCAGCCTCCTTGACCTCTTCAGCCACAGTCTCCGGGATCGGCGCCGCTTCCTCTGAAACGGCCACGACGGGTGTGTCTGCCTCGGGCTCGGGATCTTTGGATTCGGCGGCAGGCTCTGCTTCAGAAACAGCCTCAGCTTCAGCAGCGGGCTCAGCTTCAGCAGCGGGCTCAGCTTCAGCAGCAGGCTCAGCTTTAGCAACAGGCTTGGGCTCCTTTGCCGCTTCGGCAGCAGGGTCGACCTCCTGCGTCTCAGGGGAAGCCTCGGGGATAGCCTCAGCCTCTGGCTCCTTGGTGTCCTCGGCTGCGGGAGCTGCCTCAGCTGACGCCGTCTCGACTTCGGGCTCTGCTACTGGTGCTTCAGATTCAGGATCCTTGGCTTCAGCATCGTCCTCAACCTTGGCCTCCGGTTCGTTTTCATCTGCGGAGACCTCTGTTTCGGGCGCAGGCTCTTCAACAGCAGCCGCTGCGGACTCCTCAGGCTGAACCTCGGGTTCGGGAGCGGCAGCATCAGTCTCAGGTTGCGCCTCGCCAGCATCTGCGGCCGTCTCTGCAGCCTTCTCCGGAACAGCTTCCTCAGTTGACGGCTCAGGCTCTTTGGCGTCTGGGACCGGGTCCGCAGCGGAGACTTCTTCTGTGGTCTCGGGAGTTGACTCAGCTTCTGCCTCAGCCGCGGGTTCAAGCTGAGGATCCTCAGTTGCGGCAGGTGCCTCTGGTTCCGCGGCTGTGGTTTCCGTGGCCGCCTCGGGCTCAGTTGCAGCTTCGTTCTCGTTGACTTCGGTCTTGGGTTCCTCAGGAGCTTCTGGTTCGGTCTCCACTTCGGCGGCGGCGGCGGCAATCGGCTCCTCCGGGGCGGGATCGGGAACTGTCTCGTCGGTCTTGGCATCCTCGGGTGCGGCTTCAGCTTCAGTCGCAGGTTCTATCTCTTCTTTAGTATCCTTGGTCCCTGGGGAGAGAATGGCCACGGTGAAAGTGAATTCTTTGCCGTCACTGATGATTTCGTATCCGTCCATACCTTCAGTTGAGACAACTGCGTCTTCCGTGGCGGCGTCTGTTGTTTCGTCTACGGCTTCCTTGGAGACATCTGGGGTGTCCTCTGGGGTGTCTTCTGGTGTTGCGGCAGCTTCGTCCTCTTTCGGTGCCTCGGGCTCGGCTGCAGTAGGCTCGGCTTCGGCTGTTGCAACCTCAGGAGCAGTGTCGGGCTCAACAGCAGCCTCGGCTTCAGCCTCCTTAGTGACATCTGTTTCAACTGTAGCAGCTGCAGCCTCGGGTTCGGTCTCAGGAGCTGCCTCAGGGACAGCCTCCGTAGCAATCGCAGGAGTGACTTCGAGGGCATCCTCGGAAGAAGTCTCAGGAGCGACTTCGGGAGTATCGTCAGAAGCACCCTCAGGAGCAGCGTCAGCGGGAGCCTCAACCTCTGCCGCAACCACCGGAGCAGGTTCTTCCATGTTATCAACCTCGGGAGCCGCGGAAGGCTCATCTACGGCAGCATTCTCCACCGCAGCTTCCACCGCAGCCTCCTTGGGGACTTCAGCTTCAGCTTCGACTGGCTCAGAAGCATCTGGCTCGACGTTTGTAACTTCAACTTCTTCCGCCTTGGGAGCCTCCGGCTCAGTTTCCGCAGAAGGACTATCCTCTTCCTCAGGAGCGGGGATTTCATCCTGGGCAGGTTCAGATTCAGGATTCTTTGTCTCGTCGGCAGTTGCCTCGACCGTCTCAGGGGTATCGGATGTGGCATCAACAGCAGCCTCGGGCTCTGAGTCTTTGGGAGGTTCAGCGCTTTCAGCAACCTCTGTTGAGGGCTCAATTTCAGTCTCCTTGGAGGCTTCAGCGTCAACCTCGGGCTCAGTCTCCTTGGAAGGCTCGGCATCGTCAGCATTTGCGGTCTCAGCGGCAGGCTCAGGAGCATCCGCAGGACGGGCGTCTACTTCGACGGATGCCTCGGCCGCCTCAGCGACCGCGGGTTCGTTTTCGGTCTCTGCCGGTTGAGTCGCTGAGTCGACTTCCTTGTCTGCAGTGGTAGGCTGCTCCTCTGCTGGTTCGGTACTGGTGACAGGCTCAACTGACTTGTCATCCGCCTCGACGGGAGCGGGCGCATCTTCAACAGCCGGAGGAGCTTCTTCTTGTGGCGCAGCTGACTCTGCCTCAGCGGCGGCGTCGTCAGGCTTGGACTCTTCAGCAGCTGCATCGGCGGTTGTTGCATCCTCTGGGATAACCGGAGGTTCGGCCTCAGGAGGTGCTGCCTCTTCTTTAACCTCGGTCGGCTCAGCAGGAGTAGGTTCCTCGCTTTCAGCCGCTTCGGCCGGAGCATCAGGTGCTGGCGCTTCCTCGGAGGCGGCGGGGGCTGGTTCAGCCTCTTCGGACTTTGCAGCATCATCCGCGGGGGCATCTGTCTCGACGACTGCGGCCTCGGTTGCATACTCCACAGCTGGTGTATCAACTGCAGGTTCAGTGGGTGCATATTCCGATGGCGCTACTTCTTCAGCTGCCGGGGTCTCGGCAGCCACCTCAGCCGGAGCATCGGCGGCATCAGTCTCCGCCGGTGCAGCGTCGGCCGTCTCAGCCTCCTTGGTGACCTCAGGTGTGACCTCGGAAGGAACTGAAGATGCCTCTGTCGAAGCCGGTTCAACCGTGGATGCCTCTTCCGACGTTGGCTCCTCTGGAGTCGCCTCTTCCGTAACCTCAATCGGTGGCTCGGCTGAGGGCTCGGCTGGAGCTGGTTCACCAGATGCCTCGTCAGCCGTGGCTTCGGCAGCCGGTGCTTCTGCAGGAGAACCACCCTCAGTCTTGGCCTCAGGAGTTTCTTCGGCTGCAGGAGCAGCAGGAGTAGCAGGAGCGGAGGATTCTTCAGGCGAAACCTCTGCGGGTGCCTCTTCTGGGGCGGGATCCTCAGACTTGACTTCGGCAGCAGCAGGTTCTTCTGCGGGCGCTGATTCTTCGGCTGTGACGTCAGACGGGGCATCAACCGGAGCATCAACTGGAGCATTGGCAGGAGCATCGGTAGTAGAATCCTCTGTAGCGGCAGCGCCATCCGGCTTAGCCTCCTCTACGGCTTCGGCAACAGGCTCAACGGGAGCTGCATCCGCAGGCTCGGCGTCAACTGACGCTTCAGACGCAGGTTCCACAGGTGTGGCGTCTTCTTGCTTTGGCTCCTCGGGAGTCTCAGCGACTGGTTCATCTACAGGAGCAGAATCCTCTGGCTTATCATCTGCAGGAGCTGTTGCTGGCTCTTCCAAGGCTACAAGCTCTTCCGGAGCTGGCGTGGGATCTTCAGGCTTTGACTCAGCAGGAGCGTCTTCAGTTGCCTCTTCCTCCACAGGAGCAGCATCTCCAGACTCGGTTTCGACTGAGGCATCAACCGCCGCCTCTGTGGCAGGCGCGATATCTTCCGAAGCAGGCTCAGCTGCAGGTTCGCTAGCGGGCTCCTCTGTCGGTGTAGGATCCTCGGGCTTTGCGTCAAGAGGAGCTTCGGGAGCCGGATCTGAGGCGGTGGACTCCGCGGGCTTGTCTTCGTCGGTTGCCGGGGCCGCATCGTCTGTCGTGGGTGCAGACTCGTCAGATTTGTCCTCTGCTGGAGTCTCTGCAGCTGACTCGGGGACTACATCAGCAGGTGTGTCGGCAGAAGCTGCGTCTTGAGTATTGTCGTCCGCCTCCTTGTCAGCTTCGGCTTCAGCCTGGGCCTCAGGAGCCTCGGGAACAGCTTCGGTAGGTGGTGTGTCGTCAGTCTGAGGTTCGGCTCCCGGTGCTGAAGGCTCATCGGCTGTAACCTCCTCCGTGGGAGCTTCAGGTGCAGTCTCTGCTGACTCAGTTGTCGCTTCTGCCGGCGTGGTAGCTGAGGTGTCATCGACGGCTGGGGTATCGGCCGCGTGATCTTGGCTGTCTTCTGTCGGCGCTTCAACAGGAGCTTCGGCGGCGGCGGGATCTACAGCTGCAGACTCCGTTACCTCTGCAATGTCGGCTGCGGCTTCTGGCGATATCTCCGTCGCTGCCTTCTCGTCGTCTTTGGCGTCATCGAGACTCCGGTCAGCAGCGGGCTCAATATCCGCTTCGACGGCCGGGGGTTCCTCCTTGGCCTCAATGACGGTCTCCGGAGGCGGAGCTGGGACATCCTCCATCTTTGGTGGCCTTACGTCCTCAACCGGGGGTGGCGGTGGGGGAGGAGGGATCGATCTTGAGCTCTCAACCGGCTCCGGTTCGGCGTCTTTTCCGCCCTTGCCCTTCTTCTTCTTCTTCTTGTCTTTCTTCTTTTCCTTGTCCTTGTCCTTTTTGGAGGATTCCTTCGTCTTCGTCGGAGACACTGGTGCCTCCTCTACAACGACCTCTTCCTCTTTTATTGGTTCAGGCGTAGGCTCGGGCTCGGGCTCAGGTTCAAGCTCAGGTTCCGGTTCGGACTCGAGTTCTACGGGTGGCGGAGGCGGAGGCGGCGGAGGCGCAGCAGCTTCCTCCTTCTTGCCCTTCTTCTTTTTCTTCTTGTCCTTTTTTGAAGGTGCAGTCGTTGGCCACTCGTCTTCGGCTATACCGGTATCTTGAGGCGGTTCAGGCGTGGGAAGTTCAGGAGCGGCAGCTGGTGGCTCTTCATAAGTGTATTGTGCTGCCTTCTTCTCCTTCTTGGCCTTCTTCTTGCTCTTTTTGCTGCTGCTGCTGGCCTGTGCAGGTTGTGAGGGATACGTCACGCCATTGGCATATACGTCGCCGTCTGTAAGATGAGGGGGTTAGGCGTGCTAATGCAATACTCAAAGCGCAATCTAAAGTGACATACCATTTTCCAGCTCTGAATCTGATGGTTGGAAATACTGGACGTTGGAGAAGTCTTGGGTTTGGACTTGGCTCCAATCAAGGTTCTGCCGGTAGGGGCAGAAATCGACTGGTTCTTCCGAATTCATGCTTCCGGGACTCGTGGATTATGGGGGTCCTTGTTTCGCAAAAGTTGATCAATGCTGATCCGGGGAGATGGTCTGATGTTGTCTGTGGCGCACGTGGACGGCTGTCTTTGGCGAGAGATGAGATTGGGATTTCTTTTCTTGACAAGTTCTCAATGTTCTTGTGGTAGTGCGGTGCCCAAGCCGGAGTGAGAAGTTCGAGTCTCTTGGGCCGGTATCGCGAGACTCGAATGGATGTATTGAGAGGTATCTTGTCGCCTGTGAGACCGTGTTGTGGCGTAAACAACAGACAAAAGTGCAATGGGCAGTTATGACAAGGAAGCAACAGGTTTCTTGTCTCGGCTTGACACTGGATAGAGTTGGGAAATAAGGGACCAAGAGTGACGAGATGCGTCCTGACTAGGACAATACCGGGAGGGCACAATTGGGCTAAGCTGTGGGAGAAAAGTAGATTCTCGAGAAGCAGGGGGAAGCTTTCCCAGCAGTGCCAAACATCACAAGCATCACTCGTCGGTGGCAGGGTTCAAGGTGCGGGAGTAAGGGGTCCCTGACGCAGGCCTACCCCACGCTGTCCCCACGAAAGGAGACAAATTCTGGCAGTCTCAGAGTCCAAGTGATCACTGTCGTGCGTGCTTTAGAGCCATTGGCTCAAGTGAGGCGGAACAAGCACTGGCGCCACGTCGCAATTGGGTTGGACTGGGGAGTGCGGTTTCTGGAACTCGGGAGCTTGAGTGATGTGACGAGAGGCGAGACAGAGGAACGGAACTGGACTTGGGACATCAGACGGACAAGGAGACAAGGAGGAGGGTTGATGGCTGCCCAACGACGATGCGATTGGAAGCGAGCGGCCATCCCGCATAATGAGACGGGCTCAACGAGGCCGGGCATGAGCGTCGGTGATTTTTTCCCGGGATATGTGGTTTACTTTTTGTGGTCTTATCCCTTTTCGTAGTCTCATAGGGCCGTACCTGGGCCTCAAGATGACATACCGCTACCGCCATGCCGTTCAAGTCCATTCTGTCGGATGAGTGCGTCGCTTGACTTTTACCCACAGAAGCCAACATCATTGCGGAGGCCACAGGCAAGAAAAGCATACGGGTCAGTCTTTGCGGTGAGGCAATGGCAAAGACTGAGAGACCACAAAAGAACAAGGCGCAATGACCATCCACCAATAGTCTTCGCCAGGCGATGAGAGATGAGTGATACTGAGGAGGTTGAATGTACTTGTACGCAGGATACTTGGCCTGAAAAGGCCTCGAAAGGGCTTAGACTCTCCAAGATTCTTCTGAGAAAGAGGGAATTTTTTTGGGATCGATGAAGTGTCAAGCATCCCTCCACTCAGCGGCTATGAGCTAATAATTGCTGTGCTGCGCTGGTCGTTGATTTTCCGGCCCAGTGCACTCGCACGCATCGGGCAGCCGGAGCAGGGAAGGTCGATGGGCCGGTCCACTAGGGCCAGGCATATCCTTGTAAGCACAGGTCCTCATCGCGCCTGTGAAGGCACAAGGTAACGATTGCCGACGGAAGAGTGGTTCCTGGACTGTAGTGGAGGGTAAACCCAACCTTCTTCCCGTCATTCGTGTTGTTCGAAGAGATGGAGGGTGGGCAAGGGAGAAGCCGCGGTTTGGCTAGGAGCAGTTAGACGACGTCGAGAGACGTTATGCTTGTGCACTTGGCCACTTGTTGACTGGAACTATGCTTCGATAGACGCCCACCGGCGGCTGACATGTCAACGGTGGGGGTTGGAGGCGAGCGCGGTTTGTTTCTCATCGGCCATTAAACCCCCGGTCAGCGAGGTGCAACGTGGCTCGCCTGGCTGAGGCTCGTCTCTGAAGATCCATGCAGCAAAGGTCCGGACCACGGCTGGCGGGAGGGGCGGATGTGACTGCAGTGACAGTGATAGTGGCACCAGCAGAGGAGTGGTGGGGTTGGGTTGGGCGACGGCTTGTAGCGGGCTGTGTTCTTCGGCTGTCTGCAAGGGAATGAGGAGAAACGTGGGTGTGAGACTTCGAGGAATACAAGAATACAGTGCCATGATGACCATGTCAGCAAGGAGTTTCCCGTGGAACGACTTGCTGTGCCATCTAATGTAAGCGCCAAATGGAGTGTTCGGGCGAAAATTTTGGTGAGTAAGTTGGTGAGGTTAGCGGAGGTTGGGCCGACGTCGATATGAGATGGGACGGGATGGCATGGCTCCTCCCGAGGTCAGTGTCTGAGAGGTGCAGTAGCCCAGTCTGGCCCGAGCAGATGCGTACGGATACACATGTTGTGTGCCGCAGTGATGCCGCCGGGTGCGGATTGGTGCTCTGCGGGTTCCCGACTTGGTCTGACGACATGCCACTGGACATGACAGAAAGAATCAATGGAGCCGTACACGAGTCGGCGGTTGGGCGCTGAGAGGACGGCCGACAGTATGGCTGGTGGTATTGGGCGGGCCTGAAGACCGATGATCGAAGACTGATGACCGATGGGGAGAATGAGTCGGTACCTATCTGAGCTGGCAAGGCATCGAAGTTGCGAGGGAAGCCATCGCGATTCCGAGGCTGATACGTATACTGATATTACCAGGAAAGTCAGGTAATCGTCGGGTACATGATCATGAGAAAAGCCAGCGGTTGATTGATGTCGTGGACTGCAACAACGGGCGCACAATTGAGGTGGATAAGGCTCATCGTCGATTGTTTTGTTGTTTATGCGGAAGGACACCCATCCATGACAAACTGCAGGGAGGCGGAAGCAGAAAGTGAAGGGGAAGAAATTGAGTTGGCAGTCCTGACCCGAGCTTTTGCCAGGAAGATGGTTTCACTTTCTTCGGGAAGGAAGCATTGGTCGCTGTCACGTCATGGCCAGCGTGTTGGGAAAGACGTTGCTACCTTAAGGTACCTACGTAGTACGGATACACTAACGTTCCTGCCTCACCGCTGAGAATTTCGGTGTGGCATGTGGCAGGTGCAAGTTTCGGCAGGCGCCAACACCTGCGACTCTGCCGTACCTGCCCTGGCCGTTGGTACCCTACGAGGCCACTTAGGTAAGCCCCGGTACCCTTGTAGAATAATCAACGACCGACCTTGAGGTTTGACTCTTGAGTTGGCGTATTCCAAGGATTTGCTCTTAAGAAAGTTGAGAAGCCTGTTCTTAGGTGCTCGAATAAGCAGTCCATGTGGAACTCGATAGCATGCATGTATCGGTGTCCCCGTCACAGCCCAATATCGTGGCTGATTAGCCATGACGGTGACAGAAAATACTTCCAAAGCATCTCGGAAAAAATCCACTCTTCCAGCCCTCTATGTTCCCAGCGTGCTGAGCCTTCGAAGGTTCTCCTGGCAGCCCAACCGCCCTAATTTTTGGCGCCTCCGTTCGCAAGACACCGCAGAGGACTCCGGTGCCCGCTGGTCTAACTTGCATTGATCGTATATGAAAGCCTCATTTGACCTCTTACGATGATCGAGCCCACATCGTGATTGCAATGATAAGGATCCGGATCACATCAAGGATCCTGTTTGTACGCTATACTCCGTAGACTACGCGAGTCGGAAGAGGCAGCCGAGTCCTCCGCAATACTGACACCCGCCACCTCAGCACCGCAGTCTGTCACTGTGCTACGGGGGTGGGAATGATCGTGGGGTTCCAACACTCCGGCTCGCGATCGGTCACTCCTGACGACTGGCGGTGTGCCGAGACACGTGAGAGATGGCTCCTGTCCCGGTACCGGTCTGGTGGGGATCCCTTTGAGACAGCGAACTTGGCATTGCCGGTGGGCCGGCGAGAGAATGTCTCGCCCGCTTGCTCACCGGACTTGACACCGCTGCGATGCCGCAGCGCTTCCGACGAATTAGCCCGCAAGTAGTGCTTCACCGAGAGGAATGGCGCCAATGCGCAGTCTGCATGGTCCCCGCGTGACGACAACGGTTTTGCAAATAGCTTCTCAACAACAATCAATATGTCTTCTATGAAAAAAGTAAGGTGTACGTAGTACTCAGAGACTGTAAAAAGTGCCACTCCAGCAAACCAGAAAAGCTCGTCAAACTCCCTCCCATCAGCCTCCACAACCGCGAGATTCCTATCGAATGACACCCACGTAACCCAAAACGCCAACGCCAGTAGACAGGTCTGAGAAAGAGGGGCAGGTAGCTGAGAAACATGTGAACGAGGGCCGCTTCGAAGTCGTAGTCGTCGTTGGTGGTGAGCATGTTCGTGTATATCGAGTGTGTCGTGCAGTATCCACTCCTCTGGGCAGCTGTGATATTCGACCTGCTTATCCCATCGCGCCGCAATTCTCATGTAAAGCCTCTAGAAGCTCCATCCCGAACCAGGAATGCTATGCCATCGTTCTCGGCCATCCCCGCAGGATCGCCTCACACCCGACATCCTTACATAGCCATCTCCGCCTGCAGCTTGCGAAGCTCGGCCTCTTCGTCGTCCTCTTCGACAGCTTGCGCCTTGCCTTTGACTAGTTTATCTCGTCAGTACATCACAGTTATCATGACCTCGAAGGGCGGAATTTCCTTACTCGGGCCGTTCGCGGCGGCAGGCATCTGGTGGACGCGGTCTGACACAGGTACCGTGCCAGTGCCCACCATTTGCTCGTCCAGAGCCTCCTGCTGCATTTGATCCAGCTCATCCTCAAGGTCCTCGTCGATGATATTGTCGGTCTGGCCCGTTGTGATAGCGTTGACGATTTCCTCGCTAAGCGCATTCTGTTCGCGGAGATCCTCCCTGTTCTTGTAGTCAGTATCTTTCCTTCATACTGGCTTGCAAATTTCGAAACGTACATTGTCTGGTCCACCTTGTCAACCGTGAGCTTGCCGTGGATACCCTTCATGGCCTGGCCAGCCTTCTCCATTGCCAAGAGCGTCTCGCGGTTGATATTCGCCGACTCGATAGCGTTGATTTGGGACTCGAGTGTCGTGATTTGCGAAATGGTCTGTTCGAGGCTGTGTTCATGGCCCTTCTTGCGACGTAAGGCAGCCTTTGCGGCTATCGCGATGTCTCGTCAGTATCCAACCGCCAACTATCTCATTTGCTCCGATAACTTACCGTTCTTGTTTGTGTTGACATTCTTCCTTGCAATAGTATCTTGTTCATCCATCAGCGTCTGGAGATGCTTCTCTCTCTTTTGCAGCATATCAAGCTGGACCCTAAGGCCGAGGATTGCATCTTTGGCATCGTTCTTCTTCTTGGCGCCGCCGCCACCGCCAAACCAGCCCCAGACGCCAGACATGGTGAGATTTGCTAAGGTTTTGGGGTTGATGGTACGAGTCGATTAGATCGAAAGGGTTCCGGTCGTTTAAGAGGTTGTGCGCAGGCAGCGATCGTTCGAAGGCAGCCGTATTCCGGGGTTGCGTGGCACTCGACCGAAGTTTGATGGCGGGGTACCGAAACGGGAAACAAGCGGGCACTCGTGGTCGTCAACGAGCCGCGAATTTAGCGAAGGCGTACTGATAGGCGAAGTTGCCGGTTATTTCTATATCATGCGACGAACACCCGCGGCTCGCTCAAGTCAAGTTGTCGGCAAGTTGATAGTTGGAAGGCTGATAGATAGAGTCAGGCAGGTAGTCGGTAGGTAGGTATGATGCAAGCTCCCGACTGGCTCAGCGATGCCGTTTAGTGGGCAAGCGATGACGGTGGTTGTGCCCAGCAACAGTGCCGCCGCCTGATTTAGCCGCGGTTCAGCCGATCATGTGAGACGCCCGCGTGACGGGCAGCGACCTTGGTGACCACGGTTCCAGATAAGCTATCTCTTATCGCCGACAGAGCACATGCACCCCTGTGACCAGACTCACAGACGTCAACAGCTGCCAGCAGCTAGGTGCGGTACGTCCATTCCCACCTCAGTGAGAATGTCACGGCTGGGGGAAACTACGATGGCTACAAAATATTCCATGCTTAACGTCCCTCAGACACACGACGCCTGTCAACCTCAGATGACTGTTGTCCAAATCTTTTGACCCGCCGCCTGACTGAACTTCGCCATCAATGTCGCCAAGTGATGATGCACATTGCACGAGTCCTGAGTAACGAACAACTGCCTTAGCCATGTCCAGAGGCCCGCTGCCTTCTCAGCTTTGTCTTCTGTCCGACTTGCCGTCTCGGCCACAGGGCGACAAGGTCAGATTTCTCGGCTGGTAAGTTTTGATACTTCTTGCACGCGGCTACCCTTCCTCGTCGTATAATAAGAATCAACTATTGGTAATTATACTGATTGGTACCAGTGTCACGGCGTACTCGACGCACTCAGCTGTGCTCACGCTAGAGCACAGCTTCCCCAAAGGATCAGATATTAGTGTATTAGTCAACGTTCAACTCTTACTCAGTACCATGACTTCAAATCAGACACGCATCGGCGAGTGGGTGAACGTGGTTGGCTATCTCACGCCTTCTCCCGCGGGAACGCGGGCCAAAGGGACGAGCCGGGAGCCACGTAGAGCGGCCGTTCAGGCACTGATGCTCTGGTCCGCTGGCCCTCTCAATCTTCAGCGATACGAAGCTTCCTTCACAACGGATTGACCTGGAGTCTGGATCAATCCATGCCGCCTATTGGGAAAGGCGAAGCACACCATATACTACCATAAGCTGCCGCATGACCTGAGAAGACGCGGACATTGGCCTCGGTAACAATGTAGGCAGACGTGTCATGCTCACCACCGCAACCAGGCTGCCATGTCTCGTCTAATTCGTCGCGCATGCCACGAACCAACAGACATGGATAAGAGATCTTACCTTGAGACTGAAGATGGACTTTTCTTTGAGCATTTGCAACGGAGCACGGTCCGAGCATCAGTCAGCCACGCCATCGCCTAGAAGGTTTCATTGAACAGACATTCTCGGCCCGCATGAATGTGCTACTAGCCTACAACGACGATTTGGTCCGGTATAAATGCAACTTGTCTATTCTGGAAATGGCAAACACGCACCAATTAGGTATTTAGTCGAGGAACCGCCAGCTGATGGCATTCGCTGGTGCTGCACTCTGATGCGCGCCTCTTGCAACGATTCCGCATACACATACCAAAAGGGAGCAGCGTGCAAAAGAACTCGGAGATTTTGACGTTACCATTGGACCCCCAAAAATGCCAGATGGCAGACTACTGCTGGATGGTTTCGGGACACATACTCTTCTCATCCCAATCAAACAAATCTGGTTATAATACTGCTTCGTTTCGCCAGACGCCCAACCAGTCAAGAGAACGAGTGTTCGGTCGGGTCCACCGTCTGCTGCGACCACCAGGCCACACAACTCGATCCCCCTCACCAGAGACACGACCTTTTGCGCATGCGTCGAATCATCGAATCCCACAAATTCCTCCCGAATGCATGAAAGGACTAACCCGGCCGCCTGCAACGCCTGAATATTCAATGCCTAGATCCAAAGACCTGGCCCAATGCGAGATCTCATTCACAGTAGTCGACTCCACCGATCCACCCGACTTCACTCACGCCGCCTGTCGTCGTAACGTCGATGTCGCTCATAGCTTCGGTGTGCATCATGTCTCCTTCTTGATGAGTCGTTTGACCCTCGGGATATCACCACCGGCTGATGCAACGGTCTTTTGAGGGGCTTGTCCGCTTCTTGTGCTCGAATGGCTGCCTGACGCTCCCATATCTCCTTGGATTTCCTACAGATATCGTCGATTTGCTCCTGCACGCAGAAACGATGATTAACAAATTCTACGTAGTCAAAGAATAATAAATGGGTAGAGGGACCATTCGGCAAGCTTACATCTGTCAGACAAGGGCCTGGAGTGGTGATGAGAAATCCATCTTCTCCCTGTAGATGCTGTGAGAGGCGTCTCAGTCATCGTGAATGAGATGTTCACACCTCATTTGTGTACGGTCTGACCGTTGCATCCGGCCCAAGATAATAGGGAAGCTCTTGGGTGATGATCTTCTTGTGGATATCCAACCGGGGAATCCAGTATCTGTTCATCTCTGTTGACGAAGGCATGGCAGATGCTTGGACATGGGTAACATGAGATGTCTGCCCGAGCACACTGGATGAACAAGATGGCGCAAGTCATCCTGAGATACTGGCGATCAGGAGGACGAAGAAGGTATTTATCTTCGCCCACAATGCGATGATCCGGGCGCGCCAATCCTCGTACGCTGCGACAGAGTCGATATTACGAGTTCCCAAGGCATATTATTGCACCAAGCAAGACAAAAGGAGCACTTTGTCTTGCCTTTTCGGCACAGCTATTGTCGGTATCCTCACCGCTTCGGCTTCTCAGTCGTCAGAACCTGCCTCTGCAATGCCTGCATGCAAGGACAGACGCCACATACGGCCTTTGCAATGTCGGTTCTCACAATGGTGGGAACCCATCCATCTGGGTGTGTTCCACCTTACAGGTTGGGGGTGGTGAGCCTGCAGGAGATAGGCAAAGTGAGGCGGACGGCGGCAACCCCATGACGGTCCGCCTCACACGCCCGCAACGATCCCGCCACCTGCGACCACGAATCACCGTCAGAAGTCGCCATATGCGTCGGGGCGGCCTTCATTGAGTCTTTCGATTCTCTATTTACTGCTCGCCCTTTTTCGAATGAGGTTTCTGTCGGCTATCATTCGCCAGTCACTTCTCGACTATGGATCAATCCGCTGCGAGATCCAGTGACGGGACTAGGCTGCAGTTTCTGCAGGTCCATCTCATCGCCATCTTCGTTCCCGGACATGCTGAAATGGGACCTACCCTCGTGGCTTCCTGGCATATTCAGCTTCCTCCATGGATGAACCCTGGTGGGTAAGGTAAGGCGTCGCCGCGTCGGTGATTTCTGGCAGCCAAGCGGCGCAGATCATGTCGATCGCCGCTCGCGACTTCGAGGCGGGCATGCGGGGATGGCGAGCGTCTGCCAGTCATTGCTGACCAGGGTTTCTTATATATCTAGGATCTCGAGTTCTTCAACGATCCAGATGAACCCTGGACCCTTCCCTTTTCTGTTGGTCCCGGATTTTTGGAACACAAGGCTGCTGCGATCGTCGCCGTCAACACCGGATTCGTCGGTGCTGGAACTGCCGATGAACAGTAATCACAAACAAGTCATCATTTCGACAATACAGCCCTCCGTTTATTCTCAAGTGGTGTGCACGATGATTTTCTACCCGAATCACACAGGATCCGACCATACCGACCGCAACACTATACAGTATTCTCGGCATCAAGACGGGGTCAACGAGGAACTAGACTGTCTTTCAAGCACTTGACGGCCGAATATGAGGCTTTCCGGCCGGGCGTAGCACAAACCCGAAGATCGTTATAAATGCGTTCCTTGCGCAGGATGGTCGATCTTCGAATCCTACGAAGAGGGGTTGGCTGTCAGCCGTAGTGCCAGACGCCTCTTTCATTCCACCACATGCGAATCTGGCGACAAGGCGAGGCTTTGGTGTCGGGTCTTCTCGAGCATACGTTTTCTCGATCATACGATAATGCGGGCAGCATGGTATTGCACACCGAACAATGCAACTCCGTGCCAAGGGCATGCCGTGAGATCCACTCTGCAATACCCAAATAGGTCGATGCGACCCTTTTCGACACTTCCCCGCGGCGCTTTTTTGAAATCAAGGCTCGTCGCGCAGACTGAACAATTGGATGTGCGTGCCGAACAGGCACCAGGGTCTGGAGGTATTGAGGCTACAAATGATTGTCAGCTCAGGTCGAGCAGTGCTCAGAAGCACTTCTGACTGCTCATCGTATCTTCTCCGCTGAGGTTCGGCAGTCTAATCCGTGATCTAAGAGCTGGGACTCAACAAGCCATGCTTTCGCTCGCGCGACGTCAAGATTAACCCAAAGTCCGTGGGTTGGTTGAGCCGCAGGGTCCAACTTACAGGGGCTCGTCAGTCTTCGGTTGTTGTGGTCTGTGTGATCTTTGAGTGCAAGAAGAGCGGTGCACCTTATTGAAACAACAAGTTTGCGGGATGCAATGGCCTCAATCCTCGTTGTTCCCTCGATCTTTTCATTACGTCCATATATTTCCAAATGCACGCACAAACACATCAGGTTCCCGGGCCCAAGGAGTCTCTGAACATGAAGGAAACACGTCTTGGCGCAACCTTCGAAGTCATCTTCAACACCAATGCCAAGGTGATGATCCTGGTTATGCGTCGGTGTCAGACACCCAAACACAAGGCTCCTCTTTCTGGCAATGTCGACGAGCGAGCAGGAGCATCTAGTGCGTATTCTAATTCAGCAATTGATCCAAATTGCACAACGGATAGCCTGCAGATACTCCACGAGATCGTTCAGGCTAAAAGGCGCCGTTAATGGTTACACGCCAATGCTGCTTTCCCCCCTCGTGATCTCATGACAAGTCGAACAGGTTCGTAGACATGGGCTGGCTATTCTGTGCTTGAAAGATGGAGTCGGCTATCCTCACAGGGGACTATGCAACTCCGCGTCTCAAAAGGGAAAATGGACTTTGAGAGAGATGCGCCACGGTAGCATACCACGAGACTCCACTCCCAAACACAATCGATTCGAGACTGGATTTGGATAAAGTCTCTGTGCCAAGCCCATTTATGAATCTGCCGGGGGGTCTAACTTCACCAGCTTCCTGCACCCTCTTCGTCCTTCTTCCATAGTATGCTGTCGGCACGACCAAAAACGATGCACTCTCTCCCTGGAACCTCGCCATGAAGCCACATTGGAAGTCTCGCGCTTGCCTTATATATTCCCAACCCCGACCTACGTAAACTTCGTGACATAGGAGGGCGGTCTCCCGAGGTTCGGCCAAAGCTTGAACAATAGCCTCGCAGAAGTCGAGGAGACAAGATCCCCCCTCCCCCGCACGATGCATTTAGTCAATCTTCTCACAGCGACGCTGTTGTCGAGCAGCTCGGTTCTTGCACAGCTGACAACTAACACCATCACACGTATGTCCGTTTCTTTAAGATACTCGCAAGACCAACCTTGTAGGTCCAAAACATGCTAAGATACCCGAAGCGACTTCACGCCAACCTTTGGCAGCCATCACAACCGCACCAACCTCCTCCGCAATCCTCCCAAGACGCGCTGTCGTAACAGTGACCATCTCTAGCTGGACGACCCAAATCATCACTGTGACGCAAGTCGATACTGTAATCGAGACAATCACCGTCTGGATCCCGCCGTCGACGACCATACCGACGATCCGATCGACTTCGAGCTCATCTGTAGCATCCTCTTCGCGAAGCGCTTCTGTTACGACGCCTCCTGTCCCCGAGCCGACGCAGAGCAAATATGGACAGTGCGGGGGGTCGAGTTATGTCGGTGCTACGAGGTGTGCTGCTGGGAGTAGCTGTAGTGTTTTGAATCCGTGGTATTATCAGTGCTTGTAGGGGATGCTGTCTGTTGGTATTTGCGGTCGCGAGGGGTGAGGGTTGACTGGTGGTATGTTGGAAAGGCGCGATGATGGTCAAGGAGGATATACGAAGTAGATTCTGAGGTGATGTGACTATAAAAATATCACGGATTCCACCTCTTGAACGCAAGAAGCATAATGGCTTGTGGTCCGTGTATCTGACCCGATATCATGGTATCATCATGGTATCATCATGTCGTGGGAGTAATGTCTGCATACCTTAATTTCACGATGGCTAGATAATTTCGTTGGGAGTGTCGGAGTATAGCTTGACCGTTGCAAGGACTACCCGCCATCTGCTCATATCATTCTCAACGTATTTAGCAGCGTATAGGCTGTGGGTAATGACACTGGCCTAGCAATTTTAACGAAATTGTAAAAGGCTTTCGGATGCATTCCAATGTTCACCCTTCATCATGCATCACCATTTCCAGCCGCCATCCGCAATCACCAGCAACAAGATAGACTATACCACAAGATTAGTAGTTCCCGGAGCTTCCTCTATCGCAATTTGTCTAGCTTTTACATGAGCTTTCAGACATGTTATGTCCCCTTTGACAGTATTGCCAGAAAGTCTCCTTGACCAGTAATGTCTGCCTCTTATCAAAAAGCATTTTGGGAGGCATGTGCAGTGCAATTGAGAAACTCCTATCTCTGGTTTAACGTCCAGGCGTCTTACACGGCGGTGGACTGGAGCGGTGCCGGTCGCATCCGGTCACCGGGCCGGTGCCGCAACCCCACTAAACTCGATGGTCCAATCGGGCCGGACTGCGATCCGGACGGAGCGGGGGACCGTGTCTATGCCTTCTAGGTTCCGATTGACATGATGACATCGCGCGCCCTTGGGAGGTGGAGGCTATTTGCGTATCACAAGCTTCGCTATCATTGAGGAAGACGAATGGGTAAAAGTTCCTGTATCACATTGAAAACATAGACGATCTACAATATTCATTAAATAGAGGACAAAAAGACCTATATTTCAGGTCCAACAGTTTATCGATTAAAGACCGCCGATCGGATCTGACCCCGCACAATTACACCAAAAAAAGATTAGATTCCTCGAGGAACTCCCATCATCTGCAATATCAAATTCAAACAAGATGGCCAGCCTCAAAGACTTCCGCGTCCTAACCTTCGACGTCTACGGCACCCTAATCGACTGGGAAACAGGCGCCCTAACAGCCCTCCAACCCCTCCTAGACGCAAACAACCGCAACGACTTCACCCGCAAGCACCTCCTAGACATCTTCCACGAGTGCGAAGCCGCGCAACAGGCCCAGACCCCAGACCTCCCCTACGCCCAGCTCCTCACCACAATCCACCCCCAAATCGCCGCCAAGCTCGGCCTGTCATCCCTGCCGTCCGCCGAAGCCTCAAAGGCCTTTGGCGACTCCGTCGGCTCTTGGCCCGCCTTCCCGGACACGGTCGACGCCCTCCGCCGGTTGGGCAAGTACTACAAGCTCGTCGTGCTCTCCAACGTCGACCGCGGCTCGTTTGCGCTGAGTAACGCGGGACCAATGGCGGGCGTGCCGTTTGATCTTATTGTCACGGCGCAGGATGTAGGGTCGTATAAGCCTGACCAGCGCAACTTTACGTACATGCTCCGCGAGGTGAAGGAGAAGTTTGGGGTTGAGAAGGAGCAGATGCTGCAGACGGCGCAGAGTCAGTTCCATGACCACCATCCGGCCAAGGAGGCTGGTATCAAGTCGTCTTGGATTGTGAGGCCTGGTGCGGTGATGGGAAATAGGGATCGTGAGGTGTTTGATTGGAAGTTTGATACGTTGGGGGAGATGGCTGATGCGCTTGAGAAGGAGCTGGCTTGAGGCGGGGTCATTTATATTTAGTAGGTGCATAGAAAGATGTTCTGTTTAGATGCTCTGTTGGAGGACCACCATACATGAAGTGAAGCTATTTTGGTTTCAACATCTTGGAGTTTTTGTGCCGCTGTGAAGCTGTAACAACGTACTCATGAGAGTGATTTTGTCTCTCAACCACTGCAAGCAACATCTCCACTCTTCTCGGCCTAGTCACTTAGAAACAAGACGAGAAACTTGCACGCAAAGCGACAGCTTGAAGATAAATCCAGAAACAGACCAGTAACACAACTACTAGCACACGATTGACTCAGAAATTAGGCTAATGCTAGCACTCATGTCTACTTAGGAGTTTCAAACCGTTCCAGTTTTCAAAGCCGGTCCGGCCGAGACTGGCCCCGCCAAGCGACCGGATCCACTAGCCTATCTTCCACCGAAGCGGGGGGAACACGGGGGAAGCTCTGGAGGGACCAAGAGAGACACCTACTAACTTCACCTGGCAAAACATATTGATGGAATCGTTTCACGCTCAATTGAGGCCTCTTGTATCGTGAGGGCGAGCCACAAGCCAGCCTGTCATTTTCCAGCAAGAAGAGAAATTCAGAACCATGACGTCGGATCTGCTTGCTGGCTTCCCGGCAAACGCGCCGCCCAAACCCAAGACCAAACTTCGGTTTGCAGATGTAAGTTCACGATTCCCGAGTCCACTCTCCGCGAATTGCATGGGGTTCTTACATCAAGTTCCCACACCAAAGCTGACCACCAGCATTAGGTTGCAGTAACAGCAACAGCAAAAGATTTCGCCGGCTTCTACAGAGGCAAACAATACCACCAACCAGACTTCGATGCCGTCCTCGACCGCGCCTCGGCCGCAGGCGTCGAAAAGGTGATGCTCACGGGCATGTCCCTCAGCGACGCTGCTACGAACCTCTCTATTGCCAAATCGCGGCCGGCGGGGACGTGTTTCGTGACGATTGGCATCCATCCGTATCACGCTGCGGAGCCCGATGCCGAGGAAGACGGCGGCGAGAATGGTCATTTCAAAAAGTTGGTAGAGATCGTTCGCGAAGCATTGGGTTCCGCGTCCGCAGGTAGCTCTTCATCGCCGTTGGCTGCGTTTGGCGAGTTGGGCCTCGACTATGACCGCCTAAACCACGCGTCCAAGGAAGCACAGATCCGCACTTTTAAGCGACAGTTGGATCTATTTGTCGAGCAAAAGCTGGACTTGCCCCTATTTCTCCATTGCCGCGCTGCTTACGATGACTTTGTGGAGATCATCCAGCCGTACCTCCCCAGCCTCCCCCGCCGCGGCTTGGTTCACTCCTTTGTGGGCACATCGGCTCAGATGAGAACTCTGGTAGAGCTCGGCTTCGACGTCAGCGTCAACGGCTTCAGCTTTCAGGACAGGGAAAGTCTGGAGATGGTGCGCGATATCCCGTTGGAGCACCTGCAGATCGAGACGGATGCGCCGTGGGGTGAGATATCAGCGGGTTCGGAGGTGGCGAAGAGGTATCTCGGGAACGCGTTTGCTTTGCCGCAGAGTAAGAAGAAGGACAAGTTCGAGTTGGGGCTCATGGTGAAGGGTAGAAATGAGAGTTGTACAATGGACAGGGTTGCATTCGTCGTGGCTGGTTTGAAAGGGCTGAGTGTGGATGATATCGCCGAGGCGGCTTGGAGGAATAGTGTCAAGATGTTTGGATTTGGTGAGAGCTAACATGAGATCAAATGACAAGGAAACATCAAACATTGAATCTCGCGTCAAGGCATAGGACACCAATCTGACAGAGCTTGAATCGGCCGCCAAATTCTGTCTCCCCATATTCCATCAGAGTGTCTTTTGTACCATGCTAATCCCTTCTTTCTCAAGAATCTCGCGAATGGGGTCACAGATTTCCAAAGTGTAGGGCGCCAACACCCCCGGCACACTCAAAGCAGGTTCCCCGTCAAGCAATAGTTGGGTGGCAATGCCACAGGTCACACCCACGGTTCTAGCCATGGCCGAATACCCACCAGGTTCCCCGAAAAGCTCCAATGTCGATGTGATGGTCTCCTGTTCACGCAGGTCAGTATCAAACGCGATTTTGACTCGATTGCAAGGGGTTTTTTTGGCGTTACTTACTCGACTTCCATCTTTCCATTCAACAATGAACTTGTGCTGGAGCATGACCAGATCTCTTTCACCAGACTGATAGCTAAGAAGTCTTTCGAGCTCCGCACAAATTGTGTCTAGGAGATTCCCGCGGAGAGTCGCCGACTTTTCGGAGAAAAGCCCGATCCATCGCAGACCGTCGATGATTCTGTTCCTCTCCGCGATGTCTGGGAAGTCGCAAATCTCGTCAATGCGTGAGACTAGAGACCTTTTGACACATCAGTATTCAGTCCCAACTAGAATCATGTATGCTTGGATGACTTACTCTTCATCAGACCCGGCAGCACCAACGGCCCGTCCAAGAACCTCCCGCAACATCAACCCACCGCTGTCCTTCTCCAACCAATCCAGTGTCTGCGTGTCCAACAAACCAAGCTTCGTCAGGGCCGCCACAAAAGCCGGGTTCCCTTCATACCGCAGCGATCCACGCACGACCGTCTCCGCTTCGGGAATCTTGTAAAACTCCCGGAAGGGTAAGGAGTTCCGGTTAGGATATGCGAGGAAAGAGTAACAATCCATTACGTGGTATTGCCTGGCCTGTTTCATGAGATCTTCGCGAGAAACATCAATGACTTGACCATTCTGGAGGTAAGACGCCGGGTTGAGTTGCGCAAGGAGCGCGCCTCGGGGTGACCAGGAGAATTTGAAGCGCAGAGGGTTGTTAGAGCACTCTGGAGCTGGAAGTCCGCCAGCGTAAGAATGAAATTCCTTGATCTGCCGTTTTTATGCATTAGTCCTATTAATGGTAATGTGTATGGATGAAATTGACTGCTTGTACCTTTCCCCCCTTGCTGTGGACTTCGTCGATGAGACGAATAGTGTAGAGATGATCAATGCCTAAGGGGTTCATGTATAAGCTCAATTGTATCTCGTGTCGCGAGGAATCATGCTTTACCAGGATCGAGGCCAACTTCATTCAGAACCGTGATTCCGGCAGCCTTCATTTCAGACTCCAGTTCTCTCATTGCCGGAGACACGTAGCTTGTCGTCACGACATGAGTCTTTCCCCGTATACCAGCTTCCACAACGGTCTGGTGATGGGTGAAAGGGACAAGTGAAATGACCAAGTCATGAGATGCCACATGGCTATCTAGTTCTGGAGACGCCACGTCCAGAGAAATGGCGCTGGCTCGAGGGTGATTGGAAGCCAACGCTTCGGCCGTCGAGAGAGTTCGGCAAGCTATTGCAAGAGTGTTAGTTACCGCCAATAATGGTTTAAACGGGCAGTGGAGCGGGATACCGATTGTCAACTGGTTCTTCTCGTTGCGCAGGAGATATTCGACACATGGCTTGGCTACCAGGCCGCTTCCAAGAATGAGAATCTTCTTATCAGGCATTTCGGGAACTGAGTTGCTAATTCGGAAAATTCCGAAAGAGGCAAGACACCAGGCAATCAATTCCTTCTAATCCTTCCCGCTTAAGAGAACGACAAGGCAATGAACTATTCACAGGCCATCGTCAGTCTTATAGGCTTGGCCCCTTGGTCACCTCGGCCAGTGTCCGTCCTCGCTCTTCACTCGAACTACCCTGAGAGAATTGACTCATCCGGCGAGAGATATCAATGAGCCTCCCTGTCATGGAAAGGCTCAAAGATTGTGACATTTTGGTCTTGAACTGCGCAAATTGAGTGTTTTGCAATCGGATCTGTCGGCTTCCCGCAAGTTGATCCCATGGCCAGTCTGATCGGCCGATCGGCCGACCGGGTTGCCCACAGCTGTGCGATGCAGCCTTCACACTTCGCGGTCGCAAATTCCAAGAATCGCCGGATGGAAAAAGGAAAATCGAGTGCAGTGCAGTCCTTAAAGGTTGACAATCGGACTTCTTACGAAGTCAAGTTAAACTTGGGGCAGTGCCTAAAGCCGACTTGTTAAGGCAACGAAAATGAGTAAGAATAACCCAACTTAAATGTTCAGCATCCTGAACTCCAATATTGAATCTGGTATATCATATTCTCCTGTTGATAATGCAGGGAACTTCAATCTTTGCCGCAGATAGAAGCGTTCGTCTACATCCTGTCACGTTTAAATCCTTTGAGACGCCCTTTGCGATGCGTCACGGTCAACGAAGTAACAGCAAACCACAGTCCATAATTACCTAGTACTTAATAGACTAGCAATACACAATGCCAGATTCGTTGAGTCTACCATCTCCAAAATCATTTGGCGAACCCGACTGATGATACCTCTGATCTTCTACCGTGTGTATACCCTATCCAAGCTCTACTGGTGCGGGTGAATGAGCAACGTTCCCACCTCTGGGTGCCTCTTGCACAGGAGGCGAATGGTATTTGACGTCGGTAGTGGCGTTTGGGGACACAGATATCTCTCCTTGACTATTCCCTTGGTCGCCAAGATCCCTTTTCCCCCGGTATCTCCTCCTCGCCAGTAGAATTCCTGCACAAACGGATAGGCCTACCCCCAGAATAGCCCCGATGACGATGCCGGCTATGGCACCTGCGCCGAGACCTTCGGTGCCGGAACCGGACGTCGCAGTGACACTTGCTGCCGTTGCTGAAGAGCTGCCTGACGAGGTTGTGGTTGCCGTATCACTAGTGGGCAAAGGAGTGAAGATTCTTGAAGTTGAAGTAGACCCGGATTCACTCCCGTCAGGTATTCCAATGAAAAATCGTGTAGATTGAGCTAAATAGCCCGTCGATCCATCAATATAGAGCGTTAGAAAGTAGTAAGTGTCGTTTTCTGGGTCGGTATTGGAAAAAGCATTAAAGTCTACTTTCCAAGTGAAGGATTTGGACGAGATGCCCTCTAAAAAATATGGTTCAATTAGCATTCGAAGCCAAAGTCAATCATACCAATTCAAGCAGACTGACTTTTTAACGTGATGGGTCGGGTGTCTTTGTTTGTCCACAGTAGCAGATTAAGCTTGTCAACATCTGTCGTCCAGGTGAAGACGACATCCTGGCCTGATGCAAACGTGAGACCTTCAAGACCGGACGGCTTCGTAGGGTAGGTGAACTTGGCGTTGTCGGCGAAAGCATTTCGTGCCAAAACAAGCACGAAAAGTAACAAAAAGATGTTCATCTTGCCGATGTCCAAGATCTTCGAGCACGATGCCGAAACTCCAGGCAAGGGAGTGGGACGGCAATGGTCGCCCGCGCCCGGTACTTATGGATTTGATTCGCTCCCTATGCGGTGTTCCTCGATCTTCGACATCAGGCTGTGGCAGGTAGACTATTACACGGGGGCCACCCTTAGCCAAACGTGCAGGCCCCCTCCTCCTTCTTCAGGTTTTGGAGCGTCAGCAAAGGAGCCTGTTTTCTCACGTGCAACTTGAAAATTAAGTTACCACAGCGCCCGGGTTTGATACAGCCTCGCTTCGTGAGCGGGCCACGGCATTTGACGGGACACAAGACATGGTCTTGAGTGGCTACACCGTTGCAATTTGTCATTGTTAGTGTATATGAACGTGATGTTGAAGTTTCACTGCAAATGAGACTGTCGTGCCGGTAATACTCATTGACCAAGACTGGAGATGGCCATGTCATGCCAACCGTATCTGAGAGTCTCCAATGAAAGGACTCGTCTTGGTAGTCCTGTCCAAGTCAATCAGTCAGTAAGACTGGCAACTGTACGTCTATCGGGAGTATTCAGGTGGGTTTTCTTGCATGTAGACTATTCCTTCGATTCCGAGTGTGGTTGGGTGGCGGAGTGTCGAAGAAGTTGGATGATAAAAGTAGAACGATGAAGGAAGAGGCGCATTTTGCGTGCAACCTTAACCACCTCCAGGAAGACCAGGGCAAAAGTCTTACGGGGAATGTGGAGATACATGCAAGTACGTGGGCACATAAGGAAGTATTCTCGCAGCTCCAACAGCCAAGGCTGAACGAATTAAATCGCGTTCATGTGCTAGCTTGGTGATCAAAAAGACCTCGCGTCGGGGTTTTCTGTGATGCCATAGATAACCAAGCAAGTGGCGTATTCTATCGGCAACAGGCTTTGATAGGGAGATATGAGCACATCCCCGTCTTCTCCAGGATGACCAAGGTCGGCATGATATTTTCGTTTGCTCGGAAATATACTGTGTATTATGAAGTTATCTACGTACGCTAGAACAAGACAGTCTCTGAAATATCGTTAATCTGCCGTCTTCTCAGTCGACACCGGGCCTCGCAGTGGCCTATCACTCGCGAAAGACGGATCATTCGTCTGTGTCGTAAACTGCAGCTTGGAAGCCAACAAGTCGACGCTATTCCCAAACCAGTCAGCAAACTCCCAGAGCCTGCCTCAAGGATCAGTACGTAAAAAACACTTACTACATAATAACGGGAAAGAAGCATCCCAGCGCATAAGCAGCCCGATCAACATATCTCGTCGCGGGACTACTCTGCCACACGTTCAACGAATGCGTAATAACCCGTATCGCCGCCGCCACAGCCAGCGAAGCGACGCGGATCTCTGTGCTGCGCATTAGGTACCGTATAAAGCTCGTCCGGAGACCGGCCTCTTTGGACGACTTCCTGACTTCGGCAAAGATGCGGAGGAGAAAGTAGGCGCTGACGCACTCGCTGACTGCAAGGAGGCCAAAGTAGGCGATGTGGATCCTGATGATGATGCCTTGGAGGCCGTCGTCTTTCCTTAGGATACGGAGGAGACGGTAGTAGATGATCATTACTTTGACGGCGGTGACGAGAACGAGAGTCAAACAGAATACCGTGTGGAAGACTTCGCGTTTTGTCCCTCGAAGGAGTCTGTTGAGGGTGATGAAGCTGTAGAATGGTAACCCTGCTTCTTGTATCTATCGAGCTTTCCGTCAGCAACGAATATGCAACACTCTTTCGAATCTTTACGAGAAGATCCAGAGACAGGAGTTCTCACAAGCCAGCATATATCTCCAATAGCTGCCGCTGCCGCCCTCTTCGCAAGAGGGTACGGCTTATCATAGTAAGCGTGGAAGTAGAGTCCATTCGCGATGGCACCAGCTGCTGACGACACGATGGGTACTACGATGAGCTTGGAAAACGACGTGATTCCAATAATCAACAGCCCCAGGAACACGTTAAAGACGCCGATGATGCTTAGCACCGACCAGGCGTGTTCAAAGTACGGAAGGCTGGGCGCTGCATCAAAAGTGGCGTTGATGGTGTTGGGCATACCGACGGAGTTCGGTAATGGCACTGGCGACGAGCTCGACATGTTGACTGCCATTGTTGTAGTATCTTTCACAACATCCCACCCGGCAGATTGGGATGTCGAAGGAGCGTGTGCTTTTACGCGTGTTCGGATTGTCGTCGACGTCTGGTCATTGAGGTGGCATCTCGCACAGGCGAGAGATTAGGTGGTATTGGACATCGTCAAATCTAAAGGGCGATGAAGGGTATTCCAGGTCAATTAATTAAATGGGGACACCACCCGCCCCCAGCTTTGCCTCTTGCTTGGGGTCTGTCCAAAAAGCCTGGACTGAAAGGCAGGGCACTTGAATGTTTGGAAGGTTCAACCCCCTCCCCAGTCCAGTCGAAGTATCATGACTTAAGGTATCCGCGTGAAGCGAACTTATCAGCGAACGGCGCAGGATGATCCAGGTCGGGATGTCTAGGTTGAGCTAGTTGTTGTTGGGAAACGTTGCTCTCGGAAACTTCCCCTCTCGGGACAGAGGCACGAAGAGGAAGAAGAGATGAACTCAAAAACAGCTTGACGGGCGCGATTGATGCCACGTGCGACTCGCACCAGCCCGGCTACCTGCAGGTCGGTACGATTCATGAAAGACTAAGAAGAGCAGTGATGGGTTTTCGGGAGTCTTGTTGATTGGACCGATGGATCTCATGATTTCATGTCTTCATCGGCAATCGAAGTTTATATCTGCCAATCCCTTCTTTCTGAGTTCTCACACAGCCAACCTAGTCTTAAGGGTAGAGATAAAGTGCCGATTACATAAACATCGAAGTTGTCGATATGGGCAGAGCATCAAGAAACCCAACTGCTCATGTGGTTTGCCATGTCTTATCTGCCCAGTACTATCTTGTCTTTTTCTACTTTGAATCACTTGGCCTAGAACACAGCTTGGCCCGAAGCTGTGCGCAACTAGATGAAACCAAAGCATCCTCACCATTTGATTTCGGATTTGGGACAACTGGATCTCCCCGGGGAAGATCACAACGAAGAAAACACCGCGGGATGCTATTGAGGGAGAGCAGGCTTTCAACGGACTCCGGCCATGTATGGCTGAATTCGAGGCTTCGCAATAATCTCAGCTACACCTTCTAAACGCAAAGTTCCGATCAAGCTCATGCGACTTCCCCTAAAGACTTAAAATGCAGTGCCTACACCTGAAGTAATGCCATAATATGGGCAAACACCGGTAGGCTGCCGAGTCCCTCAACACCTTGCGACACCAAATGAGAACATCACGACTTACACTGCCACCGGTGGGGGCCAGCCCGAAAGATCGGATAGGCTTGCCGACCGAAGCTCAGGATTAGGTTTTACGCGGCAAGGTCTCCCGGAGCCCTCTCTGAGCCATCAACAGCCTGGGCAGGTTTTGAAGTTCAGTGCGCAATCCTCAGATGAGGCCGTATAGGCTTTGCGTCGGTCGGTGCCTTATCGTCTCCCGGCATTGCTTATGAGCAACACGAGAGCAGCAACGATGTACACAAAGTTAGATATTCTGCCTTCCATGGCCGCCGGCAGTCACTCAAGTCGCGGAGAGAAGTAATGTCCGCGGCCTTCATATCTGACACTTGTGTTTTTTACTCACATAGGCGAAACCAGAGATACAAGCAAAGAGGTTAATGCCAAAGTCGACCACAAATATCGGAATCACTCTGTGAGAAGAGACAAGCAGTCAAGATCTCGTGAAAATCAGGTCTTGTGTAGCCATTCTTTATCACACAATTATCTTTCTTTTGAATTCCCTTCTCCTTTTTTTTCGGATCCCCAACGCCATCGCAATGCATTAGTCGACCAAGATGGTCCAGTTCTTGTCCACATCGGCCTCGAACGTCTCTCTAGACGGAGACCCAGATGATGAATCCCCTTTCCACCTTTTGAATGTCTTCTTCTTCCTCTGCCTTCTCTCCCTAGCCTATTGACTGACATGCACACGACATCCAAGTCTTACACCCGTAGTCGTAGCTGCCCTTGCTTCCTAGCTGTCTTTTGTTGTTCCTCTTCTTTCTCTAGCTCCACAAGAGCCCATCAAACCGAGGTCAACCGTACAGCACTCAAGTCTCTCGTGACTTGAATGTCATGTTCCCCAGGGATGCCACGTTGGAACTCGAAAGACAAAGGGGTATAAACCCACCCAACCACCTATCAAAAGAATCAAAAAAACGAAACCACAAATGTCATGTACAAACAAAACCCCTCCTCTCTCTCTCATCTCTCAAGCAGACCCCAGAATCAAACTCTCCACCATACCGCCCACAGAAGACGCCGTCTGCGCGCGATCAACCTCATTCGTGACCTTCCTCTTGAGCGCCCTGAACCCCTCAAACAACTCGGCACTATCACCCGCGTACTGCGCATACAGCTCCACAAGCACCATACCAACCTCAACGCACACGCTCACGTACCGCGGATCAATAATGTGATCGCACGTCCACTTCAGCACCGGCTGCACCGTCCTCTCATCACGTCCCTCAAGCGCCTCCCTCACAGCAGACCGGTGCCGCAGCGCAAGCAACAGCGTCAGCACGCCGAGCGGCGAGTGATCCTTGCCGCGCGGATCGAGCGCCTGGTCCAGCGCGCTCGCGTACCGTCCGTGACGCAGCGCCTTCTCCCACGCCTTTTCCTTGGGCGCGCTGGTGCGCGCGTCCTGCGCGACAATGACCTCGGCCTGGCCCTCGCCCAGGCTCTCGAGGCGGCGCATGGCCGAGGCTTTGCGCTTCTTGCTCTTGGCGACCTTGTCGTGCTCGTCGAGGGTGCCGGCGAGGAGGGCGGCCATTTCGCGGTCGCGCTCCTTTTGGCGGGTGGCTTCGGGGCCCGTGAGGCGCGTGCGGACGGAGAGCACGCCGGACTGCATGCCCACGACGAGGTGGCGGTCGTCGCTGTCGGCGGCGTCGGAGGCCGGGAGGACGCGGAGGGAGAGGATGGGGGAGGGGTACTTTGTCGAGGAGACGACGTTCCAGGCGGTGGTCTCGAATACTTTGACGTGGCCGTCGAGGCCGCCCGTCACGAGGCGGGTGCCGTTGGAGGCGAGGCTGAGGGAGGTGACGGTCTTTTGGTGGTTGGCGATTTGGTGGATGGGGCGGGCGGCGACGAGGTCGAGGACGGAGACCTGGGGGCCCGAGGCGGCGAGGAGGGTGGTGCCGGAGGAGAGGGGGAGGACGGACTCGACGGGGGCGGCGTGCTTGAAGGTCATGACGGCGGCGTTGGAGCCTATTCTCGGGTCCCAGATCTTGACGGTGGAGTCGTAGGAACCCGAGACGATGACGTTGCCGGCGCCCGAGGGGGAGGTGGCCGGGAAGAACTCTGCGCAGCGGACGTAGTCGGAGTGTCCCACGAACGTGTTGAGCGGGTCGTTGGCCGTGAGGTCCCAGAGGCGGACCGTCTTGTCGTCGGAGGCGGAGAGTAGAGTGGTGGGCTGGGAGCCGGAGAAGCGCGTGGCCCAGACGGGCTGGCGGTGCTTCGTCCATGTCTTGAGGATGGAGCGGGAGTGGGTGTCGAACACCTGCATGCGGCCCGTGTCTTCGGCGGCGACGAGGACGCGGCCGTCACGGCGCAGGGAGCCGGAGCGGGCGACGTCGGCGAAGCGGGTGATTGTCTTTTCGAGCTTGCGGGTGCGGGAGGAGTAGAGCTGGACGCGGGTTCCCGTGGTGACGGCGAAGAGGCCGTCGGTGGAGGTGGACGAGATGTGGGTGATTGGGTACGAGGTCGGCGAGGGGATCTGGAGCTGGTTCTTGAAGGACTTCCAGTAGCGCTGCTCGGCCGTCACGGGGGACGGGCCCGAGGGCAGCTTCACCTGCGGGAGGGGTCCCACGGTAGCTGCCATTGTGACGTGAATGCGTAGATCGCTTGAGACCCTGAGTGGTGTATCGTTGTAGGAGGTGCAGAGAGTTGCTCGCTGGTGTGGGGGAGCTTGGTGTTGCGGTGAAGTCGCAAAATGTGAGGGTATCGTCGTGAAGAACGTTGGTAGTAATTTTTTGGAGTTGAAAATGCTGATAGGCAAAAAAAAAGATTCTCAATTGAGAATTTCTTAGCGGCTAGTCCCGGTCGGGCTTAGCGGGTACCCCACGCGGGCGATAAGATAAGGCGCGGGGCCGGGACCTTCAAGCTTTTGGATCTTTGTCCTGAGCATTCCGGGTCCGAAGAAGACTCGAGAGTTTTTCAACCTACCAGAATTCAGGTGGAGAGTTCTTAAGAGGAAGCAGTGTTTCAAGGTCTACTTCACCGAGATCTCTGACCGAACTGTAGACTTCATGACGTGACGGCTCAACAGCGTACTGGGATGGATTGTAGACGCCATATCACCATTCCAATTCCACAGCAACGATCATTTGGCACAATTCATCCAATGTAGGCACAGATGGCGACCATCAACCAGTTCAACTATCGTCAAACTTTACACCATCACGCCTTGCTTAGTGTCTCCGTCCATAACTCTAGACCAATACACCTCGCGCGTACGTCCAGATTATCCATATTAGAATTCCGTTGGCCCCGCGCTCACGGGTTTCTGCCTTGACATATTCCTCCTTCTGTCCCTGGTCGCCCGTAACCCAGGTATACTAAGCAGCCCCTCGTCCCGTCTCGAAAAGTCATCGCCGCGCAATCCCATCCATCCTTCCAGTCCCCAAGCTCCTTCCCCAGCACGGCAGTCGACGCGCGGGGTTCCGGGAAAAATACACATGGTCGTCGGCAATTGCACATCTTCCGATTTTCCGGGATTTTCCCCAACCTCTGAGGCTGCATCTGCATCAGCTTCATCAAAAATCCAAGGCTGACCGCGACAAGCACTGCCGACATCCATCCCGTCCCATCCATCCAACAACCCCCCATGTATCATAGGGAAACCTTCACTCTCCTAGACCGGAGGAGGGGTCCTTGTGTGTTTGGTGTCTTACTCCTCACCGCCTCAATAGTAAACTAATTCCAGCATTGTAAGACAAGGAGTCAAGGACTACCTACCGGTACGGTGAAGATGGAAGAGCACTTCAAATTGCCCCCTTGTCAATGGTCCGACCCAAGAAAAGTCACTTCATCCACGTCCTACCTTTGTCGGTGTACCCATCGATGATCTTCACATCGCCCAGTGTACCAAAATGAACTCTTTTTCTTCTTTTTTTCCCAAGACAAAGTGACGCCTTTCGTCTGATGGGAACAAGAGGCTGGGCATCAAGAAAAAAACTCTAAAATAAAACCCAGGCCCTTTCAAGCTCCCCCCTCCCAAGCCCTGGAATTCCTACCTGACCTACGGAGTATACTGAGGGTCCTTGACTCCCGGGATACCTTCCTTACTACCCTGCCATTCCTCATTAAACTCTAAGCATAGACAGCCTCAAAATGTTTCCCCGGGCTGTGTTTACCCAAATAAAAAACAAAGTCTTGGCCAAATCCAACAATGTCCAAACGGGGAAATATGAAGACGACGGCAGGAAAACGGTCTGGGAGGGGACCCTGAGACGGTGAGGGGTGAGTGAGTTCCGGTTGAGAGCTGCGAAAACTGAGGGAGCAGCATGTTTCAGCTACTTCCCATCATTCTTCCGTGCATGGCCCCAAATGACGTCTTGCGTTAGTTATAAGTCACAAAAATTGGATCTTCACGTTGTCTTTGAAAAGTGTAGTTTGGGAATGTGTTTTTTTTTGTTTGAACCTTGTTTGAATCTTCATTGACCCGTAATGACCTTGTCTGATCTATGTGACACGCTAATAAAAGCATATTCAATACGACTTGTCGTCGTTTGAACTAGGGTATACCATCCTCTCTTTTTCCATCTCCCCTTTACTCGGCAGTACCGTAAATAGTCTCCATCATAATACCTGGATAGTAGTTAGCAAACTGTATGACGATGTGCAGTCTTTGTGTTTGTGAGTGTATAAACGTACCAGTAATTCTGTAGGGGTCGGCATTTGAGGCGGGGCGGCGATCCTCGAAGTAGCCGTAGCCCTTCTGGGCGCACTCTCTGGGGATACGGATGGAAGCACCACGGTTGGCAACTCCGTAAGAGAACGAATCGATGGATCCAGTCTCGTGGCGGCCAGTGAGACGCTTCTCGTTGCCCTCGCCGTAGACGGCAATGTGCTCCTTGTGGCGGCCCTCAAGCTTCTTGATGGCAGCCTCGATGTGCTTCATACCACCCTCAACACGCATCTCCTTGGAGGAGAAGTTGGAGTGAAGACCGGCACCGTTCCAGTCACCGGGGATGGGCTTGGGCTCGACGGAGACCTTGGCGCCGAACTCCTCGGCAATGCGGGCCAGGAGGAAGCGAGCGAGCCAGAGGTGGTCACCCATCTCAATGCCGGTGCAGGGACCGACCTGGTACTCCCACTGGGCGGGCATAACCTCGGCGTTGGTACCGGAGATCTTGATGCCAGAGTAGAGGCAGGCCTTGTAGTGGGCGTCGACGATGTCGCGCTGGACGACCTTGCCGGCACCAACACCGCAGTAGTAGGGGCCCTGGGGAGCAGGGAAGCCGTTAGCGGGCCAGCCGAAGGGGCGGTTACTGAGGTCAAGCAGAGTGTACTCCTGCTCGAGACCGAACCAAGGCTCGTGGGCGGCGTGAGCCTCCATCAACTTGGCGCACTCATGTCTGTAGTTGTACTTGTTGGGGGTGCCATCGGCGTTCCAGCACTCGGCGAGGACGAGGATGTTGGGAGATCCACGGAAAGGGTCGGGGAAGACGGCGACGGGCTTCAGGTAGACATCAGAGTTGTCGCCGGGGGCCTGGTTGGTGGAGGAACCGTCAAAGTTCCACATAGGAAGGTCCTCGGGGGTGTACTCCTTCTCCTTGAGAGTCTATAGAGGCATCTCTGTTAGCTTCATGATGATAGTGAGTGGCGCTATGATGCAAATGTGAATAGAGGCATGCGCGGGCGAGCTCGTGGGCCATCTTGGCCGTCGAGGCTGACATCATGCGCTGCGCTTTGCCGTCAGGCTGACGATGCCAGGCGGAGCTACCCCCCCCCAGTGGCCCCATTGGAGATCGTGGGTGTAGCGTGGAGAATGGCAAACACCCTCGGCCGGCGGCTGGCCAACCGGCTCACCGAAGACACGCCGACGGCCAAAAGGGGGGGCTGACGATGCGGCAGCGATTTGCAAGACCTCCAATACCCGAGCTACGGCGTTCAACCCTGCAGCTGGAGACGAGGCAAAAGCCTTGGAGCCAGGCGGACGTGGGGTGGGGTTCCTTGCAGGATCGAGTCGTGATCGAATCCTTTCAGCCAGTCCGGCCGTGGCCCTCAAAAGAAGAGACCAAGACCAAAGCAGCACGAACAGGTACGTACTACCCACCGCCAGACATGCGCACTGGAGGGGCAGGTGGTGTGTGTTTTGACCCCCGCCAAGCCCCAGTGCATGTCGCCGCCGCATCTGCTGCCGCTTGCTCGCCCGCCCACAGCTTTTTGCCCGCTATTCCCAGCCGGAAGTCGGAGACGTCCCGTAGGGGATGAGTCCAGAGCAAGGCGACCCGCTGCCCCAGCTTTTCCGTTGATGCAACCGTCGACACAAATGTAAGAGTGAAGGCATGAACCAGCTCAAACTGTGTCGCATCGCAACAGGAAAGAGCTGGGCGAGTACCATTTTCCGGTGGAACAGCAAGCTAGGCCGTCGGCAGCATCGCGAGAGGCCCGGGGAAAAGTATGAAAAAGCCAGAGGGGAAAAGAAAGACAAGGTGGTTGTAGTGAACGTACCCTCGACTTGGAACGGGTCTCGCCATCAGCGTCGATCCAGATGTACTCGGCCATAATTGAGCCCTTCTGGTCAAGCTTGAGGTACTTGGCCAACTATTCGACGGGTCAGCATGATTGCGTATTCGAAATGCGCAAAGGTGACGGCTGGGAGCAAGCTCCAGCTACGCCAAGCTCGGCACCGGGTATTGGTGTAATCTCACGGTCTCGGGCCTGGAGGTGAAGGCAGCTTCTGTCGCCTGGGGAGAAAAGACATGTTAGCAACTGTGACCTCTTCTTCTCCCTTTTTGGAGTTGGGCATCCATTATCGTAACTCGAGAGTAGCAAAAAGCCAGCACTCAAGGTCGCGATAGGAATAATATGACGTGGTGGGGGTAGAGTTTGGGACTTACCATTTTTGCGGTTGTGTATGTGTAATGTGATAAAAACGGGAAAAAGAACAAGGTCCAATTTGAAGATCAGATAAAGGTTCGAGCAATAGAGATCAAATGATCTATAGGATTGTAACGGGAGGAATAGAGGGATGGGATGTGGAAAAGTAAAGAGCAGGTACGATAAGAGCAGTCGAAGCGGGCGGTTGAGGGTTTTATGTTTTCCTCTGCCCGTCGTCTGGCAAGGAAGGTAGGCGCGGGCGCTGGTGGGAGAGGCAGTGAGAGAGTGAGAGAATGAGAGAGGCAGTTCGCTTGATGCTTTTTTTTCTTTTGCTGGTGCTGGCAGCAATCTGCAAGGTACCGTCGAGATACCTCAGATGTTTCGCAGATGACCGGCCCTGTTGGCGAGGAAAGCTCATGTGCAACCGGTACAGAACCGTAACTTTTGGCTCCCGTCTAGGTCTCTCGAGGTCTCTCGAGGGTCCCTCTTTGGTCCTTCAGCCCAAGATAAGGCCTGCCACTGCCTGTCCATGACGGCGGCAGGGGTATGGCTGGTTCTGGCTTCTGGTATCGATTGCGGTGGGGTGAGAGGGGTGGGCTGGTGGGGTGTGGCCGCGGAAACATGTGCCCTCCCATTCGTCCGCCAGCCCAGAGTTTGGGGGACCACAGATACATGCCAATTCTGATTCGGTTCCCAGCGTCCCACGAAGACAATGTCGAGGTACTTTGCCCGAACCCAGAACACCCTCTTCACCCACACATTTCCCACCCTTTAACCTGCCTTTCTGTGCTGCACCACCACTCCCGTCTGCCACTATCAGACCTCTCCCAAGTATCCCTACTGCCTGACCACGGCCCCGCGGTCTTCCACCACCGGCATCATGTCTCCGTGGGAAACGGAAATGCGACGGGCGGACCTTTCACCTCTAGAGGTATCGTCAACTTCCTCTTCTCCGTAAATGGCCCCTGGGAAACTCCTCTTCCGCTTCCACTTGGGTGGTTTTGTTCTGTCAACCCTAGTCTCCAAGACTGATAAGTACGAAAATCACTGATCAAAATGTGTGACGATGACTTCGACGTGCGCCCAGTAGCCCGTTGACGAGCCACTCAGAGGCCGCCCGGCACCGCCCTTGCGGCAGTATCTGCGACTAGCTGCTGCACCTGCGACCACCGACCCAACAATAACCACCTCGAGAAATTGTTGCTTTGTATCCAGGTCCGTACAGACTACAGGCAACAAGGAAACTGCAGGTATACTGCGTAATAATCGGGTGCGGCAAACCGGACTGTAAAGACCCAGCCAAAGATAGAGAGAGGTATCGTGACTGACGATTCAAGGACCAGCTGGGTACCTCTCACCCACAGGAGCCACCGTGCCACAACGCGGGGCACGTACCGGTACATGTCATTTACGAGGCCCACGTCCTTCGGTCCGCTGTCCGCTGTTTCTATCCTTGGATATTTGGGGTGCTCGTGGGCACTGTCGCCCGCCGCCGTGCCCATCGCCTTCGCCCTCGCCGCCGCTGTCGGGTCGCTGGCGCCGCTCCTACAGTCCTACTATCCGTACACTATTGTCGCTGTCAGTGTCTGTAGCGCTGCTAACGGTGCTAACGGTGGCTGTGGCACCCGCCTTTCGGAGTCAGGCCCTAGAGTTGGTTCCGTTCCAGACCGCTTTCGATGAAAGGGGTCCTGGAACTCTGATGCCCAAAAACGGCCGCTCCTGAGTAGTAATGGCGACTTTTCGTGAGGCCGTGTTTCGTCCGAATCTCGCTTCCAGAACGGAAAGGAGAGTGTATTGAATTCCTGTAAACTCTCGTCGTCGTAAATCCCGGGGGGTCTAGCCAGAGTGCCTCCTAGAACCGTTGCTGGCTCCGCGAATGGCTTGCTGGGCGGTTCTGAATACCCCGAGGTAAAGTAGCGTCGCTTGCAACTTGGTTGCTCGGGTTCCACGCCGACGATCGCATGGCCATATTGCGACAGCGTGCATATTCCTGGCGCGGAATTTCCTTGGGATGGCACTGTACTCTTCCGGTCAGCTTTGGGGGTGTGTCGTCAGGTACCTCAACTTTTCAAAATCTCGTCAGCTTGACGACCTTTCCCTCGATTCGACTTTCCCAATTTCCCCGCCAAAGGACCCTAGGTCTCAGGATCGTGCACCAGCCACTCAGAGTCGGAGTCTCACACCCTCACCGGCCCCAGAATCGTAACGTCCTTTCCATCGCACAAATCTTTCTCGTTCCGCCGGCGCAACTCATCGCGGCACGGCGACGCGCGCACTTGCGCTAATTCCCCTATCATCATCAATCTCCAATCCTTGCCATGGCTATGCTTGCCCGCGGCGCAGGAAAGGCACCGATCCTCGAGGAGTTGCTTCCTTCGTCCTGTCGTTGGCACAGCTTCCGCCTACGTCGTGCAGCTGGTCGTCTCATGAAAATTTTGCCAGCCTCCCGGGAGTGATATCTCGATTACTCTCAACGTTGATTGTCGTGGGCTTTGTGCGTCTCCTTGTGCGAGTTTGTAACCCCTTGGTGGGGGTATATCCCGGCGACCCTTATTCATTCTCAAGGTATCTGTACCTCTGTGTCATTTTGACTCCCAAGTTGGACTGGTCCCAGACAAAGCCGTCACATATCCCACCACGAGGCTATCGAGCCTGTCGACCCATAATGCGGCGGCGAGGGGCAAAAGGTGGGGTGTGGTGTTGCTCTGGACCAGATGCGCTCCCAAGGTCAGATCTGTGGTCAGTGCGATGGCTTCTAGTCGGTATCCTGTGAGCGACAGTGTGTTTACAACCAGGCCCGAGTCATTTGGGGGAGTTCGGAGGAAACCCCATATCGCAGCTTCTCTCCGACAGCGGGATGGTCATCTTGCTGAGCCCAAACCTTCGGAATCACTAGCCAACTTGTCCTTCCGGCCAAATTCGATGGTGTTTTCGTCAGCGAACCCCCAAGGAACCCCCAAGCTTTTGCTCCACGAATCGACCATGTCGAAGCTATCTTCGGAGGGATACCCAATCCACATGGCCTGCCGTGACCCGTCCCTGCAAGACATGAGTGAATATCTGGCTGATATGCAGCCCAAACGTCTTGGACGCTGCAGGATGCACAAAGCTGGAGTCGCCCGCGAGAGGAAGGCTGGATTCTCTAGTTCTTCCTGGTCCATTGCCCCTCCCGTAAGACGTAGCTGGAGGAACGGCATGCTGTCCATTCGTCGCATGTTCAGTCGGTCTCCAGTCGGCCATATCACACGCATTCTTCTTCTTTTGATAATACGGCGTATCAAAGTCGGGCTCCCCCGCAATTTTTGCTCTCGGCAGGGTATTCGTAGGACTACGGTACCTCCGTCCCATCGCCGGATACACGATTATCCCTCAACATATCCATACGGATAGACCGTCCCAACATCTCACTCGTCGACCACGGTTGATTCAGGCTGTATGCTGAATGTATTCTGGGAAACCATTGCCGCTCCTAGACAAACTTCAGGTAAAACTTTGATGATTCCATTATGGAACTTGATCTCCAGATGTGACCTGCAGGAGACCTCCATCTCGGGTGTCTCCAAAGCATCAAGTGTGGGACGCTAGTGGGGGATGGTGCATTTTGCATTGTTGGCTTATCGCTGGGCGCTGATTGGTTGAAGCACAAGTGCAGAATAATTGAATTCTCTCAGGAGCCGTGTCGGTTCCAAGGTCTCCTTAAAGACTGGCGTTAATCTCTCGAGGAGCTCCTCAGCTATCGCGGTGCCCTTGACTGCTAAGCACCTTTCCCTCTCTTGTCATTCGCGACTCCAGTTGACGGGCAACGATGTGTAACTTCACGAGGTGTCGTTGACCTCGGTGAAGTGTGTGACAGCTGACAAGCTTACTCGGTGGAGAGCCGCGGCAGTGACATGGGGACGCTGCGAACATGAGGTGCAGTCAAAGGTACCCCGTCCAGGGCGGACAATTGCTGTTTGGGTCCCAACCCGAGGGCTAGTGCCGCAATGTTGGATTCTGGAAAATGTGGATGGAGCAGCCATGTTGGGTTTGGGCGCCGGCCCGGCGGGGATGGGGAGTGTGGATGAATCGGTTGTGTGGTGTTCCTCTTGTTGATTGACCAGACCAAGACTCTGCAGAATCGGCTCGCCTACTAGGTCGCCGGGATCGGGCAAGGAGGAGCAGCGGCAGCGGCCGGCAAAGGAGGCACGGCAGCACCACCACGGCCCAAGATTTTTGCGGTCGGCTGCTCCGACGACATTCGATGTCCGCATTCCACACCGGCAGTCCATGGACCAGACCCATCTCGATCGGCCGCCTGCGAAGGTCAACCCTCTGTCGTTTTCAACCACGAACTCGCTGGTTTTCCTCGTCGACTTTTCTCCTTCAATCGCATGCGAGAAGTCGTCATTTCCCATCGTCCGAACACTACGAACAACGAGAATTCGCCGGTCTCGTCGCTGAGTGGTCGGCGTTGACACACAGTAATTCTCTCATTGGTCGGCTGCCACCCGCCACGATCGGGACTTGGCTGAACACTGCCGGGGCACCTGGGCGAGGCATGTCAGGGCCCCCGATCGAGAGTCTCACGAGGTCGAAAATGACGTCTTTGGCATGGCCGATTGGGGGAAGCCGACCCAGAATAGCGGCGATACTATCATGGGTTCCGGTGTGATGTCTTTCAGGAGGTATTCGAGACTGCAGGAGGCAGCCGGGAAAGCAGGGCCGGGAGACAAAGACGGCTTCCGTGACGTCGGCCGCGACAAGTGTCGGGCAGGGCCTCAATCTCGAATTCGACTACGATGTGCCAGCGTGGGGAACCGGAATCGGGAACTGGGAGTTTCTCACAAGCCACTCGGTTCTTCTGGAACCAGTTGTGTATCCCTCAGGGGGGGTGCATCTCGGTGATGGCAAGCGTCACATGGAGAGGCCGAGGACGTGTGTGCATGGCGACGCGACACGAGCCCACAGCAGGGCGCAGTCGACATTGTTGCCAGAGCCGGGTTGAGTCAGACTCGTGTTCGGCCGACGGCGGTCAGTGGTTATTTTCGGAGTATCGTTCCGGGACAAGCGGTGGGAGATAAGACGGGAGGGCGTTCTGGAACTTGCATGGAGGATGTCCACGGTCCAAGGGACCAAAGTGGAGGATGATTTTGATGTGTCACAGCGCGCCCACGATGTGCGGCGTGCCTGAAAGCGCAGGGCAAGGCGAGGCGCCGCACCCAACCGTTCAAAGAGACTGTCCAGGCCCAACAATGGAAGACACCGGGTGGGTGTCCCCTTCCTTCCCGTCTCCTCTCATTCTTAAATTCTTCCGCCTGCAGGATGTCCTGGGAGGGAAAGAGTGGATATGCGCCAGTGCGTAGATGGCAGGAACCTCTGCATTCGTACTGTACCAGAAAATAGGGGTCGTTTCCATCGTTGAGGCAGCAACTGCAGCAGTAATCGCGACTTCTTGTCTTGGGTTGCTGGCAGGTGCTCCTTCTGTCTTATTTGCAGGCAGGAGCAACAGACCAAAATATCACATGATACGGGTATACCTAGGTACAATCAGATCAGGAAAGAGCAATACAAGATGTTTTCAAACTGGGAAGTCGCGCTTGCCCCCTGGAGCTCTTGTCCAACGATGATTTTGGCCAAGGTAAGTGAAAGAACGGAAGGCTAAGCCACCAATTTTGCTCCATGCTGCGATTTCTGGCTTCATCCACTACATTACGATTCAACTCTACATTCTTCCCTGACACCAGCAATCCATATTCTCCCGCCGTCTTCGCACCATGAACTGGACAGAGGGGGCCCTGGCTCGACATTCTCGAGGGAAGGGCTGGAAACCGGAAGTCGCCAAACAGAAACAATACTTCGCAAAGGCTCGTTCCGGATTTCATGGTCCTCCCAAGCCCGGTCTCGATTCTATTTCCTTTCTCTCTCAACAGGCCAATCCTTCGGCATATCCTGTGAAGCGCCTCCCGACAGTCCCGTCACAGAATTCGCCGCACTTCCTGCAGCACCAGCATTTCCAGCACAGCCAGCATTTCCAGCACAGCCAGCACAATGTTCCTCGGGAGCGCCAGTACGTGCGGAAAGAACCCATGTTTGCAGTAGATCAGGGCATTCTACAAGAACCTGGTTCGCGGCATACTGCCAAGAAACGAAAGCTTCCCGACAATGAGCCAGAGCTCTTGGATGCGAAGAGGCACCGCTTGCTACAAAAGGGCGATTGGGCTGGGATCAATGTCCAAAAGTCGCTGCCTCTCCATTTCTCAGGCGCCAGCAGCGCAGATAGTCGCCAAATTTGGGGCTTTCGCAACAAGCACCCCGCGGGGCAATCTGCCCCCTTCTGGGAGCAAAATGGGAATAGAGGGAGACCGCTACAAGGCAAAGCTATAAGCTGCATCAGCACGCAAGACGGAGACAGAGACGTCAGGATTCGAATCGGCAGTGAAGATATTCGGTACGACAGAGGAAGTCAGACCACGGGGCAAAGCTCTCGGAACCGTCCTCTCCGAACTGCGACCAACTCGAAAAACTTGCGGCAGTCGGAATACTTCGGGCAATCCTCGTCTCAAAACTATGCGCAGAACTATGGTCCTCCAGGATTGCACGGCTATAGAGCTCTGCCAGCTTCCAGAAGGGAATCTTCAACACAGCGACAGCATGGACAGAGTGCTGCGTGCCGCGGAAACCCTCCGAGCTCCTCAAGGTCATCCAAGTCACATAGGCATCTGACCCGACTTGAGCGTTTACAAAAGGAAGGTCGATCATTGCTTGTTGAATCATCTCCTTCTAGGGTACATCATCCTGTGCCTCGACGACTGAGCCAGCTTGTCCTGCTTGAGAGATCAGGGAAACCAGCGTCCGAAACATTCGGGAGTACCATTGGTCAAGTCGGTCGCAACCCAGTGCAAGAAGTTGCGCCACCGGAATGGAGTGAGAATGAGCGATGGCATAAGATGATGGAGTCTTATGAGGACCAACCCAAAAGTCCAGTCGAGCAATATCCCGGTGGAAGTCGCAAATTCGTCGAGATCAGTCCCGGAGTCAGCAACATCCTTAAATTCAGCAGCTCGGTAGCTCAAGGTCCAAGATTCGACTACCCTCCGATGAGCACATCTTCGGGCTCTCATAGTGATAACACGGCGCCAGACAACTTGCAAACTGGTCACTCCAGCAGCTTTGGCACGCCAAGACAACATGATGGCCAACCAGGAAATGTTGCAGAGAGAATGCAGTCCTCGTCACCTCTGCTACCAATCAGATCATCCACTCTATCAGCTGGTCGAGCAAAAGATGATCTTGACAGCGATAAGGAAGGTTCCCCTCGGAACACATGCCTGGCGCGTACAGAAGCATGCTCAGATCATGGCCATGACACGGAGCCTCGACAGCTACCGTCAATGTTCGAGTCGGATAGCGAGGAGGAAACGACTCTTAACAAGCGAGAGCCAAATGAGCAAAGCATTGGACCTGCCGACGAAGAACACGAGGATGTCGAAAATCCGATCTTCCTACATGCAGGTGCTGAACATACTGCACCGGTGCCAAGCTCAGGAAAGGTAGATTTGGATACGGAGTGGATGAGCTTCATATTCGGCGAAGATGTCGACGACGATGAAGGCGTTGCCTTCCAAGAATCGCTCAAGGAAGCTGCACGAGACTTACGACCATCAAGCAGTTTAGTTAGCGACCACTACCAAACTTCTGTGGCTCCCATCTCGGACCTTGACTCCAAAGAACTCGCAACACACGAAATGCACCAACACCAAGATGAGGATGCTATAATTCCGTCATCGCCAAGATATTCTCCAAAAGCCAGACAGACAGACATGACTATCCGCAGAGATCTTGTAGACTGTACACCAGAGTACAGCCACTACCAAACCACTGACACAGATATTGCAGGCTCTATCATAGCAGAAGATTCGGACTCTGTCAAACTACAAGCCGGAACAGAGTCTCTAGCATCTGAAGTTGCTCCAACACTGATTATGGACTCTATGTCGATGATTGCACAACCATCTGACTCTGAGTTGAGCGAAAACGTGGGTCAGAGGTTTGCCAAGCCAAAAACCTTTGTTGGGAGACTAGCTAGCTTGTCAAGCCGAGACCCTGGACCGGGTTTGCCCCTGAACGTACACAACGTTTCCAAGAAAAGGGGTAGGCCCAAGGACAGATCGAGAAAGAAGAAGGCCAAGGATGGACGTGCCAATATCCGAGGGCTACCTGATTATGACGGCGATCCAATTGAAGGCGGATCAGATGAGTAGTACAGGACGATTACTCGCATTTTGGGGGAAGGTTGCTACCTGCATTCACATCACACACAGCATGGCTGAATTTTGGAATGGGTCTGTTGTGGCATCCTTTTGACATTCGTGGGATATCGACCGTTGTTGGGACCTGGCCCTATCTACTCTAGAAACGGACAGAACAATGTACAATGCAAGAAGAAGAAACACACAAAAACCCAAAACAAGAATGATTGCTCCAATCCATGAAACCCTTTTCACCCAAAATCGTCCAAAACAATGTTTGCGTTTCCGTTTGCTCCGGCCAGAACCCAGCACAGCTGTCCCTGCCTAGAAGCAATCGATCTCATCTGTATCAAATGCAGAACCCTTTTTGCCTTTCACCCATTTTTTTTGTTGATTTTGTTTCCATGTCATCTTTTTTTGTTGGTTTGACTTGATATCTCATGATGTCGTTTTGAGAGTTTGAGAGAAATAGAAGAGGAAGAGGGTTTATGTGTGGCAGGATTGTTCATACTCGATGAGCGGCTAGCGTTCCTGCCAGGCTTCATCTTTCTTTTCACCCGCCACAACCACTTCTTCTTCATCTTCTGCTTCTACCCTTCAACAACCACCTCCTGTTTACCAGAAGCCAAGGGCATGGCCGTGGCGGCGGGGTTGGTAGACGGCCTCGCGCTTGCCCTCCTCGGCGCGCTTGACGGCAGCCGGGGTGGACGTGGGCACGACCGAGACGGTCTGGGTCAGAACGGAGGTGACGGGGGCGGTGGGGCACGCGCTGACGGTCACGGTGACGGGCGAGGCCGAGGGGCAGCTTCCGCCGCTCTCGTCGCCGACGCTGCCGCCGTTGTTGGATCCACCGTTGCCGCCGCTGCCTCCGTTACCACCGGTGTTGCCGTTGCCGCCTGCTCCGGCGCTGGGGAGAGCCGAGGCGATGGTGGTGCCGGAGGCGGAGCTCGCTGCGTCGCTGATTGTTACCACGCCGGTGAGGGAGCCGACTGTGACTGTGACGACGCGGGGAGGGGCGGGGGCGGAGGTTGGGGCGGGGGGTTGGGCGGTCACGTAGACTGTTGTTACGCGGGGCGGGGTGGTGCCCTCGGCGGGGATGGTGGATGTCAGGGCGGAGGTGACGACCTCGGTCTGGGCTGGGGGAGAGCCGGAGCCGGAGGGGCCTGCGGTGGGCTGGATTGTGACTGTCACGAGGGAGATGACGGGGGAGCCTGAGGGAGGGGCGAGGGTCATTGTGATGACGGAGGTCTTGGGCTCGTTGGGGCGGGGGGGCTCAGCTGAGCGGGAGATGGATGCTGAAGCGGAAGCGGCACCGGAGGCCGAGGCCGCGGGGATGGTGGCGGTCACGTAGACTGTGCTGATGATTGCTGAGCCGCCGGCGCTCTGGGGAGGGAGGGTGGTTTCGACGGCTGAGGTGACGACTTCGCCGCCCTGCTCTGAGGCTGCGCCGCCTTCGCTGCCGTTGCCGCCGTTGGTGGGCTGAGGGGGTTGCGCGGTGACATAGATGGTTGAGACGATGGGCTGGCCTCCCTCGGATTGAGCGGGCAGGGTGGTCACGACGGCGGATGAGCTGGCGACTGCGTCGACGGAGCTGACGGCCGTGCCGGAGGCGGCGGGGACACCTCCTGAGACGATTGCGGTCACGTAGACGGTGCTGATGATGGCGGAGCCGCCTTCGCTCTGGGGAGGGAGGGTGGTCTCGATGGCGGAGGTGACGACTTCGCCGCCTTGTCCGGAGGCGCCGGGCTCGTTGGAGGGAGCGGGAGGCTGGGCGGTGATGTAGATTGTCGACACGATGGGCTGGCCTCCTTCAGACTGGGCGGGGAGGGTGGTGATCACGGCGGAGGAGGCGACGGCATCGGCGGAGCTGACAGTTGTGCCAGAGGCAGCGGGCACGTCGCCGCCACCAGTTCTAGTGATGTAGATTGTCGAGACGATGGGTGCGCCGCCCTCGGACTTGGGAGGAAGAGTGGACACGACTGCGGAGGTCTCGACGGAGCCGCTGGCAATGGCATCGACGGAGCTGACAGCCGTCCCGGAAGCAACGGGGACACCACCAGACTTGGTGATGTAAATGGTGGAAACGACGGGGGCGCCACCCTCAGAAACGGGAGGAAGGGTGGACACGACTGCGGAGGTCTCGACGGAGCCGGCTTGCTCAGAGGCACCGCCGGTGGCAGAGGGCTCAGATCCGGGCTGGCGGGTGATGGTGATCACCGAGACGATAGGAGTGCCAGAGGGCGAGTCGGGGTTGGCTGGGAGAGTGGTGGTCAAGACCTGGGTCTCAGGGGCAGCGGGCGTCTGGGAGGGAGGAGCAGCGGGAGTAGCGGGAACGGTGATGAAGCTGATACCTCCGGATCCGATGGTGGCGCCAGAGTCAGGAGGCAGAGTGGTGGTCGCGATGACGGAGCCACCATTCTCGAGCGTAGCGGAGGGCAGGCTGCTTCCTCCAGAGACGGGGCCACTGGGGAGGATGACGGTCTGGGTAACGGTCACGGGCACGGAGACGGTGACGGTGGCGGTCTTTGCTGCGTTCTGGCAGTTGACGAGTTGGGTCTGGCACTGAGAGATGGCAAAGTTCTGGCCGGCGATGCTCTGGCACTGGGTAAATTGCATACCGCAGGCGGCGCTGCAGGCAGACTGGAACTGGCCAAACTGCTGGCCGCCAACGACGAAGCCACCCTGGTCGCCCTGCTGGACGGCGGGCGGGGCGCCACCAAGGGCGGAGATGAACTGGAAGAAGGTGACCTGGGAGATGACGATGATCTGGGGCTGCTGGATGACGGCGGGGGCGGAAGCGGTGACGGTGCGCTCGGTGGTGATGACCTCGGTGACGGTCGAGTTGTTCTCGAGGGTGGAGGTGACGGTGGCTACCTCGGTGAGGGTCGAGACCTGCGGGGTGGCGACGGGGATCGAGGTGTTGAGGAAGATGCCCGTCGGGCCACCAGTGCCGGGAGCAGCGCCGGCGGCGGCAGTTCCCGTCGAGGGGGGAGGGGGCGGGATGCTGATGCTCGACAGGATCGGGGAGGGCTCGACCTGGCGCTTGTTGGGGTGCCGGTGGTGGCGCGCGAGACCGAGCTCGGCGAGGAGGCAGACGAGGGCAGCTGACTTGAGCAACATGTTGTCTGCTGAAAGGATCGTGAAGCTAGCGGATGGCTAAAGTGTTCTCAAGTTGGATATGTCGTGTTTGATTTCGTTTGGATCGTTGGTGATGAAGGAATGGACTGAAGCAAGGCCCTTCAAGGGAGATGGGCGACTAGCACCGAGAAGAGAATGACAGGATGCTGTTGGAAAAGAAGGTAGCGAAAAGAAAGAAAATGGCAAAGGAATCACCAAAGAATGCAGAGCGATGAGGCTGGTGAGAAACAAGAAGTTCGTTCTAGAGACGGGAAACGAGCCCTTCTTTAAACATTCTTTCTTGCCTCTTGCCTTCCACCTCCCCAGAAGCCATGTTAGTCCAGATGGATGCTTGCTCCTCCTTCCTGGGGACCAGGGTTGCTCTCGAACTGTCATGGATCGGGTTATCCAGTACGGATACCTCACCTCACCTACGCCTCCTGAACCAGACTGGAGCTAGCCTGACGGTAGTGCGGCGTCGCCATCGCTTTGGGTTAGACATCGTGAGACGTCCGGTCGAAGAGCAGGTTGTCTGCGGGGCTAGGGTAGGGGTTGAGCTTAACCGTCGTCTGGTGTTTACGATTCCAAGAGAGGGGCAGGCCCGCGGGGTGGAGGGGAGTGGAGGAGGGCTCTTTGCCGGGGCGCGAATGGAGTATTTGCCCACGGAGTATTTACCCTGTGGAGGATCACCACCACCATGCTGGGAGGAGTATACGTAGCCTATGGGCTGTATTCGTAGGTGGACGGGCTGGGCGGCCGTAGACGTTTGCTAAGAAGCGACGTGAAGGCCGTGATGCCATGCCGGGATGACGGGGGATAGCTGGTGGGATGGCCGGGGGTTAGGCGTCGACGTCTGTGGGCTCTGGACGGAGGTGATGTGCATAATAGGATGATATGGCCGAAGGTTACAGCCTATATCACATCTTAACACTGTTAAGGCATGCGCGTCTTCTCTGCAGAAGCGGTCGTGAAAGAGCGGAGCTCAATAACTAATTATGGGAACATTAGAAGATGAGGAGATGTTGTTCAAGAACGCAACGGTACGTGTAGATCCAAATCTTCATCACTCGATGATGTTGTACTGTTGTCGTGATGTGCGTAATGTCCAGGAGCAAGAATGATCTCCCGTTAGTTCTCCCGTTAGTTCTCCCGTGATCTACAAGCGTCCGTTGGTGTCCTGCAGTCCTGCTTCTTGTTTTTTCTCCGAGCCGTGTCTGTTCGGCCCACCCAAAACGAAGACATTTCGAATTTCTAAACATCCAAACAAGGCAGGAACCCCCCAGCTTGAAGTGAAAGAAACAGTGGGCAGAGCAAAAGATATGGGAAGGCGGGTTCAGGGAGTGGTTCTCGGGCGAGAAAAAACTTCTTTGCTCAGGGGTGTTATCCGTAAGGGGGAAGGAATAAGACCAGGCGATATCGAAATCTGCTCGCCGTCCGATGTTCTGAGCCAATGGCATCAAGCTTGAAAAGAAGAACCGCTCGCTTGGTCGGTTCAGGGAACCAGCTTGTTGAAGGAGATGTTGAATGGAGGCTCAGGGGCAAGTCGGTGGAAGAAGTTGAGGTTCACTTTGAGTGCCCAGAAGAAGGGGGACGTTGGATGGGATGGAGTCGGGAGCGGCGCTAGGAAGGGCCGGGGGGAAGGGATGGCGGCGATAGCGCATGATTTTCGCGGGGGGTCGAGGATCAATCGGACCTGGCCGCCGTGGTCATCGGAGAATTACAGCCAATCGGGAGGGGGATCGGTACGGTCTTGCTTATATAATGCTGCGGCTAAGTCCCACTTGGCCGTTTGAAGATGCCAGCGCCTTTCCCCTGGGACCCGTGGCTACCCCCGTCGAACTCGACGGACCTCCAGTGACACCCAGTGGCATCCACGCCAAATTCATCCCAAACACGCTTCTCCCCCTGGACCTGGTTGTTCCTGTTTCAGCTGATTTTCCAAAGAGGAAAGACTCAGCCTCGTCCCAACTCCCCTTTCTGTATTCCGTCGGGTACCTGAATTTCACCCGTACCTTAGGTTGTGGCTTCTCGTCCCTGACCAGATACTCCGGGTGAATTCCAGGGCTTCTGGAGTCTGCGGATTCTCCACTCATCCAATCAAGTTTCATAGTGTTTCCACCCTCCATCAACTTCACCCCTACGACACCTTCAGGCTTCACCCCTCGTCTGGATACTGTCCTTCAATGTTCCAACGGAAAAGACCCCAGATCACGTGCAGCCAGTCTCTTGAACGTTTGTTCGCACATCTCCTCCCATTCCTTTCCCTCATGAACTACACCCACTCACACCCGATTCTTCCATCTGATGTCATGTCATCCAACGCCCCAGACCTGGCACCCCTGCTCTGGTTTCACGAAGGCTAATTACAGGAGGCTTCTTTCGTGCAGCCTTGGGACGACTGTGGATCACTCTCTTTCTCTGGACTTACAGCCTTCCTCCCCCCTCCCCTTCCCGACCCATCTCCTGTCAACTTTTGGCCCGATGACATAAAGACAACCACACGACGGGGAGCGTTGGGAGCGTCGCATGTGCCGACAGATGAATAGCAGAGCAGAGTCGCATCTATTATAGCTCTCAGGCCCATCCTCCCCCGGGCAGTCAACTCACGACAGCCTTCGGAGATTCTTCACTGCAAGCTTTAATGCATCACCACTACCGTGGTTCGTCCGCCCGCCGGGCCCTCGCTCACTCGCATATTTTGTGCTGATCACCATGGTCCGCTCGTCGATCCCGCGGACACGTCAAACCATGAATAAGGTCTGGCTTGTGCGACCCATGCGGGAGATCGCTGGCTGGCTGGTCCCCCGCCGCCGCCGCAACCCCTCCTCGGTTTCGGCGGTCCTTTTCCTCCCCCTCTAGTCCCCTGACTACCCTACCAACACTCTTGATTGTTTAAAATTGCAGAGGGGCCACACACGTCTTTGGGTGAGACCGCTCTTGTAGCATCATCCCAGAATCGGCAACCAGTTCACTCTGCGGTATAGACTCTTCTCGGCCTCCGCGATATGTCGAACTACGAATCTGACTTCTTGGCCTTTGTCTCTAGCAGTCTAGCTCGGCGGATCGATGATGAATCGCCGTGTTTGCTCTAATGCGACCTTGACGGTGAACGGCTATCCTTGGCGAGCGGGCCTCTGTGGATGTCTACTCTCTCCTTCTTGGCTTAGTCGTGGTCTTCGCAAACAAGGTACTCGTCTGTCGGGCTGTCACCAAGAGTCAGTGACTCTGCTAGATGCCCCGAGAACATCCAATTAGGACTCAAACCTGATCAGAACGGATCCTGCCTCGCAAGGCGCTCAGCGGGAATGGTACTAGATCGAGGGCCATCAAGGAAAGAGGCTGTCACTTGTGCTTAGGATAAACCCATGGCGAGCCCTCTGACAAGCTACGCTTCATCCAAGCCTGGCAGTCCCAGCGAGAGACACAGAGAGAGATCCAGGATTGCTAAAGACAACTGGCTCAGCCATCCTGATGGTGGAAACACCGCCTCCAGAATGTCAGTGGTCGCCCGCTCTCTCCGGAGACGGGCGGTTACGCCCTACCCCGAACCCTCCCATCCTGCAACCGCCACCGTCAGATATAGCAACACAAGAATGCGTCTAGACCATGAAACCGGCCTTCTGGTCCAGAGTCATCAGCCCTGTGTACGACACCGCACCCTGAATTAGGGATGCTGCCTCTGGTCTGCAGATCATCTGCGAGACTAAGAGCCTAAGCCTGCCGTCAAAAGTCCGGCATGAATATGAGAGCCGGGGTGGTGCTGCTGCGCCCTTTGACGATCGAGTCTGGAACTGCCGCACCTATCTTCTTGTTGAGGTGTTTTTCTTTTTGCTTGAGGAGCATAGCCAAGCGGCATTGCATCATCGATCTTGAGGTGTTTTGCACACCCCCTCGAGACATTTGATGCGCAATTTTGGGGCTGAGTATATGATTTTGTTATTGTAAGCACTGAATATGGCTTGCATGCGTATTTGTTGAATCGCAGCCTGAGGTATCATGGCGATGTGGTCAGCTACTTCAGTGGGACAGCGCGGGACGGGCTATAGTCTGAAATCACCTCATCCGCTCTCACCAGCAATAAAGGGAACCTTGCCCAGAAGCGTAAGATGGTTATACACTAATCCTGAGTGCAAGTTTACCGGGCTGTAGTTTGTGGGTTTGAATTCCACAAGCGCCTTCTTCATTTTTGTTTATTATTCCAATCTATCATTACACTTTCACCTTTTACATTAGGGAGAACAGCGTCAAGTTGCTGAGTAGACTCGACTGGACTTGGCAACAGCATTTTATGGCGCATACGGAATCCGCTAAATGCTGAAAGACCCATGGCTGGCCGGGCTGACTACTACAAATAGACTGGTTGTCATTTGCCATCGACAAGTCTGTCGTTGATGGTGACTGCTGTTCGTCTTGGTCCATGAGTTTGCGAATTCGCTACGTTCTGGACCGGTGCATTCGAAAATTTGGTGGTATCGATCAGCTGGTGCATGCTATATCCGGCATGGTTGAGAGTGCAATCGATTATTGTGAGAAACAAGAAGCATCTGGTGAATGGTTTTACAATCCCGCTTGATTCTGAAAAGGCATGTATATTTCTGAGTCGGTCCGCACAGTTGGAATTACTCTTCTAATTTACCTCACATATCATAGAGTGACATCACTGCTACCCCAAGCGCTAGAAGTACCTTGAGCTGCTTAAAGACTGATGTCGATGAATTCGTCGTTCACTTTCGTGGAGCTTGAACTCAAACGCAGGCCAGCAACCATTTTTTTAATTTCATCACTTGAGATCCTTCTTTGCATGATAGGGAAAGGGTGAGTCCGACTCAAGAGAAGAAGACTTTTACCTTAATTTCTGGTAGTCCGAATGCTGGCGGACGGTAGCGATCGGAGCCGTCTTCCGGGTCGACTCAGACTGAATTGCAGTCGTAAGTGGAGACAGTTCACCGGCCCGGTGCATATACTCGGCCCGGAGCTCCGCGAAAGCTCGGAAGTAGGAACCGGGCCGGGCGATTGGTGGAAAAGGAGTTGAAATAAAGTTAACCCCAGAGGGAAGACAGAACGGGAAGTGGTTGAGATCAATGGAATGCACATCGAACAGACTGTTCCTCTCGGAGTATCGGGAATATTAGCTAACAGAATTTACATGGCTGGCCATCGCCGAAGACGGGCTCGGTAGTCGAGCGCTCGGTGTGGGGTAACGGCCTCCGGATTTCGGGGGATGCCCCGCCGCCAAGTGGATGGGAAGCACGCAACCTGTGCGTTAGACGTTTCCAAAGGGCACAGTGTGCGCTTCGGCCCATGCCTCGAGCACAGGCGATCGCTGAAGCTTGCGTGTGACCCGAGCCACAGGGCGCTCCAACTAAGACGACGGCGTCCCGGATAGTGCGAACTGAGAGGTACATGTCGTCGTCTCCAGCGCATGTGCTTCGTTCCAGTTTGTGCGACGTTTGTATTGTCGGCTGGGGATTACACGGCGATGGTACTCGATCTATGATTTGAGGCTTTTCTTCTTTTTTGAATCTAAATAGGCTTGGTGTCATCATCGTATGTGTTGGTGTTGGAAGTAGCAATGTGGTCCAGGTGTTCTTCCATCCGAGGTCTTGTGCCTTACTGTGCTGATCTCACCTGGCCCAGACCTTCCCAGCTGGGCCAATGTCTGTGACCCTCCCATTCCCCATCCCCCATCCTCAACCCCCCACCCCTGGCAGTATCCAACATCATCCTTCCATCACCTGCCGTTTCGGTGCCATCTCTTCGACATCGTCAACTTGCGATGGAACCGAGAATCAACGTCCATATTGTCTAGTTGCCTTCCATTCACTAATCTTGATCCATTTCTACTTGCTGGCACCGTCTTCTCTGTTTTGTATCCACAAGATCTACCAAGATCTACCTTGCGTCATCATCTGGCCCCACGGTCAGGAACGAAGCCAAAGCTGCGGCATCGGGGGATTCTCCAACCCCACCCCGCCCATCCATCACAACAGCTCAGCTCGGCTCGGGTCTCAGGAACCGAGTCAAGATCGGCAGCGACGCAAGCTTGAGCTTTTTGCTCAACAGTTGAAATCAATCATATAGGTCCCTTGCCCGCCTAGGCGACGGCTCGCCCACCATGGTCGTCTTTGTTGATCTAGACGACGAGGACATGGAGCCCCTTCACGTTCTCGAGGCACGCCGCCTAGCAACAGCTGCTGCTGTCGCGACTGATGCATTGGAATCAAGCAGCCGCGAGCTCGAGCACATGCTTGAGAAGCCGGCGATTGCCCCAGTTTCGTTGGTGACACCAGCTCCCGTATCAGAGCCAACACCGACATTTCAGAGTGCTGCTACTGAGGCTTTTGGCTGCTATCCGTAAGCTCCGTTTACTCCTCCTAACATCACGCGCATGTGGTAGCGGAACATCGTGACTGACACCGTACCTTCCGTTCCGCAGCATCGTCATATCAATAGCTGAACACATCGATCTCAACACCCTCGACAGTCTCGCCCGCACCTCGCGCCAGGTCCGCCAGGGTCTGCTGCAATACCGCTCCATTCTCCTCTCTTCGACGCTGCACTGCTCCAACGAGGCCGCCCCAGTCGACCCAGAGTCTACGTTCCGCTTTCGTGCGAGGGCCGGCAACTGGTATTACATGGAAGATGGCCGGAACTACAACGGCAAGAGCGGCAGCTGTGCCCGAGACCTGGTGACGGAGTGTCGGAGGTGCAGGACCGTCGTGTGCAGGGTATGCCGTCCTATGCCTTGCCACATGCTCTTGGCCCCATCCCACCGAGAAGCGATCCCATTACAGACGTGAAAGGGTGGGAAGGGGTACCAAGAGCATTGAGGCAATGGCCGGGGAGGATATAGAGATTGCCAAGTAAAGTTGATTGCTGACACTTGTATACAGAACTGCGCTATCAAGCCGCCAGCCCATAACGCTCTTCGTGAGCGACATCGTAGACTGTGCAAGGCCTGCACAAAGGCCCCCATCGCAACTCTCGTCAGTCACGCGTTGGAGCCAGAAACACCTCTGCTCGACGACGCCGTGCGACGAGAGATTTGCCGATGCGACGTCGACGGCGTCTGGCTGTGCCAGCCCTGTGGGCGAAGCATGCGCGGGGCCGATCACGACTACCAGCGGTACCTATTCTCTGCTCCTTATTTTGCTGAGGCCCCCAAGATGTGTCCTTGCTAACTTTGACCCTCTGCTGCAGTATTTGGAAATGGCGTGCTCATTATGGAGAAGTCCTCGGCGGCCTAGGAACAGGCATCGGCGAGGGTGATCGCGGCGTCATCTGCGGCCGCGAGACTGCTTGCGCCGGCGCCAAGGAACGCGAAAATGAGACCGACTGTGATGCCGAGGATGCCGCCGTCACTGGCGCGAACCTATGGACGGCCACAGACCAGGTACACCTCGACACCGTGCGATATGAGCGCACACCGAGTCCCCAGCTCGGCCCCGGGTACGAGAGGCACGAGATTGAGGGCATCGGAGGCGTCGTGAAGACTAAGTTAGTCCGCATGGTGAGAGTTGGTGCCTGCGTGCCCGAGTGGGACGACGAGAAGAGCCATCACAATATCCTCGGAAGAGAAGTGAAGGGTATTAGGAGGAGTTGGTGCGGCTGGTGCTACAGAGTCATTCCCGGTGAACCTGATTTGGACAAGGCGGGCGTAAAGATGCGTCAGCTTTGAGGGCTGGCGTACTTGGGATATTTCCTTTTTCATGATTTGATGACACTTTTTAATATGCGATAGTGTGGGAACTATCGGGGAATCTGCCTCGAGGCAGGAATGGATTTGACCTTGTACTGAGTTGGCGAGCTGGTCCAAGGCGGGTGAAGAGTTGGCCGGGGTAAAGAGGGATAGAAAAAGTTCAATAGTGCCATTCGTACCTTCCACCTGAATACACAAGGAAATACACAGGAACCAAACCCTCATATACCCCTCCAAGTCCATTCCCGTCACCAGCAGGCGCCCGTCTAGGTCGACGGGTCAGGACAAACTGGCCAGGTGGTGGAATGGTTTACGGTCAACGGTCAATTTCTATACGCCAACCAGCCTACTCGACGACAGGCTTAGCGAGTACCCGAGTTCGAATCCCAGCATGAGCACCAAGAGATGTAGCCACACCGGTGGTGAACTCTTTTTTTTTGGTTTAATGCCAATTAGAACTGAAGATGTTTATTCATGCCTCGCTGTGGACGATAGTCCGGGGGACATGGTGTATTGATACTTGGAAAGAGGAAGACAACATCATCAAGACGTAAGGCGCTTAGTAGCGGTGTCGACGGCTAAAGGTTAATATTCAGACGAGGGAGGGTTTACAACAACCGATTCAGCAGCACAAAAAAAAAAGAGCGTCGTATGATGGGCGAATTTGGGTAAAAGAATTATACACAAGTTTCTATGGCCTTTCGACGTTTTTATATCTCTCTCATTGTACAGATTGGTTGGGAGTTTTTTCGGCCAACGCGTATCGTGACCTGCCTCTATCCTACATGTCTCCCAGCCGATTTTGTGACACTCCCTAATGGTTTTGATGGTACAGAGAATAAATGTGCCATATGCCGCCCCTCCTGGCCCGCCCCCTTTTCTTCTCCCTTGGTGATACAGAGAACCTTGCTTGTAGCACGGCTGCCTCGGAACAGCAATTCTTCCCCCAATGCTCATCTCCATCGCCACAAGTACAGTAACAGAAACTCAGGCGTTCCATCCCAAGCTGCCCAAAACCCCGTTCCAAATGGGGGGTTTTTTTTCCGCCTCGCGTAGCTCTTTTTCGGTTTTGCGTCTCTACTGCCTTTTACAGCTCACCCCGGAAGAGCATCTCCTTTCTGCGCGAGCGGTCCTCGCGGGCCTTTGTACGGATACCACCCCAGCGACCCTTGACGGCCTCGAGCTTGCGCGCCAGACGCTCCGTGTGTTCGCGGGGCGCGGGGGTGCAGATGGTGATGAAGGTCTCGGAGCAGTCGAACTTGCGCGCGAGGGCCGAGACGGACCAGAAATCCGGGTCTTGGGCGCGGAGCTTGCGGATCTCGGCGACGTCGTCCTTGGAGAGGTGGTAGCGCGGGGTGGCGCCGCGGGAGGGGACGTTGAGGGCTGGAGGGAGGGGGGGGGATGTCGCTGTTGATCTTGAGGAGGATTGTGATGAGGAGGAGGCGAAGAGGGTGGAGAGGTTTGCGCGGCGGCGGGGGTCGGTGGCTGGGAGGAACTTGAAGGGGGTGTGGTAGACGGAGGGGGCGGCGGAGGGCGGGTTGTAGATGATTGTGTCGCCGGCGGCTGGGGTCGAGGGGAGGAAGTCGGGGTGGGGGGGGATGTTGAGGGCGCGCTTTGTGCGGGAGAAGGTCTTGTGGCCTCGTCGGGGGACGGTGGTGGTGGTTGCTTGTTGACGGAGGAGGGATGCCAGGGTGGCGGCTGGTCTGGTTAATGTCCTGGCCTCCATTTTTGGGTTGTAGATTGTGATGAAGCTGTTAAAGTAGTTCCGCGTTTCGTGGTCGTGGTCTCTTTCTTCTTCGAGGATGCCGGTTAGGAGCCTGGGATGGCCAATTGAATGGTATCTTGGGAGGGAGTGACAGCACGGCCAGCGTCGCTTCGGTGCAGAGTCTCGGATGGGTCGACTGCGGCGTTGGGGGGGAGGCTTTGATGAGTTGGTCGCGTGCAACAGGGGAAGCTCTCTCGCGATGCTGTACGGGAGACCCTGAGGCGATGATCTGAAGTTTTTCGAACAGCCGATTGGAAATTTGGCTTAGGTAAGGCTTGTGGAGCGAGCTGTCCCGAAAGGGATGCTCAATTGATTAGGTAACGAAACGGTTGTTGCCTTGCTATTTCCAAGTGCGCGCCTGAGGCATGAGGTCGGATGGAGATACTGTCTTATCGATAACATCACATGATATGTCACGCGTGAGACATCGAACGGAAAAGATACTAAGGAAAACGGGCTGGTCCGGGAAAGTGGAACTGGTTGGATCAAGGTTACCTTGGCCTGTTCTGCCAGCGCAGCGTCGCCGGTGACGTCTGCGAAGCTTCTGGGGGCCGCCCCTTTTACCTCCCGCGTTACCTCCTGCCTCCACCGATCCTCGCCGTCGGTTGCTCCAGTAAAAGGTAGAAATGGCGAAAAGGGCAAAAAGAAGGTTCAACACAAACAAAACAAGAATGACAACTTTGTGGTTTGGGGAAAAGCATCTCGTAACCGCGGCGCGGCAATGGTTGCTGCTCCCGTCGGCTTTTGCTATATTCTCCTTGTGCCCTGTTGTTGCTGTTGAGAGCATCTGATCCGCCAAGGGAGTTTGTTACGCAGGGTAGCGTTTTTTCCCAAGAAATACTCCGTACCAAGAAAGAGAAAGCATCATTGCAATGCGTTACTTTCCGCAACAGTACGTATAGACATATTTTCCAACAGAAGCTGTTGGAAAGATTCTACCGTCATTCTACGCATTGTTGTTGTTAATGCAGAATTGACAGTGACGTGCTTTCCATGGGGCCCGGTTTCCCAGGGACCACTGTGTAAAGCGAGGCGGGAAGCCCGATTTACGCAGGGATTCGTGCCTTGCCGGCGCAAGAGGGTCTTCGACTCGACAGAAGACAAAGAGGGGTCCTTGTTGCTGAGGAGTGAGTGGTAAGTGAGAATAAGGCGGCAGAAGAGGAGCCATTTCGTTATGCATTTGGCATGTTGTCTACCTTTGTCATGACCGCTTTTCGGAAGATCTCGTCTTGTCACGGGCGGTTCTGGCTGGCCCAGTGACAGGAGTCGGTTACGGGGTGCCCTGCGAGTTGAATTCTTTCTTCTAAACCCCTCAGATGTGATGGAAATCATTGATGCAGGCAGTAGAGCCCGTGGGGAACAAACATGTCAAAGAAGAAAGAAGGCCGGGACCGAGGCTGACGACGTGGGAGGGTGGAGAGTGTGCTGGATGGGGGAAAGGATCTATCAAGTTAAAGTCAAAAACAGGGAATGAAAAAGAACTTTTTGGGGGGGGGGGGGGGAGGATAGGTAGCTCAATGTTGGCAGAACCCAGAACCAAGAACGCCAGAACCTAGGTGTCTTTTGACTCCTCTCTGTTGCATGCTTCCCGAGTCCCGACTTCTTTCGTCTGAACAGGGAAGAGGGGCGATCCTCGTCGTTTCTTCGGCCATGTTCCATCAGCTATCAAACAATTCCCCTTCCAGGATCTAGAGTGGTCAGCGTTTTCGGATACAACAGCAAAAAAATGACTCAAGAGAGAGCAAGGAGACAAGGGTACTAGGAGTTCGGTGGTCGGTGAGTAGCTTTACTTCAGACGGGGGGAATCTCCGGGAGGTTCATGGGCTGTGACGCTGGGTATGCTTAAGAGAAGTGCGCGAGTCAACTGACTCTGCTATAGATTCAGGGATGGAGCTATTATTGCCCAGTCACCGACTTGACGTGAAAAACAATGCGGGAAGGGGATTGACTGGTGATGGGGATTATAACGGGGTTTAACACATAGAACAACTCCCCGAGAGAAACCGAGACCAGGAAAGTTACCATTGAGGGATCTAAGACATTGAATCTCCAGTTACTATCCGTACTCTGCTTGCTGCATTGTGAAAAAGAAGAGAAGGGGTCCGGGGTCGAGACTAGGCTGAGCTGTCCCTACGGATACCGAAAGTTGACTAAAGGGAGAAGGGGAGACTTGGCGATGTGTCCGAATCGGGTAACTTGGAAGACGACACTTTTGTCAACGGGTCGCATCCAGAGTTCAGGTCAGGAGGATAAAGGGAAATGAGCTCTCGTAGAACGCGTGTGAGATTAATAGTAACAAGCCAGAGAAAAATAAAGCTACGAGAAAGTCTTGTCCCAGACAGATTTCAGATTTGATACGGACGGACGAAACACACAGACGGTCAGCCCATGTAATCCCAACTCGAACTCGAGACACGCCAAAGGAACGCCAGGAGGTCGGTCGACGGTCATCTTCGTTTTCCCCGCGTATCCATTTCATGACTATCGTCGCTTGTGTGACTAGTTTAACTGCGCGTAAGACGCGAAGCAATAATTACGGCGGCCGATCGGTTCGCGCTCTCGCAGAGCCCGCCGAGGTAAGGGGGAAATGGCTTTCGATGATTCTTCCAAGGCCAACGGGGATGTGTCGGGACAGAGTTTCGACAGATCCAACATCATACGAATGCCTAGTCAGATTCCCCCTGACGCCGGTCGAGGAGCCATCGGAGGCTGCGGAAGTCAACGGGGGGACTAACGGAGGATTCCTTTTCTTAATCTGGGCCTAAACCAAGAAAGCTTGGGGGGGGGGGGGGGGACTACTTGGGGAGAAGACGTGACGCGGTGCCTGAGCTACACTACTGCCGGTGACAGAGATGAGCGGCGAGATGAGATCGCGTTCGGTTCGTCGATGAGATGTCGGGCTCTGCGAAGACTCTGTCCTACCTTAGATACCTTACCTTGGGCTGGTGGTTTGTCATCGTCATTCTGGATAAGCGGCACGAGGGTAACAGAGTGAGGTAAGGGCACAATGCATAGACACAGTGAGGCTCGCGGTATCTCGCCTTACAAGCTATAGTGGGGAGCGACTTGGGTAGAAATCCATGTACTTCGTTGTGGGATGGGAGAAGGAAGGGGCCAGACATGTCACCCGCAGCAACTTCCTTCGGCGCGGTATCACGTCAATGCAAAAACTCTAAACAACGTTGGGAAGATACGGGGCGGGCGACGGGCGACGTAGGTAGACGTACGTTGCGACGTGGGAACGTTTAGTTTCTCTTAGCTGACGGAGCAGCGTTGGGTTGGGCAGGAAGCAAAAAAGGAACATACGCGGGAGCGAGGAAAGGAAGGAAAGCGAAAGTATCCCGTCCTACTTATCCGTACCTTACCTTACGTACCTCTATACACAGCAATTAGTGTAAATGGACCGAAAAAAAAACATGATCTGCTGACTACCAAGAAAGCGACGCGAATGCTCCTGACAGTTGATAATAGCTGTCCCTTCCCCATTCTGTTCTTCCCTCGCTCCCAAGTGTGCATTTCCCAACGCTTCCGAACATATTCTGTGAATCCGTACCTTACCGTTGCATCTGCTGCATCCAGCACTCTTGATCCCACCTCATTCTTCTCCCGTCCACCGCCTTGCACGCATCTACCAGCAACGGCAACGCACCCGCAATCCGCCTCACCGGAGACGAAAATCTATCCACCAAATAACTGGACCAACCCACCTACCTTATCCAACCGAACTTGTCTCTTACGGAGCATCTCCAGGTCTCCAACCACCACAAGCAAGGCACAGCAGACCCAGGCCTGGGCCTCTCTTACAGATCAGCACCACAAGGCTCCTGCAGCAGGGGTAATATCGTTACTGTGTAGGAAACCGCCAATCCGCTTGCTCGTCGTCTGGACCTGTTGCGTCACACGCTCCCGCCTTTCTCTCTCCCCCCCCAGCTTCCTCGCTCGTCAGTCAGGGACCGCTTCTCGAGGCCGTTTTTAATCGAGCGCCAATATTCGAACGAGACTACTGGTTGCATTCTGCATCTTTTTGTCTGCGCGCCTACGGCAGAGAAGCGATTCGGTCATCCCCCTCTTTCTCCTTGTCACTTCATCGTCTTCGACTAAGAGAGAAAAAAAAAAGTGCCCAGCAAGCGGCAGACGATCCAAAAAGGGACCAAGACACAAGACCAAGACGGACGACGACACCTGACTGTGTGTCCTCCAACAACGCCATCAACCCCAAAAAAGACCATCACCGTTCCGTGTAAATCATCCCATTACCTACCTACTCCATCGCTCTCGCGTCTCAACGGCTAGTCCGCTTCCATTCCCCCCAAGTTCTGCGCGCAGGGGAAACTGCGCACATTCTCGGTTCTTCCCCCTTGGTGTTGCGCTGCTCTGCTATTGAACCGTTCTGGTATGTACATCTCGATACTCTTATCCCACCCTTCGGATATCCCATGTCCACCCCCCATACCCATCCCCATCCATGTACTTTGTACCGTTCAGGTAAAAAAAGAACATTTCTTGGTTTCTTTGCCGGGGGTCTCTCCGTCGGCGGCGCTGATACCTGCTGCGGACGGCGTGCGCATGTATTGCTTGCTTGCTGCTACCGATGCGCTGCTGTTTTTCTGCCTTGCCGACTGGACGCTTCCTGTGACAATCAATCACCGCACTCGCACACTTGCACCCCCTTCCACTTTCCCCTTCCCTTGCAGTGACCCCAAAAAGGGCGAATCGCGGGAATATACGTCAGGGTCACAGGGTCACCAAAAGCCAATCTATTTGTCCCCCCACCACCTGTTTTCCCAGACTTCGTTTATCCACGTCCCCTCCCCCCTCTCTTCTTCCTGGGTCTACATAACATCACGTCAATCTCAGGGTCCCTGCTTGTTGAAGAGAGACATTCCATTAACCCGTCCCTTTTCCCACAGAAACCACCCAATACCGTTGTATCAGCAAATCCATCTACATACTACCTCGCAAACACCAAAACCACCACCACCACCAACTACTCGAACAACCCTGCACCACACCACGATGAGCCTAGTCGAGGCAAACCCCCTCAACGTCGCTGAGACGGCTGTACCGCACCCAACCGCCGTCGCTCACACCATGGCCGGCAGCACAAGCGGCGATGCGACACCCCGCACCTCGAGCCACAATGAGCCCCAGACGGACAACACGAAGAAGGACGTGAAGAACAAGGTGCGCGGATTGTTCGGACTCGGCAAGAAGAAGGAAGAATCAAATGTCTCCAACAAGTCTTCATCGTCGGCCAAGCCCGCGCCGGCCGTCACCAGCAACCCCTCCTTAACACGGGACACCTCGAGAGCATCAGCTCGGTCTACAACATCGCCATACGTGCATCCTTCTTCGCCAAGCCACGGAATGTCTACATCCCCGCGAGTGCCATCCCCGGCGGGCTCCCAGATCTTCGAGCGAGATGTCGACAATATGTCAATCAAGCCCCAATCGCCTGCCATTCCGTCACACATCCAGACCGAAAACCACATCCCTCCCGTTCTGGATGCATCATCTGAAGCCATTACAGACGACCACCTTGATCCGGACAGCGTCGAGATCGTCACCCACTCCCAGCATCAACCGGCTGCAGCAGCTGTCACCGGCGCCAACGGAAACGGGACACCCCACCCTCCCGACTCCATGGCCGCATCATGGACCGATGAGCTCCGTGCATTTGCGGATCGCGACGATGCTTCCAACTTCAATGCGCTCGATAACGCCGACGTGCGCAGATTGAGCTTCATCTCTTTTGCCGACGTTGTGCAGGCCGAGCAAGGCGGCCACAGCGGCGCAGCAGGTTCGCGCGACTCCATCCACGTCGCTGGGCTGACGTCCCTCTCGTCCATCAACGCCCGCTCGCCCTCGCCCATCCGATCACCCGTCTCTTCTCAGGGACCGGGCACCTCGCCGCCGACAAGCAACCCCGCGTCTGTGAAGGGACTGGAAATGTCCCCCGGACGCAAATCTCTTGGCAGCCCAATTTCGTCCCATCACAACCTCAACATGAGCGGCGAGCTCAACATTGAGACGATGTCGCAGGCGCTCAGGCGCACGGGAAGCACAGATCTCAGCGGGGTCCGCAGCTTGCCCACGAGCCCGATCGAGGGCCCGTCACGTTAAGGAGACGACTATGACGGGATGTTTGATGAGAACTGAAGCAAAAAACAAAACAAATTTACGTTACGGAGTCGGAGGCAAACCGGAGAAACCATTGATACCAAAGTGGACGTTTCTATGAAGCTTTTTTTTTCACCACTGATTTTTTGTCTTTTTTTTCCTTTTGTTCAAAATGCTGAAGAGTGGGCCAGCACTCGCTGATGGAGGCTAGCTGATCGAATTAGGGAGGAATAAACCCGTTTTCTTCCCTTCCTTCACATGCGTTTTTCTTCTACCACCTTGATAGGTTCCGATATTTGGAGTTGGGCAAAGAAAGATAAATATCGATATCATGTGCTTCTCTCAATCTGGCGAGCGGTATGCGTGTGGCATGTGCGCGTGTGTATGTGGTCACTGCAAAGTGGGCGGTTTCATCTTCCTTTCGAATCTGGGAACATCTTCCTTACCTTCGGCCTTTTCCTACGCCCAGCGATTTCTGGCTTTGGATCAGCTGCCTCTTTTTTTTCTTTCTTTTTTTCTCTCTCTCTCTCTCTCTCTCTTCTTCTTACAAACGTAGGCATACACCCAAGGTAGTGGGAAATACAGATTGTGATTTGAGACGGACTACCTGATCAGGAAAATTCGAAGCGGCCCTAACACATGTCATTCGTGTCATTCATACAATCGAGAAGTGTGTCCCGGATCCCGAGTCCGGTTTCGATTTCTGACAGGCGTGCTAAATCGTCCGAATGAACATGTTAGCGCCGATGGCTAGTGAAGTCCACGTGTTACCGAAAGGAATTTGTTTTCGTTCGCTTTTTGTCCTCTGCAGATACATGACTTTTTGGACTTTGAAGTAGCTGGGGCTGTCATGGAAGGGACTTTATCTAGACGGGGCTGGCAAGGGTTTCGTGCGGCCTTGAGCTCATGCACATTGGATGAGTGTCTTTTGCTAGTCAAAAAAAAAATACTTTCTCATACGAACTAGCAAGATATGCGATTATACATTGTCTTTTTTGGTAGGGATGTATTGAGTAGGGATGTATTGAGTAGGGATGTATTGAGTAAACCGGAGCTTGACAGAAACACGTGAGCTCTGCTTCACGCTTCAAGAGTTGAGATAGCTTGGTGAAGCGCCGATGAATTAAGATAGTATCTTGGAGGTTGATCATTGTATTCAAACTACCCTGAACCATTCCATTCCCTCCCCTCCTCTTCGAAAACTCGCAACCACCAATCCTTCCACTTATCCACGAGTTACACCCCAAATCAGCGATCATAATTCCTAGCCTTGGGCATCTTCTTCTCCTCCATAGCCTCCACATCCTTCTGCTTGTAAAAGTGCGGCGCCAGCTCCGCGAGCCACTTACTCTCGATGGGCATACAGCTGCGCATGTACTCCTTTGTCGTCTGCACGAGCTCAAAATACACCAACATCTTGGTCGGCGGGTCGACGCCCATGAGCACCGACGACGGGTGCACGTAGACGGTGGCGTTCTTCTTGATGGTGCGGTAGCTGTCGCCGCTGCGCTGCAGGCGCGCCGCGTTGGGGAAGAAGCCGGCCGTCAGCGCGCGCTTGATGGGCTGCAGGTTGGACGCGCCGCAGGTCGAGGGCGAGACCTCGACGCGCTCGCAGAGCTTGGCGAGCTGGTCGCGCACGTCGCGCGCGCGCGTGAGGGAGCGCTGCTGCAAAAAGTTCTCGCGCGACCAGATGGGCGAGAAGTCGCTGTCGACCCACTGGTTCCAGATGTTGAGGAGCGTGAGGTGGTCGCCGCCCTCCTTGATGGTGAAGCGGGCGCGGGCCGAGTCGGCGTGGATCTTCTTGTCCTTGGGGCGGAAGAAGAGCGCAGAGGCCTCGCTGAGCATGGAGACGACGGAGAGCACCTCCTCGACGCAGCCTTCCTTGTCGGCGGCGAGGACGGCCTTGGCGAGCATCGGGTCCGTGGGGAACTCGGCCATTTGGCGACCCATCTTGGTGAGTTCGCCCTTGTGGTTGAGGGCCTGGAGGGCAAAGAGCTGGTTCAGGGCGCCGATGAGGGCCTCGGTCGGCGGCGGGTCCATGAACTCAAAGTCGAGGAGCTCGTTGATGCCCAGCGACTTGAGCTGGAGGACGACGCCGTTGAGGTTCGTGCGCTGGATCTCGGGCATGGGCGATTCGTCCATCTCGTTCATGTAGGCGAACTTTGTGTAGAGGCGGAAGCACTTTCCTGGGCCTACACGGCCGGCGCGACCACTCCTCTGGTTCGCGGACGCCCTTGAGCAAGGTGTCACGACGAGGTTTGACATGCCGGTGGCGGGGTTGTAGACGTTCTCCTTGACGAAGCCGGGGTCAATGACATAGACGATTCCGTCGATTGTCAGACTGGTCTCGGCAATGTTGGTAGCTAGAACGACTTTCCGGGCGCCTTCTGGGGTTGGTTCGAAGATCTTGGCCTGGAGTTCTGAGGGCAAGTTGGCATAAATGGGACAAACCACCAACTCCTTGACACGGCTCCCTAGCTTTTTCGCCGTATCGACTATCTGCTGTTCGGCTGCATCAATCTCGTCTTGACCCGTGAGGAACACGAGGATGTCGCCCTTGCCCTGCGTTGTGTGGATTTGGAAGACCGTGGTGATGGCGGCTGCTAAGTAGTTGGCTTCTGGTGCTGGCGTGTAGTAAATGTCGACTGGGTATCTTCGTCCAGGAATGTTGTAAATAGGGGCATCGTCGAAATAGGCGGCGAACTTTTCGGCGTTCATCGTCGCAGAAGAAATCAGTAGTTTCAAATCTGGCCGTTCCCTTGCCAAATCCTTGACCAGAGCTAGCAAAATATCCGTGTGGACGGTTCTCTCGTGAGCTTCGTCAATCATGATAGCCGAATACCCGGAAAGATCCGGTTCCGTCATGAATTCTCTCAGTAACATGCCGTCCGTCATGTATTTCAGAATCGTCTTGTCACTCGTGTTGTCCTCGAAACGGATCGAGTACCCAACCTCTTGTCCGACCTTGACGCCGACCTCGTCCGCCACACGCGCAGCGACACTCATTGCAGCCACACGACGCGGTTGCGTACATCCAACCTTCATTCCGTTCTTGGTGAACCCAGCTTCGTGCAGATATTGCGGTAGTTGTGTCGTCTTTCCGGAACCTGTTTCTCCAACAATGACCAGAATCTGATACTTTTCCATCGCCGCAAGGAAATCGTCTCGATATGCGTAGATGGGCAGGCTCTTCCTCGTCTCCTGGATCGTGAGCTGCTTCTTCTCTGCTGCCTCGATCTGCGCCGCTAGGAATTGTTGCTCCTTGGTCAACTTGCCCTCCCCAGGCATACTCGATCCCAGATTCCATTTGATGTACTGCTCCTCGTCCATGACATAGGCGTAATCGTCATTCTCCCTCTCCGACCTCTGAATCTGCGCCTTGGCCTTCGTGGCCTGTTCCCTTTCCCATTCTTCGTGCTCCGTGACGAACTTTTCTTGTCCGTACTCATCCTTCTCCACGTATCTCTTGTACATCGCATCCTCTTTCCTCTTCTTGTCGATTTTGCCCTTTTCCGTGATGTAGTCCTCCGGTATGTAGTATCCATCCTTGTGGTCGTCAATCTTGAGACGCTCCTCTGCTAACCGTAGAATCTCGCGATTCTTGGCGAACTCGGCCTTCTCCCGTTCCGATAAACGCACGCCGCTCCTCAATTCTTCCGTCTCCTCGGCGACCTGTTTGCGCAGCAGGGCGAGCTTCTCGGCCTCTCGTTTCCCAAGGTACATCTGTCGACTCTTCATGCGGAGGTCCTCCATATTCGCCTTGCGATCCACCTCTGGCCGTCGGCTCTCGGCTGTCTTTGACTTCTTGTCGTCCTTCTCCCGTAACCGCTTCGCAAAGGCTTCGCGCTCTTCAATGTCGCGCTGACGCTCCAGCTCCTCCTTCGCGCCGTCCGACAGGTCCGCGTCTCGGTCGCGATCATCGTGGCTGAGCTTTACCCGCTTCGAGGCAGACTCTTTGAACTCGGTTTCGTCATTGTTGTCGACTTCTTCGGGTTCCGAAGATGGCTCCTCGTCCGCCCACCTGTCGTCGTCGTCGTTTGTGTCTCGCTTCCGGTACTGTTTCGAAGGTCGGGCCGGTGATCTGGAGCGCGATCGTCGCCTGGTAGTCCTTTCGCTGCGGTCGCGATTCCGGTTTCTTTCGCTCGAACGCTCGCGATGGTGCGACTTGTGCTTCTTCTTGTCCTTGACTACTTTGGCGGGACCGACCTCGTCGTCCTCCATCGGGAGGAAGGCGTACTTTTTTGATGCCATGGTCGTATGTATCGATCCCAACGTATGAGATGTGAAATGCCACAAATTTTCTAGCGCTTTCGGCTTGACAGTCTAGAAATAAGTTGTACAAAAGGAAGCCTGGAGTAAGCCTGGCGATGTCAAGTCATGGAGGTTGAGGCCTCATGCAGTTACGTGCCTGGAGTGTGTCTCTGCGCATTCGTCTGAACTTCCCAAAAGGCCCCACACATTTTAGCAACGAGAGAGTGGGGCACAAGGTGCAAAGAAGCCAGCGCCCAATGACCATCTCTGGATAACATGTCTTATCGGACCTGCGTAGCTCCCTTCTTAACACGTTGGAACTTTACATTTTGGGACAGCTGGTTTGCGCGCTTCCTTTGGGTCGATTACCTATCTTCATATCCTACACTTCTCTCTTTCTCTCCCCTTTTTTTCGTAACCTGATTTCTCCTTCGACAAGTCCTTGTCACTCTTCACTCCTTCAAGACTCGAGGATCCCAAAAGGTCTACGACTCAACGAGGATTTTCTTTTGCGCCCGGGCTCCGACGTTCATCGAAGTAAAGTATCCAAATCTCGAAGTACACCACAGGGGGACCCACGATGTACCTCCGAGGGGCAGCATTCGTGCTGCTGCTCCTATGCTTCGTCCAGCTGGCCCTCTGCGCCGAGGACTACTACAACCTCTTAGGCATCAGCAAGAAGGCCTCGGATCGTGAGATCAAATCCGCCTATCGCAAGCTGAGCAAGAAATACCACCCTGATAAGAACCCGTATGCAGTCCTTCCCTTTTACCAAAGGGAACTTTCCTCCCGACCTACTCCTTGCATGAAGGCTAACCAGAGATTCCCACAAACAACAGAGGCGACGACAGCGCAAAGGAAAAATTCGTCGAAGTCTCCGAGGCCTACGAAGCCCTCATCGACCCCGAATCCCGCAAAATCTACGACCAATACGGCCACGAGGGCCTCAAGCAGCAACAACAAAACGGCGGCGGTCACCGCCACGACCCCTTTGACGTCTTCTCCCGCTTCTTCGGCGGCGGCGGCCATTTCGGAGGCCACGGCCAGCGCCGCGGCCAAGACGTAAACGTCCGCATCGGCATCTCCCTCCGCGACTTCTACAACGGCATCAACACGGAATTCCAGTGGGACAAGCAGCACATTTGCGAAGACTGCGACGGCACGGGCTCCTCGGACGGCAAAGTAGACACCTGCGGCGTCTGCGGCGGCCGCGGCGTGCGCATCGTCAAGCACCAGCTCGCGCCGGGTATGTACCAGCAGGTCCAGATGCAGTGCGACGCCTGCGGCGGACGAGGGCAGGAGATCAAGCACAAGTGCCACACGTGTGGCGGCGCGCGCGTCGTGAGGAAGCCTACGACGGTGCAACTCGCCGTCGCCCGCGGCGCGGGGCGCGACAGCCAGATCGTCTACGAGAACGAGGCGGACGCGAGCCCGGACTACGTCGCGGGCAACCTCGTCGTCACGCTCTCCGAAAAGGAGCCCGAGATCGGACAAGATAACCCGGACCGCGTCGACGGCACGTTCTTCCGGCGCAAGGACAACGATCTCTACTGGACCGAGGTGCTCTCGCTGCGCGAGGCGTGGATGGGCGACTGGACGCGCAACGTGACGCACCTCGACGGCCACGTCGTGCGGCTCTCGCGCGATCGGGGCGCCGTCGTGCAGCCTGGTCACGTTGAGACTGTGAAGAGTGAGGGCATGCCCATTTTCCACGAGGATGGGGATAGTGTGTACCACAAGACGGAGTTTGGCAACCTGTACGTCGACTACGTCGTCGTGCTGCCCGATCAGATGGAGAGCGGCATGGAAAAGGAGTTTTGGAGCGTCTTCCAAAAGTGGCGGGGCAAGGTCGGCGTCGACTTGCACAAGGACAGCGGACGGCCGGAGAAGCCTCCGGTGCACGACGAATTATGATGAAAAAGAAAAAAGAGAGAAGAAGATGATGCCCCTGTAGATGACTTCTGTGAGAGATTAGAGAATAGACGGCCACAATCAAAGTACATAATACATGCTCTTTTGCCTGCACCTTTATTTTCTCCAACTGAATCAACAACCCATGTGGCGCAATCATCAAACTCTGCTTGTGTATTGTCGTCTACCTAAAACGTTTCGAACCAGAGTCATAAATTCGTTATCTGTACCATCAAGTCGTGTCTAGGTCCTGAGAATGTAAAATAATCGCCAATATATGACGTCGCAAAATTCATATAAGAGATCCAAAGAAATGGTCATAAATCGTCATTCACTCTTCCTCCGCCTCCTTCGTCGACTGTCATGATCATCATCGTCACTGTCCTCTATCCTACGCGAATCGCCGCCATGTTGCGCTTCCTGAACCGCTCCCACCACATCCTTCAGCAGACTCTTCCAACTGCCTTGCCCGCTAATCATCCCTTCAATGTCGCTTGCGATTTTTTGCACAACATCGCCATCTGTGCCACCGACAGTCCATGCTCCGCTTGAATGTACTCCGTTGCCGTTTCGGGGCCGGCTTTCGAAAGCCCCCTGTCTCCATCGCATAGCGCCCGAACTGCCACCGCCAACGGGTCGTCCCTGGGCATCAAAGCGGTCTGGCAATGCCTCGATCTCGTCGTCCGATTCGGAAGGCGTTTCGATTTCCCGCTTACGACGACGAGATACCGATTTGCTACTAGGTGGATCCGAGGACGAGCGCTTGCGGTTGAGCACAGGTCGCAGAGTCGCCAGCTGTTCTTCGCTGAGAGCCGGCACTTCCTCCTCCTTCTTGGCCTCTTCCTCAGCCTGTTGCTCGTGGGCTGAGCGGTGCAGCCGTAAAGTTTGCGATGATTGAGGGGACAGGGTGAAGGCGACGGACTTGGAGGAAGAGTGCTGTGCAGTGCGAGGACGCTTTGCGGACAGAGTGCTTGACACCGACGAAGAGGTAGGAGACAACGACCGAGACCGAGATCGCGGTTGGGACTGAGAACGAGACCTAGATAGTGACTCGGGGAGAAACTTCTTGACACGCTCTCGCCACTTTAGACCATCTGCACCGAAAGTCAGCTTCTGATACAGACATGAACGAAGAGAAGTCACAAAAGAAACAACGATTAGATCAACCCACCCTCACGACCCAGACCGGCTGGCTGGACAGCTTGTGGTGAGGAGCTACGAGATATGTCTTCACTCACATGGTCAGGACCGAATCTCGTTCTCGGCGGGCCACCATCTGGTGGAAGAGGACCACCAGCAGGCGGAGGGGGAGGATAACCGCCGGCCCCGCCTGTAGCCATCGGTGGAGATGGCCCCATTGGCGGTGGTCCCGGAGGATACACCGAGTCTGAGGACGGGTACGGTGGATACTGGTCTCTTAGGTTGGCTGTCGAAATGTTGGGGTGTTGAGTGAAGCCGCCAGCGGCGGCGGCTGGTGGTGGCGGGTAGAATGAGCCGCCGGAGGCGTGTGGTGGTGAGGGAGGCCGGCTGTAATTGTCATAGTACCCGCCATCCCGAGCATCCTCTTCGTACCCTGTCAAAGCTGTCAGTTTCACCCGTTTGTTATGGTGTGCCCCGGTTCGGGATCCTTACTCCTGCGGTCCCTCTCTCGTTCCCTATTTCTCATTCTGTCGTCTGTACTGCGTTCTCTGCTGTAGGCGCGTTCTCGCGAGTAAGTCCTTTCGCGTGTGACCGATCTGTCTCTGGAGCGGGATCGGGCGCTTCTCTCCCTCGACCGTCTTTCCTCGCGTATTTCCTCTTCCTTCTCCTTCTTCTTCTGATACTGCTTAAGTCCAATTGCAGCAGCTCCCGTTCCAACTGCTGCTGCTGCCATGTCTCTCAATCGGCTCTTGCTTCTCTTCTTTGCCGGCTCGTGGCTGTCGTACTCATCGCCAGACATACGCCGGTGTCGACGGCGTCGCCTCTCGTTCGCTGCAGACTCATACCCGTCATCCGGCGGGTATGGCGGGTCGGACGGCAGCGGTTCCGTTCCGTACTCAACTAAGCCTAGCTCAGGATCAGCGCTGCGCGGCTCGGAATATAGAGAGCGGGCCTGGGACCTGCTGCGCGACCGACGACGTTCACGCCGTTCCCGCCGTTCCCGCCGGACTTCCTCCTCATAGTCCTGCTCGTCCAGTTCACGATCTACCTCGCGGTCCTTCTTCTCCTTGCGGTTCTTGTAAATCTTGCTAGCGACTCCTCCTGCAAGACCGGCGGCAGCAATTTCCGCCCCGGTCCTGATGCGAGACTTAGACCGTGACCTACTCCTAGACTTGGACTTGGACTTGTTGCGGAAGTGCTGTACCAAGCCCGCGGCGGCAGCAGTCGCGGCGGCAGCCTTGGCCACAGATCGACTACGACTCTTGCGGCTCTTGCGGCTGCGGCTACGAGATCTAGATACAGAGTAGCTTGAAACAGAGTAGCCTCTGCCGCGGCTTCGACCACGATGCATTTCTTCCTTTTCGATCTTTCCACTCTGGTAATACTTTGCGGCGCCTGCAACGGCGAGCGCTGCAGCGGCAATTCCTAGGCCAGTCTTGATGCGGGAGCTGCGACTGCGAGATCTCGAGCGAGACCCGTAGTGATGGTCGTCGTGATAAGTGTCTTCATACGCACTACGAGCCCGCCGGATGATTTCAGTGCCTAAGCCACCGATAGCAGCACCTGCGAGGACTTTGCTTCCTCGGTTGGCGCCAAGCTCACCACGGCCATCTCTGCGACTCGCAGCGAGAGCAGCAATACCGGCGCCGGCAAGAGCTCCCTCCGCAAGGTGGCGTTTGTGGTGATGGTCTGAGCTGGAGCTTCGGTTTCGGCGAATGACAGTCCGCTTCATGTAGTAATCCTCGTCGTCGCTGATGTATTCGCCGCGACCGCGGCCTCGTCGGTCGTAGTGATACTCACGCTCATCTCGGCGATAAGGACCAAGCTCCTTTGTCTCTCGGCGGTAGTAGTACTCGTCCTCGCGGGGATCGCGGCGGACAACCTCGCGAGGGGACTCGCGCTCTCTCAGGACGACAATACCAGGTTCCTGGCGGGGGACGATGATGGGTGCGGGTGGTGCAGCTTCCTGAACAATAATCTTCTGTGGCTCCGGGGCTTGCTGACGGATGATGACGGGTTGGGGAATAGGCGGGGGGCTGACGGGAGAATAGAACTCGGTCTCTTTGCGGTATCTCTCGACCTCTGCTCCGCCATGATCGTCCCGGTATTCTTCGACGCGCTTCTCGACTGTGACGTCTCCATCCTCACGGCGTTCGACGCGCTTGTCGACTCTGACTTCTGTCTCGGGTGAATGGTGATGGTGGTGGTGGCGATGGGACTTATTAGAGCGGCGGTCCCAGTCGACACGCTCGCGCTCGACTTCGATGACACTTCGATTGTCGGCGACGCTGCGAACATCGTCGAAACGGCCGGCATCGAAGCGAGGTGCGCGCTCACGCTCACGTTCGTACTCCTTTTCGTAGACGACGCTGCGAGTGTCACCTCTGTATGGGTCAATAACTTCGCGCTCACGCTCGGTTACCGTGCGCTCAACGACCTGACTCCGGGAGTCAAAGGCGGAGCGCGGGCGATCGGGAGCATAGCCATACTCGCCGGAAGTGCGCAGCGGGTAGCCGGAGTATCGTGAGCGGCGGTCGTCTTCTTCGACTTCGACACGCTCAGTGCGCTCGACCCTCTCAACTCGACTTGGCGCTACTTTGTAACGGCGGACTGTGGAAGTCTTGTATCGGTCTTCATCGGATGAGTACTCGGTCGGGTCCCGGTAGACTCGGGTGGTCTCTCTATAAACTCCAGCCATCGCTAACTGCGATGGGGGCGTCGAAGGGCAACGCTGTTTTCGGGAAGCGGCAGAAGAAAGTCAAAACGGCGACAACGGTTCGGCTTGATGGTGTAGATTTGCAGGCGGGGGGGTTGAACAAAGGATGTGCGATGATGACGGAGGGGAGCCCACGGATTAAATGGTGTGCATGTGTAGTAGTGACTAGTTCGGTTTACGGGTGTACGTGGTACATTGGTTTTATTTAGGAGGCTGGTGGGACTGCGGTGGCCTCTGGTTGGGTAAGAGGATGGGAATCTATCTATTGAACACACCAATAGAAGAATATCCAGTCGATTCCAGCCCAGGCCAACGTAAAGGTGGGTGATGTGAGAGAGGGAAGTGCCCGGGAGAAGGACAGAGAAAACGAGCGAGTGGAGAGAGCGTTCGGGAGTGAGGGAAGACGGGAGAGAGGGGGGAAGAAGGAGGGGAGTGGAGGGACGGCAAGGGACCGTGGAAACGAGAAGATGGAGGGGCAGCCCGTCGACCCGTCCGTTACCCGTGGGCCGTCCAGTTGGTGTTGGGCTGAGATGGGAAAGTGCAATGCTCCGTAGCGGGCAGGATCACACACAGCGCTGTTGCCAAAGCAGAAACAACAGAATCAGGGCAGGGCGGCAGGTGGGCAATAATGTCCATGCCTTCCTACCTTCCTACATATCCTAGCGTACTCTGGACTCTCCTCTTCACTCTCCGAGGAGCTATCGATGATCATTGTGAGGCATCCCCCTGACGCTTTCCCTTCCATCCCGACCAGGGCGCAAAACATTAATGGATGGGACGGGATCAGCCAGACCTCGTTTCTGGGCCCGGTCTTGTCGGTGCCCGCCGCCCAGGCCACGACTTACGAAGACTCCAGACGGTCCGGCCAAGGTCAGCGGACGGGAAAGGAACTGCTATTGCAGTACTAATGTGCAGCGAGCTACGGTCTGTCGAAGGGTGTCCCATGTCACCGTCACCGTCACCTCTGACTCTCGACAGCCCACGCTACTATTTGCATCCAGTCTCCAAAGCGTTTGGGCTTGACCAGGGCACAGAAGAAGGCAAGTAAGTACCTACGTCTAACCCGAACGAGGCGCTTTTTCTCATATTTTGATAGTACCTAATCACCTCCAGGCAGCCTACCTGACCTGTACTTCTCGACAGTTTGCGACCCCGAAATGCCAAAGCCTACATATTCTTGCACCTGGCCTGCTATCGAAGGGTTGCCGAGGGGCTAGCGATAACAATGCTATTACGTCATTTACACTGGCCACTGCAACTACAAATCCAACCCCACGAAAAAAGCATCAGACGCTCGTCCGTCGCCAGTCTACTGAGAACTGACTACGGGCGAGACATGAAGCGGACAAGTCCTTCCAACATCAGTCTGAATAACCCTCCTTCCCAACAAAAACCCAGAGTACCAAGAGACCTGGGATCACGGCGCAAGGCAGCCTTGTGACCAGGCAGACTTGGTGCGGCACGCCATCCGAAGCTGGGAGGGTGGGCGGCTCAGGGCAATGACAGGCCGTGACATCCCCGGGCGGCCTTGTCATCCGCCCCCCATCCTTGTCATCCAGGACAGCTGGTCAGACTTCGAGAAGAAAAGGATACCCCGCGGACACAATCAAGAGGAGAAGAGAGTTCAGGAGGATTTGAAGAGGTGGAGAGAGAGAGAGAGCGTAGCACCCGGCACAGTTTGAGCCTGCTCTGCGCAGCATGCGGAAATGGACGAACGACTCGTCGTGCAACCATCCCCCATGAGGCTATAACGTTAAGGTATACATTTAACCCTCGGGGGAGGCCAAGCTAGCATTCTTGACATTCTTGACAGATCAGACGGCGTCCGTGGCGGCAGACTTCAAAGATGCATCGCATCGCGTCCAACACTCACAGTTTGAACCCTGGAAACTTCTGCCCCGCCTCATCGCAGCCTGGTGTCGTCATGGTACAGGTAGGCATTCACAGTTGCGCCCAATCCCATCGTTGCCCTGCACTATGTGCTGCTAGGCCATATTCTGGAGGCTGGAATCTTTCGGGAAGCGCGAAGAAACACTACAGCGAGAAACCCCCCACATTGGCCCTGGTCTGGCCTCGTGGTTGATGGAGACGAGATTGCCCAAGACACTCTCTAGTCGCTACCTTACAAGTCACCAGAGAGCCCGAAACTCCATCGCCGACTCTGTCACGGTTTGAACAGTCGTTTGGCGAGAAAAAAAGAACTCGGCTTGTCGGGATAGGCCCTGCTTGTCTGCCACGACATGCCGTCCACTGCCAAGTTCCAACTTTCCTTGACTCTATGAACAATGCTGGGACTCTGGACGGGAAACCGACTAGGTAGTTTCCCCCAGATCTACTTCCAGGAATCACTCCCTTAATTTGCTGCATTAAGGTGCTCTTCCAAGGTCAGTGTGCCATTGGGAAACCTCATCGACATTGGTCCCTTCCAACCAGGCTAAACCGGCACTTGACCATGACCTGCAGGTAAACCCCCCTCCTCCCGGTGGCTCATTTGCACCGCCCACGCGTGCGGCAACGAACTGCTCGCTCACCGTCGTTGTTCCTACGAAGTACGGAGTTTCCAGAGATCCCGAGGCCTCCCAAGCACTGGACTGGAGCTTGCTGGAGGCGCAGAGCCGCGCGAGTGCCCGCCTACCTGCGTCCTGTCGCGGCTTGTCATCGTGGCGGGATCACCATTGGCCCGGAGGCATTCAATCGGAGATGGAGCCTGCATCACCGCGCCCCCCGGGGATCACCGACGTCTCGGTAGCAATATTTGACGGGGACTTGCCAAGACGATTCACGTAGGCTATTCAGTGTCTGCTCTCTCTTCTGCCGTGAGCATCAGACGAAGTCATCACGTGTAGGACAGAATCATTGTGATGAAAATATGCATTTGCATTAAAATCCACGATAATCATAGTATCTAGCCAACCAATCCAACACTCAAGGCCTCAACCTGAAGATATATAATTGCAGATAAGTCTAAGAGTCTTGTTAGTCGACTGAATGCTTCCAGAACTGAACAAACAAGAAGATAACAAGTGATGTCGTTTTCAGAATTTTCAGTGTGAATAAAAATCATTTAATAAGATATCAAATACAAATGGAGATTAATCCAAATCATCTTTAAGACGAGGGGGGGAAGGTACGCATGACGACCGAAGAAGAAAACTTCACATACCTTGCGTGATTCTAGAGGATCAGACGGCGTCTGCAGACGTCTTCAATCTTTCAATCCACAAATAGCAGCCAGAATAAGACTTGTTTGTTGGATTCGTTGGAACGTGAACGTTTCTCTGCTCGCGCGTCTGATCCCCCGAAAGTTGTCGGTTTTTGGTGATGGTCGAGAGGGAAGGCATACGGAAAAATTTCTGCGGCGGCTGCTATTTTATTTGTCAGGTGACGTGGGTCGGTGTTATGTAAGCGGCATTCCTAGGCGGAGGGAGTCTGGCGCACGTTCCACTTTTCAGGCTCTCAGGTTCTGAAGACTCAATGCAGGACAGTTACAATTCGTATTGCTCTCCATCTACATGTTGTTTTAAGACCTCGAAAACTTCGGATCGGTTGTATGTATTTCAATGGACCAAAGATTCGATCAGCCGGGGTATGGAACACACTCTCTGGATGCACTTGGATTTCCTGAGCGCCTTCTTGGTCGGCTTGCCCTTCAATCCACCTCGGATTGAGTAAGTCAGTGACCATCGCCGACGCTAGCTAATGCAAAGAATCTTCTCGCTCCTGGCGGGCGTCGCGGACGAACATGAGTGTATTCGCCCGCAGCGCGCATCCTCTTCGGCATTGTCAATATGCAAGCTTTCCCTAACCTTGAACTTGTTCTAGCCGCAGCCAACTTTGGCCTCATTGTTGATGGATCAAATGGTTACTGCAAGACTCGTGCGTTTGATGGATGTATTTCCACGGATGTTTCGTGTGAGATTGTTAGCTATCATATGCCGTGACATGACATACTCGATCATTCGAAGAAAGTTGTCCAGACGCAATGTAATGTTCTGTCTGGTTCTGCCAACAAGGCTGTTCGTTTCAATTCTTCTTCGAGAAGGTCTTGCTTCGGAAGACAGCAGTGGGAAACTACTGCTTTGCCTCGTTTGGTACACCCTGGTATCAGACGGCGGTGATTGGCATAGTCTGGAGAAGCTGAATGAGACGGATCGCCCTGTCGAGAAGGTTAAGTAACCGTCCATCAAGCTTGAGAGCCCTATCCAGATTACGTGCTCGGCTTGAGACATTCGGGGTACATCATGTCCACGGGTAAATCCCCCTGGTGCCGAGCCTTCTAATCTTGCAATCTTACCGCGGAACTATCAGATTTGGCACGGGATTTTAGACCCTTTTACTCGCGGGACACGCATAGCGTTTACCATTGTAAGGACCGAGAAGAGGCTACTTGATAATGTTAGTCGCGACTCCGGTGGCCCGGGAGCGGCTGCGGCTCTCCGTCAGTATCAACAATCATATTCCCGTTCAGAACGCATTGTAGGACGAAAGAAAAGAGTTGCGATATCTACGAGCTCAGTATCCGTCATTGTTGATTGCGTGCTTTTACATGCCGATGGTGCAACATCTGCCTCCACTATCAACTCCATCATAAAGGAATCGTTGACGTTGTTCGATCCGACCCGGCGCCCGGTAGCCCCCACTAACAGCATGCACGAAACGGACATTATCCGGGCCATGTGCGCCGGTTCTCCATCGGGAGGGAGTCATGAAAGTGCAGAAATTTCTCCATGGTAAAATACAGTTGGGCCATCATCCCGTCATACCCCTGGTAGCACAGACCGGTATCAATAAGTAAAGTACACTAGGAGTTGCAAGAGAGATCGCCTCATGCATAGTACCGTCTAGAGTTATCCCTTCTGCTCTTTGCTCGAGATTTCCCATGCCCACGAGTTACCATCCCTACACCCAATCACATTGTTTCACATCCAATGGAAGCACTTCCATCCAATCCCGGCTACATTCACTCCAAAGCAACATTCCAACAAGCCTTGCTAAATTAGAGTTCCATCAAAAATCAACCAACCGGCACAAACCATGAGCAACTCGCGCTCCCGGCCCCGCTTCTCAGACGATGAAGTCGGCAGAGCACGAGCCAACCCTCCGAACTCGGCATCACCGCCGCCCCCGTACTCCGACCCGGACTCGGAAGCCGCCGGCGCCGCCGTAGCCGCCCCTCGCGAAGACCAGCCCCTCCTCCGCGACCCAGCCGCCGCAGTCGAGGCCGGCGAGTCATGGAAGCCGCCACGAGGGTTTCTCTGGATCGAGCTCGCCATCATGGCCAACGTCTTTCTCTACGGGTTCGACGGGACCATCACGGCGGCGACGTACGTCGTCATCAGCTCCGAGTTCGACGCCGCTAACACGGCGAGCTGGCTTACGACGTCGTACCTCGTTACTAGTACCGCATTCCAGCCGCTGTACGGGCGGTTCTCTGACATCTTTGGGCGGAGGGTGTGCTTCTTTGTTAGTAGTATTACGTTCGGGCTGGGGTGTCTCGGCTGCGGGCTGGCGGGCGATGTGGTGCTTCTCAACTGCATGCGCGCGCTGACTGGATTTGGAGGAGGCGGTCTGATGACGATGGGTGAGTCTGTGATTGCGATCCCCCGGGGTTCAACACCAATGTATCGAGAAGAAGACTGACACGAGAGAACAGCTACGATCGTCAACTCAGACATGATTCCCTTCTGCAAGAGAGGCATGTACCAGGCCCTACAGAACGGCATGTTCGGCTTCGGCGCCGTGGCTGGAGCTTCATTCGGCGGCTCCATCGCCGACCACATCGGCTGGCGCTGGTGCTTCCTGCTACAGGTGCCCGTCTCCATCATGGCGCTTGCACTGGGTGCTCTGGTGATCAAGAACCCCGAGGGCGGTTTTGATATCGACACCAACGACTGGAGGGCCATCTGGTCGAGGGTCGACGTTTCTGGGGCGCTCCTCCTGGTCGTGGCGATTTCTGTTCAGCTCGTTGGCCTGAGTCTGGGCGGCAACGAGCTGCCGTGGGGCAGTCCCATCGTAATTGGCACCCTCGTCGGCAGCGTGCTCTTGTTGGCGTTGTTTGTGCTCGTCGAGGCCCGAACCAAGGCCATTCCTGTTATCCCCTTGAGGATGCTACGGGGAAAGTTGCCCATTCTCACGCAAATTTCCAACGTTTGCGCCGGACTCGCGGCGTATGCGGTACGTGGATTGCACAAGCAAGCTATCAACTACTCGAACGTTGGCTCATGATTACTGATATGACGGGAACTTCAGTATCTTTTCATGCTTCCGCTCTTCTTCCAGGTCATATTGCTCGACTCAGCGACCAAGGCCGGCACAAGATTGGCGATCCCATCGCTTGCCACACCCCTCGGGGGTCTCTTTGCAGGCATCGTCATGTCTCGCTGGGGCAAGCTCATCTGGCTCGTTCGCGCCGGCGCATTCCTGATGCTGTTTGGGAACTCTCTTGTCACGGCCCTCCAGTTCCAGGACTCGCAGTGGAAGTACCAAGTTTACATCTTTCCTGCGAACCTGGGGCAGGGTATCATCTACCCCGCGATCCTCTTCACGACTTTGGCTTCGTTTGACCACGCCGGTGAGTTTTTGTCTTGGAAATTTCAAAGATCTGTGGCACTAGTCCAATCCAAATTCAACTAATACCATCTCAATCATTACAGACCACGCCGTTTCAGCTTCGACAGTGTATCTCGTTCGCTCCTTGGGCACAGTCTGGGGCGTGGCGATAACTTCTGCCATCGTGCAGACAACGCTCAGCGTGCGTCTACCAGAGGCTCTCGGTGACGTTCCCGACAAGTCAAGAGTAAGTTCCTTTTGTCTCTACTTGCCTTGTCTTTATGAAAGAAGGTTACGGCGTCGCTAACGAAAGCTCCTTTCTGCCCAGCTCATCGACGAGATTCGACATTCCGTGACAGCCCTCAAAACCCTCCCGGTAGAAGTGCGCTTACCCGCCCGTCATGTCTACTACAAAGGCATTCAGTATGCCTTTGCCGCATCCACCACCTTTGCCGGCATTGCTCTCATCGCCGCACTTTTCGCGAGCCCGCGCGGCCTGCGAAGTACTCACAAGTAGACTATTGTCGGGCTGATCTTCAGGAAGTTCGGTCGCTTCATCTTCAAGACCCTGCCGTGTGGTCGTAGTCGATCCTCAGCAGCACTTAAGTAGTTGTCCAATTGTGTTAATGCACGATGTTAGATGCCCAGGGACACAATTTCTTCGCGTGATATCCACTCCCAGAACGCAAAGCATGTTATCAGGAGCCCTATGGTATGTACGGAAGGATAGACAAAAGCAACTGAAGAAGATAGCAACAAGAGAGTTCGCGATAAGGTCACTAAATCTGTTGAACCTATAATCTAAGTTGGTCATGCTTTCGCAGCTCGTATACTCCTATGCAACTATCGTTCCATAGCCTCGTGATCCAGGCAGTCTATCCCTCTTCCATGAGTAGTCTGTAGATCATGCCGCAAACCTCGGACTCAACATGCAGGCATCAACTAGTTCCACGCTGGCTTACGACTGATAACCTACCATGAATTGTGAAAGCCCAAGGGTATGGAAATACGAGATGGTTCGATTTCCGATATAGCAAGGGTCTCTTCAACTACTCTATTCATTGAAGCCGATTGGTCTCGGCCGCCGCGGGCTCGGTCCCTTAACCCCAGCGTCTCCGCACTGTCTAAGCGACTAAGCACTCGCTTCGATCCGTTTGCCTTGCCCGTCCCTAACGAGAGCCTAATTGTGCCCAGGAACCCAAGATATAAGTGGCCTGTCGTCAGAGTCGCATTGGGGGCAATACAATGTCTTAATCCTAATGTTTGAAGAAATGGGATTAGGCTCAAGAGGTTATCCGATGTCACCAATAGCATTTTCGCTTGGCAGGGCATGAGGTCCCCAGTTGAGTGTGGCGCTGACGAGCTAGTGCGGCCCGCGATCCTTTCAACGTTTCCAGCTTCCCCATGGAGTCAAACGTAGGATCGCGGAACCGACAGGGCAACAGAGCCGCCGCTTTGCCAAGGGTCCAGAATTCAGCCCGCGATGGTAGATGCAACATCAAGCAATAAGGCGCAGGCTCAAAGTCTGCACAATGCCTTTGAGGTGTTAATTACTCATGAGATGTGAAAAACTATTTAAGATAGGCTACTAGACTCGGTAGCATGCAATCATTTCGCTCTCCATCATCGGCTTCGAAGTAGTCTGACCTCTCTTGATCAATTCAGTCCAAACATCTTTCGATATGAGATTCACTATCGCTGGTCTTGCCCTTTTGGCATCGGCTGTAAGTATAAACTTGACTCAGGCATGAAAAAAGTTGCAACTGAGCTTTTTGACTAATTGGATGCCGCAGGTTATTGCCGCTCCGTCAGACAATGGCTTGGAGTACCGAACTGCTGAGGAGGTGAAGGATCAGCTGTTGCCCATCTCCGAGATGACCTTCACTGGCCCGGTCACCGTCGGCGGCCCGAATGTCACCCTTCACGGCGATGCTTCCTCCATCTTCGAGCAGATCCTCGCCATCAACCCTTCATTCAACGCGGAAGATTTCCAGGAGTCTGAGGGAGGCTTGAAGGCTAGACAGACCACCGTAAGCCTACTTGATAGACTTTTGAAGTCTATTAAACCTGTCTTTACACATAGATGACCAAAAGCTAACTCAAGATGAAGAACAACTGGAACTGCAACTCGGGAACGTACGTCGAGGCGTACTACTCTCAATGCGCCAACGCCATCAACCGCCTGATCACCCTGGGCACCAACTACTGCAGTGTCCCTGCCAGCACCTGCGCTCGTGTGGCCTGCTCCAACAGCTGCTCTATTTACCTCTGCAACAACGTGAGTGCCACTCCTCGCTGGTTTCCACAACATCAAAAGCAAATACTAACACTCCAATAGCGATTTATTGAGACGAGTGTGTACTGTAGTGACATTGCTGTCGACATGGGTATCATTGTGAGCAAGTGTGGTACTGTTGCCAACGGCGACACCCGGGCGAAAGGCACTCTGAGCTTCCAGAGTCACTATACTTTTCTTACCCAGCAGACTTGCTGAAAGGATGACCCGTAAGGCAGATTTATCAGAGTTAATCGATCGGTGGTGTAAGGCAGTGAATACATTCAAAAGGTTTTTGCCGATAATCTTCAAGCTGATGGTATCGCACAATTCGCAGGTGAGGACTTCAGGGGTCAGTATATGAGAGCGAGACATGAAGTCCAAGTTTGACGCCATTGTGGCTTAGATTTTATCACTACTGTTTGTTCAACTGTACCTCGAATACTCCACACTTCATGTTTGCCCCGCGTAGAATGCAAATGCTGACATGAACGTTTCTCGATTCCGCCTTTCACGAAGGGGCGCTCTACCCGACACTGAAGCCATGTTATCAATCTACTTAGGAAGACGATGTGCTGTAGATGCCTTGGCCCCAGTCCCCGCGGTTTGCCGCTGCGCGCTGGGGTGGATTAGCTATACGCTAATCAAACCCTTAACAACGCACATTTTCCCCTCGAATCGAGCCGACGATTATTCAACCTAACGAGCCGCCGTCGACTCGAATTCGCCTTCCGCAGGCTAGACGAAGTCTTCCTGGTAGGGCAGGGAGCAGAGGTTCCATCTAGCCTCCCGAAGGAGACGGGCGACTTTCTTTCCCGGCGCAAGTGGCGCTTCCGGGCCCAAATTGAACATCACCGACCGACTTTTCGACTTCGCTCTCTCAGCACCTTTGCCCCTTAAACGATCGAAGACTCCCTCGAAGAGACGAAACGACCATTGGGTAGCGATGTATAGCCACGGCTATATACAGCTATGCTCGTTACAGAACCTAACAGCAAGCCCTACAACCTAGTCTTACGAGGTTTTGCCCCTTGTGGTTTCCCTTGTGGCGGTATTACCTATTACGATATACTCCGGACGGTTACTGGAACGTTGTGTAAACCAGAAGCCTGCGGGCTCTGGGTCGAAGGATAGGAGATACTGGCGGAATTGCGTTCTAGGGACGACCATAGCACTGTCTCGGGCAAGCCAGCGGCACCCAGAGACAGGTTAAACACATAGTTGCCTTTGGGCACGATTTGAAGGACGAACTGGACTGTATCTAGTGATAGCTATAGGCCTACGGCCCTCCACGCCATATACCCTTCGGGAGGTCTGCCGCAAGGGCGGCTGCGCCCTTGCCGCTACGGCGTTAAAATACAACAACAACAAATAGATGCCTTCTTCCTTTGTATGGACTGATAGGCTTCTAGTGATTTAATTCAATTGGCCATAGCTCTATGTTGAAAATTTAAGTTTTCTGAATGAGTCCTAACCAAGCGCTCTCATTGATCTACAATGTCACCTATCGTCGACTTTCTCCTTGTTCTATGTTCACACAAGCCAGTGCCATTGCTTAAGAGAGGCCATTCCTGCGTTGCACAACATTTTGTGCATTTGCCATACATCCATAAGTACAATGCTAAGACTCTCTTTAACCGAGCCATATGATTCACAAAAGCAAGAGTCGTAACACGATTTCCGTACTTTTTATTGTGGTCTGAGTTGTGGCTCTGAGCTGTCTGACGATATCCTGAAAAGATGCTTTCCGAACGCTATCTTACATGGTTGTACACGGCGCTTGAGGGCTTGAGAGCACCTCATTCAGCATGAGAATCTCCATTTCTCTGATACTCCTTGCATCAGATAGAAACAAACCACTGGACTGCAGGTTGCTGCTGTAAGCGAGGACTCGACTGGAATTTATGTCTATCTCATCCCAGCTTCTAGGTAAATCTTATTAATAGATTGAACTTAAGTCGAAGATCAAGGGCGAGTTATTCTATCATCAGGCTTTCAATCTTACGGTCTTTGCTTTCATCCTTTTTCAATTGAATGAACTCAACCAATCGACTCGTGCTGACGCTCAACCCTAAAGCCATGCTCTTGACAGTGCTTCTGACTTTTGCCGGGACTCTGTCTTCGTGTGGAGCCACTCCGGGAGACAAGCAGACCAAAGTTCATCGTGGACTTCTTGAACCCATCAGTTCTACCAGTCCCTACTAGAACACGACCACGCTCGTCCATCAACCAGCCCAGCCTATCTGCCTCAGAGACTCCGGTATCTGTAGTTCGATTATCGCTGGGCGATGGCAAAACGCTACATTAGTAAGGCTGATTGGCTCTTCGTCGTTTACGAAGCTAACGTTTTGCAAGAGCAATAGTGTACCTGCTACCACGGGCCATATCCAATCTTCGACCTGGGATCTAAAGTCTGGGAGTTCTGTCGCACCTTCCACGAGCGCTCTGGCGTCGGTGTCTTCAGAGCGATACAATAGAACTTTCACGCACCCAGCTACTAGAAAGCAGTCGGCGACTAGTAGCACATCGCCATCATTCACGCAAAATTTGCCCTCTCCCGGAACAACAACGAGCGTATCTAGACTACCCTCGGCGTTTTTGAATAACACATACGTTGTCCCCACCGATGCTAGGATAACCACATCAAATTCGTATTCTTCGTCAACATCAACTTTGCCGCCAAACACCAGATCTTTGGTTTCCGTCCCGTCATCGTCTTTGTACTCAACAGAATCAGGAACTTCCATAGCCACGTCTGCATCTACCACCGCTCCGGTCAAGACTTATTTCACGATTCCCACCTTATCCGTCGTATCTGAGACTCCAACATTCTTGGAACTTACAGAACTACCGACTGGCGCACTTCTGATTCCTGTTATTACATGGCCACATTTGGAAACAATGTGATCTAGAAGCTGGCCGATATGCGGTGCATTTCGTCAAGAAGCGCCGTGTCTTACATGGAACAGCAGAAAACTGGTTGGCCCACGGGACATATTATGGACTCATGCACTTGCACTTTACGCACTTGGCACCTCATCACATCGAGCTCTTTGGACAAAATCTCATTGAAAGAAGGACTTGATCTTACTGTTACACGACATGGCCAAGACCAATACTTGATGCGTGGCCTACTAACAAAATACTGCGGTGGGACCTATGTTACATCTGTGGGTAGGGGGCACTCCGGAGAGTTATTGATTATCATGCTCAGTCGTCAGAGGAATCAGGCAGTCGGTCCTATTACTACAAGAATCAAAATGAGGCTGCTTGCTTGCCTTATCTATTGATTAAAAATGAGGCCAGATATTACTGCCTGCATTGTCTGCCTTATTGGAGGCTGGTTAACGCTGGCTGCCGCACACGCTGATGGGTTGTAAGAACGCTTGGCTGTGGTTGCACACAGGTCGAAGACTCGAAGCCAGGCTTCATGGAGCCCATGTACCGACCCCTCATGAGAGTTTCCGGCAACGGCAGTAATCAATTGGGAATCTTGTCAAGGTCACATCACTTTCGATGTCTAGCCAAGCCGCCCCTTCGTAACGGGTTGCCTTGACTGGCTGCAATGAGATCAGCGCCTTACTGATTGCACATGACGGATAAGTACTTCAGGTAAGCGGACGAAAGTGGAAAGTTCAACTCCGTAACTTTATTCTCAACATCTGTAGCTGGCCTTGTCTCTATTTATAGTCGAAGCTCTTTTGTGTCCACTCGCTATTGCTAGCTGGCCGGCCACAGTTTTGATATCCACACATTCTCAGCTTACAGCTACATAATCATTTTCTATGCGCTATCACTTCCTTCAAACATTTTCACGCCCTCCCTACAGTTGCTACGAGATACATCTCTTTGTGCCTGCTGTTACTTGTGAGATTGTTGATTGTGATCTCTGCTGTCACAACTTTAGAAGTCATGTTAGAAGACAGCACACCTGGCGCCACCACCAGCGATATTCTCCATGAGCCGAGTTCTATCTAGACCAGCGGGGTGTTGCACGAAACAAACACCACCATACCTGAAAATCCCGCCACAGCTACCAATACGCTCGTCGGAAACGACGTTGCTGAACTTGCTGATGTCGTCCAGAGCCTCAAGACGGAGATTCTTGAACTCGAGGCGAAAGCAAACCTTGACCCGAAATGGTCTCAAGAGGAGGCACTACCACCAGAGCTCAAAGCTGATCTAGAGCGGCATCGAAGAATGGAAGCATGCTTCTACAAGCACGGAAAGGAATGGGAGGCCACGAAGGGCCCGGGATCTTGGGGCACAGACGATTGGGGGCCCCGCAAATACATGCGTACAAGTGGTCGTAGATGGCATCCCAGCTGGGACTTAGTCCAAGAACGAGAGTTTCAACGTTCGGACTATGTCCACCCCTCTCACAATTGCTCGGATAGCCCGGTTCACGTGATGGGTCAAGCAACTGATGAACTCGACGACTTCGACCGCACTATCAACTATGGAGATCGCCGAGACAGGCTTCGCAAGACCTTTGAGTGGGAACTGGACCGTCTTTACTTGGCCGAGGAACTAAAAAAACGCAGGCAAGACAAACTTCATGGGCTAGGAGATAAGCTTCAAAAGGACGGCCACACTTCTGATGAAGATGAGCACCAAGAAGACGACCGCCTGGCCACTTACGCTCTGGCCAAGCTTAATCGGCTACAGTGGCTCTCGTTCAAGGATCTCTCTAGCCAAGGAGAGAAAGATGCCTGTGTCATGGACATTCTAGTAGGAGAACCCGATATCTCTGAGGATCTGGGTGCTTATCGTCTTTGGTATGGCTACTCAGGTGTCAGAGCCCTCCCGGATAGGGGCTAGTTAGAGGTAGCAAGGAGTCCAAGCAACAAAGGAGCAGCTCAGATATATATACAGCGCAGGGAGTACACGTCGAGGGAGGAGCAGATTGCAGTAATTCATCATTCTACCCCTAACTGCAGTTGGCCTCTGATAGCTTCCACCCTGCGTCAGCACCCCCGACTTGACATCAGGCCACAGCGCCCAAACGCCAGACGCACCGCAAGAGGTGAATACCCTTCCGCCAGCGGCGCCTGGGGAATCGCCGCTTCCCGAGAGGATTCGAATTCATTCAGCTGTACTTTATCAAATCCTTGGAACTGTGTTGGGAAAGACCTTGCACACGCGAACCGAGTCAACTGTTGTATTGATCAGGCCCTTCAAAGCGCTGACATACTGCGAGCCGGCGTTGCGAGACTGGTGTGCGGCATTGGAGAAGAAGTTTGCTGTCTCATCCAAGTTAGAGACAGCGACCACATTTACCGCTGGAAGTCTCACCAATGACTTACAGGAGAACGTACAGAATCCACGTCGTTCTAGACCAGATCAATCTTTTTCACCAAGGCCAGTCACGGGCGATGTGGCCATTGCAGCTCAAGAGAAAGAAGATCAGACATCTGTTGAAAGCCGAGATGAGCAGCAGACAGAGGCAGATGATTCGGACGGGGATGAGGATGAAGTGCCTGAGTTGACAAAGTCACCGATAGCGATGGAGCATTTGAAATGCCTCTTGAGTTTCATGGACACGGACATCTTGGATAGACAGAAGCATCTCAACAACTTCGACTCTTGCAAGGTTTTCTTTCCTGACCTATGGCACATTTTCCGACCTGGAACAAAAGTGGTCGACAAGGACGGCAAGCAAGCATATCGAGTCATCAAAGTCACTAGCGCTAGACATAGCGTTGCTCGTGACTGGGGGAACTACTACAGTCTTCCTGAGACTAAACGAAAGAAGAAGGCCGCATTCAGTATTACCTGCATACACATTGACTTCGATGGAAAGCATCTTGGGCCAGTAAGAAGTGTGTTCGATATGAAAAGGTTCGACGGCGAGAGAGACATCACTGCTTTGGACGTTTACCCTCTTCGTTTTCACCCCATCAGGCGGGCTGAATTTAGCAAATCGGAATGGAGCGCAACGATGATTCTTCCTGCAAATCAGAGGTACCGACAAAAGCTTGTGCACCGAGGTGGTACGTTTCTGGCGGTGGCCTCGGTGAAGCATATGTATTATGCTGGGCCGACATTGGGGCTGCGAGACGAGATCGAAAGCCAAGTGGTAATAGATTTCGAAACAGCATTCACAGTGGAAAATGGGGCGCAGAAATCATGGATGCCGTACTTAGAAACACTCATTGGAGGCTCGACAGCCGAAGAAGACGAAGAAGACAAGGATGAAAGCTGCCGCGCAGCATGCTGCCGGAGGGATGCCGTGCACGATGACTCCTATGTGGACGAGAAGCAGAGCTCTGGATACGTCGATAACCTCCTTCCCAAGGCAGGCAGCCTTGATGAACAGCTGTCAGTTGCAGTCATTCCTCGGCCGTTGGAGGAACTGTATAGCTGCACTGGTGAAACTCTGATTTCAGACGATGACTTGCTGATCATGTCTCATCGTGTCTTTGGTTTTGTTCTACGAAACCGGAAATGGGGTAAGTTTCATACGTTGCTTCTGCGTAAAAATTCCTGTTTTCTATTCTTGTGTACTAAGGTACTAACATCATGGTTCCTGCAGCGCAGCTTGACCTTTCGTATCTGATTGACGTTCACCAAGACGAGAAGTCGATTGTTTTGGGAGAGGGGGAGTCCGAAGTGGCAAACAAGAAGGAGAACAAGGAACACATCACCGCCTTTGATCGCCTTGTCCTCGAGGAATGGCATCGTCCGATGATCGAATCACTCATCGCTCAACACTTTCGAGACAAAAAGTCAACAACAGGCGAGAGAGAGGAGTTCGATATCGTCAAAGGCAAAGGTATTGCAGGTATTCCCGTGTTAATTCAAGAACGATTGGGCTGATGCGTTATACCTACTAGGGAAGGGTTTGATTATGCTTCTCCACGGGGCACCTGGAGTAGGCAAAACATCCACAGCTGGTTCGTATATCAAATCTCCGCATCCCGTAAGTTTCCTATGCTGACGAAATTCATCAAATAGAAGGAGTAGCGGAGCTTTTCAAAAAGCTACTCTTCCAAATCACCTGCGGTAAGTCCTAAATCAGTCATCATGCCACCAGTTGATCCACGACCACTGACAATCTCCTTCGTCACCAGGTGACCTAGGGACAACTGCAGCAGAGGTGGAGAAAGCTCTCGAGATGAACTTTGCCTTAGCCAATAGGTGGGATTGTATTCTTCTTCTTGACGAAGCCGACGTCTTCCTTTCCCAGAGGACAAAAGAAGACTTCAGACGAAATGGGCTTGCAGCAGGTTGGTTTCCCCAGTGTTGAGATGGATACCATATTTTTGTCATATGACTGAACAATCATTATAGTCTTCCTACGCGTAATGGAGTACTACGCCGGTATCCTCTTCCTCACCACCAATGGTGTTGGCGACTTCGATGAGGCTTTCACTTCTTGTATCCATGTAAGCCTCTTGTACCGGGAGCTCGATAGGGAAAAGACCATCGAGGTGTTTAAGATCAACCTGGATACGATTGAGGCACGCTTCAAAAGAAAGGGTCGAGTAGTCAAGGTCGATAAGGCCGGTATTGGGAGCTTTGCGAGTGAACATTTCACAGATTACTCTAAGGCACGCTGGAATGGCCGGCAGATTCGCAACGCGTGTCAGACGGCACTAGCACTTGCTGAATACGAAGCCCACGGGAAAAGTCACTCAGTCGCCCCGCTACCTGGAGCCGAGGTCACGCTGGACGTAAATCATTTCAAGATTGTCCGCAAAGCCTATGTTGAATTCACCGAGTACATGAACAACTTGTACAATATGGATTCGACGGAACGAGCCAAGGACAATGGACTCCGAGCTATTTGGGTCGACAACGACAACCGGATTGTGGATCAGAAAAAGGCGAATTTTCTGCGAGGCTCACAGGGTCAGTCTCTTGCAAGTCATCCATAACAGTCACCTCGACCACCACCGCCGGGGCACCAGCAGCATTACTCGCAGCCACAGCCCCAATATTATCAGTATCAAAACCTGAACATGCCCCAGCCAGTGTACTCGGAGACTGGCTATGCACAGCCCCAATCGCAAAACTATCCTAGCGGACAAGTTTTGGGCTATCCTATGGTGCCAGTTGCAACTCCTTCATTCCAAGGGTCCGGGGAGGAAGGGGGGTTATGATTCCCACACAGCAACTACAACGCCCATCGCTGGCGACATCACCACACCAGCCACTTCCTCAACAGAATGCGCAGCAAGTCATCAACAGTGGTGTCCATTCCATGTTCGAGCCGCCTAAACAGCAGCCGCCAACTCAGACCTACTGACCTCGTCATCTTATTTCTCTTGTTCCTCCTCTGTTCCTGTTTGAATCAAGCTTTAGTCTTTGCCCTGACGCGACCTCTTCGTTTCTATTGAAGAAGTGTACTTGGTTTCTTTCATTTATTTCTCAAATTACGGTACTATAGTCATCATATACACGAGATGAATACTGAGACATCAATTTGTTCTACTATGAGATTGTTGTGTCATATAGTAAACAGAATTCACGTCAGAAAAGATAAAACGAGTCCGGTTTGAGGGCTCAAATGAGTCAAATCCACAACTAACTACAGATCTGCTCACTCAAAACGGCCGATAAAGCCTTGCAACAAACGCGTAACACTTTCAACATCCTCAAGCATAACCCAGTGTCCTGTTTCTAGCAGCTCAAAGTCATATCCGGCCTTTGCCCATGGTCTCGTCATCTGATCCTGAAATGAGGCTACCGTCATTTCGTCTCGTCCACAGCTAACTAGCAACACCGGCACTTCAAGTTCCTTGGTCATGTACTTCTCATCTTCAAATGACAAGTTGTCTCGTAGCGCCTTGTACCAGTTTGTCGGGCCTTTCCACCCCCCTTCCTTGAATGTGGCAACCTTTTCCCGCAAGTAGCTGCTTTCTTGAGCGTCGTCCTCGCCAAACAAATGTGCTGGTGCAATCCTTCCAGAAGAAACCCAGTCTCTAGCCTTGCCTGGTGGTCCAAGATTGGCAGCCATGACTTCGGGTGAAGCATGCATGAGAGATATCATGGATTCGACATTCCGATCCATGAGTTCCACACCCTCGTCATCCGTGAAAAGATCCCAGTATCGAAATCGCTCTTCACCCGTCATCTCCTTCGTCATACGATTGATCATCTCGAAATCAAACTTCTCTCCCGGCACAGAGTAGCCGACGTCTAGGAAAACCAACCCGCTAAACTGGGACGGGTAAAAGTGGTACAGCCTGCTTAGGAACCATGAGCCTAGATCGTGGCCTACGCCTACCACCATGTCGATTTCCTCCGCATCCAAAATGGCTTTGATATGCACGCTCATTGCGCGCCACGTGTATTCTCGTGCATCTTTTGGCTTGGAGGTTCCGCCGTAGCCAAGGAGGTCAGGTGCGAGGACGCCATAGCCCTGGGAAGCGAAATGCTCTAGCTGCTGGCGGAAGTCGATGGCAGTTGACGGAAATCCGTGCAAGAAGAGAAGAGTTGGGAGTGCAATATTTGTAGCCTTGGCAAAGTAGTATGAATACGTTATGGAGGACGAGATTTGAAGACATTTAGCGGGAACTGTCGTCATCGTCGAGGTTGACACAGTGGTTTTGGCGATACAAATGCGGAGTCTGCTGCGAGTGCTTTTTTGACTAATTTTTGACTTTGGTCTCGAGGCAATAAATTCTGTTTGTATTTTTGACGGTAAAGAACTGCTATAGAGGTGACAAAGGAATTGGGGGGAGGGGGGCTTCTTAGTAAATGTAGTTAAGCTCGAAAGTCGACGAAATGTGTCCGAGGACGTGCTTCGACTAACACGCTCTAAAATGTCGATCTCCCGCTCTCGTGAGCAATCCCACCGGCTAGATTCCTCGCATGTCTCAGAGCCACATTGGGAAATGTCATCACTCAACGAACGCTCCGATTGGCCCAGTATTTAATATCGATAGCAACTTATCCCATCGGGTGCGGATGGACAGCACTTTCGCCAAGACCACGAAATACCCACTATTTATTCACTATTACCCCGCATTTAAAGGGGTACTTGACGATACGTCACTTATCCCTATGTTCTTTTGCCTATTATCACCACTATTATTACCATTTTGAATGATGCTATGATGTCTTCTGGTGATTCTGATACCTCTATTGCATCTAATGCTTCTGTTACTTCTATACGTAGCTGTATAGTAGTTGAGGTCTAACCAGAAGACCTTACTGCTGCCTGCAATGCAGACTGTACGCCAGAACGCTGCGACGCAGCAACAGTGCGGTCCCACGAACCTCCAGCTACCGAGCATGGCCTTCCGGGTTCGTTTCGGCCCCTTGACGTGCCGGCCCGGGCCCAAGAGATACGGGGGCTGCCGGCAAGCCCGCTTGACCTATTCATGCAGTACGTTCCGCAGGGCCTCTTTGAGCAGTGGGCCCAGTGGACGAATGCAGCACCGTTATCTAGGGAGGGCCCTAGGGCTAGACGGGCTAGAATATATGAGTGGGGGAAGACTTCAACAGACGAAATCTACCTCTTCTTAGGGATCCTATTATATATAGGGATCCATAGAGAATCTAGATTATCAACCTACTGGTCAACCCAGCAGCAGAGAGAGTATCCTATCCACCTATTTACACTGTTCATGTCCCGGGACCGTTTCCAACTACTACTCCAGCGACTACGGATATTCAATACTGCGGAATTCCAGCCCGAGCAGCGCGCCCAGCCCAGCCCTGCCCGGCCCAGCTAACTAGGAATTAGGTCAACCAATTCACCTGGAAGGATAATGCCCTCGTACTCTTCCTGTCAACTGTCTTCCAGGACGGCCAGGAAGTTATTCGCAGCCGCCGCCGCCCGGCTGGGGATACCGCTGCTAAGAAGGCCGCCCGGGAAGTCTTCGGCCCGAATGTCCGCAAAGACCTTCTAATCCCTAGGGCAATTGATGAATATAATCATAAGATGAATGGGGTTGATGTGAGTGACCAGATGAGGTCCTACTATCAATATAACCACCCTATTCGTCGAGGGGGCTGGCAGTCAGTTGCCTGGAATTTCCTACTAGAAGTGGTAGTTGTGAATAGCTTCCTACTGCAGCTCTGGGGCAGCCCTAGGTGGAAAAAGGTGAAAACCCACTACCAATGGCGGCAGTTGCTGGCTGCCTAGCTTATTCAACGGTTTGGACCATTGGCAGGCGGGCGAAGACTATCACGGCCTAGACGGGCTATAGATAAGAGGAATATTTCTATCCCATGGGAACAGCATAGGAAGGGATCAAGGAAGGTATCTTCACCTTGTACCTATTGTGGTAGTAGGAAGGTTTTCAAGGAGATATCTGGGAATACCATCACTCGGCAACGACGGCAGACAACTCGAAAGGGTTGCTTAAATTGTAATGTACCATTAGTTATGTATTAATAAAGATTGCTGGTACCTCTGGCATACCCAAAATCTGTAGGAAACAGAGGTACTACAGCCCTATTGGTTAACTTTATAGATTTGCAAGCCCTTATTGGCTCTACCCCGCCCTTGGCGAAAGTGCTGTCCATCCGCACCCGATGGGATATTAGTAGGTACGATCTCGTTTCGAAGGCAACGTACGCCTTTTAGATTTTCAGCCTAGTTTGCGCAGCCAAAGGCTTTGCCCGGATCATCAACGGGTTCTTGATCCACAGCGCGAAAGCCTTCTCGTTCTTCCAATCCCGGCTTTCCTCACACAGCTCGAGATCATACGAGAAGAGCAGAGTAGCCAGGATAAGTCTCATCTCGTGCATTGCCATGTTCTGGCCCAGGCAGTTTCGCGGTCCGAAGCCGACCGGCTAATGAGCCTCCAGAGCGTCCCCGGCATAGGTGGGGTCCGTTTTGAGCCACCTTTCCGGAGTAAAAGTTTCGGCGTTCTTGAAGTTGGACTCAGATTTGTATGTTGACCAGTGGTGAACTGACACGCGCGTGTCGGCGGGAACCCATTTGCCAAGAATCTGTTGTCCACCAGGGAGCACCACTCTAGGACTGCCGATAGGGACTGGGGGGTAGACGCGCAGCGCTTCCTTCAGACAGGCGTTCATTTACTTCAGCTCCTGAAGGCGATCGAATGTGAGTTCGTCCAGCTTTGTGAAGTTGCCTCGGATTTCTTCGAGGAGCGTCTTCATTTCTCGGGGTGGGTGAGCAGATTGTAGAGGCAACCGCTGAGTGTAGCTAGTGCAATCATTTAGCTTCATATCACAGTTTCAAGTGATCAGATCTGCTTACCTGTCGTTTCCGATCCGGCGAGCATGAAAATCTCGGAGTTTGAATGCATCTCCTTGAGGGAGAGACTGTTGGATCTCTGAGCAGTCGGCAGAAAACATGGATCTGGAAGGCGGTATGGGCACTTACGAACGGCCCTTTCACTTATATACCACTTCTGGGAGATCGTGGGCTCTGCCCACAATCTCCTCCTTCCACCTCCAGACGCAGCAATAATAGACCATTATTGACACTTCGTTCCAACCGTACGGTTGCCCTGCTGACGTGTATACCAACAGAGACCCTTGCCTTCCTTGGCCGCTTAAACCAAGTTCCAGACATTAGGCTGGTCAGAGCCATTCTGCAGTCGTTGGTTGACGCGGTCTTCGGAGTGCTTGCAGTGAGTGACGCGCTGCTCCACGACGGATTTCGGCTCGAAGCGGTTGAATATGGCGGTCAGGATGGGGTAGTAGTTGATGATGGAGACAATGGGTAACATCTTGAGTGACTCGAAGATTGACCTGACCCAGGGGCTATATTCGTTCTTTGCCAGCAAACCGAGGGGCTGACCGAAGCAGAGTTCGGCCATGACGTCGAATGTCGCAAAGTTGAGCAATTGGGTCATCCCCACGGGCTTTTCTCCCTAGGCATAACACGCTCGAAAAACTTGCTAACCAACAGCGTGATAGCTTCCTTTAATACCAGCAGTGATTTTCGCAGTCCTCGCGTCACGCTACGGTGTTGGGTTCCACGATGCCGACCTCCCATCACAACTATACTTGATTCGTGCCTCCGAGTACCAGACCTACTGGGAAGTGCTGTACTTCATCTCTTCAACTGTCATCAAGTGCGCCATTTGGGTTCACTTGTATACGCCTGGATCGACGGAAGCGAGTGGTCATCTGTATGATACTCAACATGTCTGTAATGGTGGTTGTAGCCATCTTGGCTTTGATCTTTGTCTTTGCGAATTGCACCCCGCTTGCAGCAACATGGAATCCTGCATTGTAAGTATCACAAAGCGAGGTAGCAAGTGGAAGACATGTATAGTAGAAAGTGGCTTGATTCCTCTAAGTGGAAGATCCGTATGAGGGTCATATCTATACCGTACAAGACGGGTAATCGGCTTGTGGAAAGCGGTATCGTACGGCAGTAACCGGCAGCGCCACGTGTGGCGCTGCGACAGTAAGTCTCTCTATGGCATAGCATTGATGTTATGATTGGGCAACAACCTTTTGCTCGAAATTGGGTTGCTCATTTTCTTTTGTCTACTAACCTCGTCCGATAGGGGATCGTGTCAAAAGAAGATCAGCTTGCAGACTGTCAGCTATATCGTCTCTGCGATTCAGATGTTGACGGACTGGACGTGTGCTATTATCCATTCTTCATCGTGGCAGGACTTCAACTTTCTCGCCGTAAGAAGGTGTCTGTCATAGCCATTCTCGGCCTCGGAATCTTTGCTAGTATTGCTACTTGCATCCGCATGCCCTACCTCAAGTACTACGACGCTGCCAAATATCTTACTGAGATTGTCTGTGAGTCATCGTCTCTCAATACCTCTGCCCTTCTTGGAACATCAGCTTACACGTCACGTCTATCCTATAGACCACCTTGGAGTCATCAGCATTACTTCCAACCTTGAATGTAGTTTGGGGATCATTGGGTCGTCTCTACCCCCTCTCCAAAAACTGTTCAAGTTTTACTATGGCTCATCTCACGATGGGAACTATAAGATCACCGGCGAGGTAAGCCACAATGTGACTTTGGTATTTGCTGTAAATAGTGACTGACCGGAATTCTTTTTCAAAGTGAAAACGCCCTCGGCAGTGTTGGCCCAGGTATCAAGCTTGGCTCGCTCAGCGGCAACGACAGAACATATCATGCCTCAGCCAAACGGGGTACCTCACGTTCAGGTGCCAGGGAACATGAGACCGACGACGACGACTCTTCGAGTCGAAAAGGGATCATACGAAAGACTGATGTCCATGTCAGCACATCCACATTCCATGTATAGCGTAATGAAGCGTCAATTGCTCGCACACACCGACATGTGTGTGGAAGTCAATTCGCATGTAATTTTAAAGAAAGAAAAAAAACTAGCATTCGAGCCTTTGAGCATTTTAACATGTCTTCAAGTCTCTACATTTGCCAATCTATAAGAAACAAGTTCTGCTAGGCAACTCATCTATTGTCTGAAGTCAACTTCCGTGTCTCGTTGAAGGGGGCATGTTTCGAAAAAAGTACCGGCACAGGCTGGAAGAGACACAGGACCTCATGTCTTTGAACTCTCATGGTAATACATCAGAGGGCAGCTCAACCTTCTCTTATCTCCTCCTCTCCCTCGTCTCCTTCTTACTTTCGGAGCCTGGCGGGGTCAGCAATCTACGAGAAACTACCAGGTCCGTGATGCCCACGCTTCTCCAACCAGAGTAAGCAGGCCAAGAAGAAGATGGTCAAGGAATCGTGTTGGTTACACGTCAGCAGGGCAGCCTGAGGGCCGGTACGAAGCTCAATAATCTTGGTATTGAACTGCGTATGGATATGTAAGGAGGAAGTTGGTGGGCGTAGCCCACGATTCCTCCGTTGGGTGTAAGTAGGTGGAAGGGCCGTTTGCAACGGCCCAGACCACCTTCCCAATCCACCTTTTCTACCAATATTCCAACAAATGGGAATCCCGAGCCCTGGAGGAGGTCGAGAGGCACATGTAGGCTCTCAGGGTAGAACAACGAACGGCGGTCCAGATGGCATGAGATAGTACCATCTTCCGACGTATGTGACTAGACAGGGGTAAGACTGGCGTATGATACCGTCATAGAGACATAGCTAACATCTGGCAAGTCGGTGCAGGTTCCTATAATGATGGAAACATAACAGCAACATTACTGCTCGTTTCAAGGAAGAATCATCGAGGAAACCCGGTGTTCGAGAGCAAGTGTCAGACTGCTTCCGGTGTAGATATATCCCCTCTTCCTCCTATGCGGTCACCCCCTCCACAGAAAGTGCCAACCACAAGTCTAGACCGCGAATCACATTCGAGATGAGCAGAGGGCATTGACAAGGGACGGGACGAGGTAACATTGCAACTAGGAGGCAAGACAGTCACCGCCGCCCCTAAACAATCAACATAGAGCAGCGCGGACAAGCCCTCGGTGAGGTGACGCGACTAAGCCCGTCAAGGACACGGCATATGTTGAGAACAACTTAACAAGCCGCCGTGGAGAACGACTCTCATCCTAAACATAATACAAGTTGCTGGTACTCACTTGAACACGCATGAAACAGCAGCCATTTATACTCAAATACGATCTCGTGTGCTCGCAAGTTGTTCGGATCTTTCATACGTGCAAGTTGAGAGATTTATGCTGAGAGGAATCACTTAGCTGCGTTATCAACCTGAGGACTCGGTAAGACCTAACACCGCAGTAATGATACCATAGTTTCCCTCAGAGTAAGAGAACCGTCCTTTCAAGTATTCATCATTCTTATATTAACGAGGGTGTATGAGGTATTGCTTTACAGCAGTTACTTCAGATGTGTGAGCGTTATTGTTCTGTGATTATTGTTCTGTCACTGTAGACAATAAGACCCCTTCATTATGTAATCAGCACCAAACCCCCATAGGCGCAGGGGTAGGTACCACCAAGCTCCGATCTACCGACCGACAAGAGCAGAAGCGACCATCGATTTCGTCACTACTTCCGTCCCGTCCCGGGCGCACGCGAACGAACGAACGAAACGAGAGAGACTTAGATCCCGAAATCACACCTCACCTTCCTCCACTCCTTCCACGACATCATATCCTACCACCCCTCCCGAACAAAGCTCCCCCAGCTCCCCCACCACTAGGGTTCCCTATCCCCTTCAATTGAATCTCGTAGTCAATTCGTCACGGAGAGACAAGCACATCGAAAACGTCCGGGCTCGAGCCCGGCATGCTCCTCCCCCGGCTGCTTCAACCCGCAGCGGCCCGTTCCCTCCGCCGCGCCGGCGCATTCTCGACGAGGACGATAACGAAGACATCAGCGAATCCTCCCACTCTACCAGGGCAGATATGCCTCCGAGCTCGGTTCCCGCGTCGGACGTTTACGATATCGCGTGCGCTTCGAGATGACGTCGCTTCCATGAATCACTACGAGACCTTGAAGGTTGCTCACGATGCCTCTCCATCTGATATTAAGAAGTGCGTGCCATGTCCCTACCTACCTATCTGCCACCCAGTTGGCCGTGGAAGCTACAATTCTACAGTCGCCTTCACATAGGCACATGTCTAAGCTACAGCAACACTCCCCCGCCTCAGCCTAGTCTCAATGCTTGCTATGCCCACCTGCTCTCACCAATCTCATTCCAGCCTAAGACCGACAAACAGCTAACTCAACCTTCCCCTCCTAGATCCTTCTACGCCCTCTCCAAAACCCACCACCCAGACCATAACCGCGACGACCCAAACGCATCCCGCAAATTCCACGCAATAGCAGAAGCCTACTCCGTCCTCGGCACCCCCGCCAAACGCGCATCCTACGACCGCTCCCTCCCCTCCTCCTCGCACAACAGCCACCATGCCGCAGGCCACAGACGCGGCTCCTACCACAGCAGCTCGGGTCCCGCGGGCGGCCGCCCCGCATCAGGCCTCTCCCGCCGACGCACAACCTTCCGAGGCCCGCCCCCGAGCTTCTACAGGTCCGGCGGTTGGGGCGCGCAGTCGGCGAAGCGGAGGGAGGCCCACGAGGATACCACCGGCACCGGCGCGGAGAAGGAGCAGCCTGGGATGGGTCCCGGGTCGGATCCGTACGGGCACACGAGGTCGGCTGCGCCGCGGCACTTTGATTCGCAGACGCATACTAGGACGCAGCAGAAGCAGGATTCGCGGCGGTCGCATAGAATCATGGGCACGCAGGTCCCGGTCGGACCACAGGAGACGTCTGTGGGAGCGTTTTTGGTGGTCAGCGGGATCTTGTTCTTTTCCTTTTTCATACCCTTTGTTGCAACTGGCGGATTGCGCCGGAAGAAAAAAGATGCTAAAAGATAGAGTTCAGGCAATAGAGCTTGCGTAGCAATCAGTAGACATCTACCAGGATAGACATAAATCACACGACAAAAGGCTTATTGTCCACATCACCACGAAACAATCGAATGCGAAGAAACCAAGGAATTCCGGTCGACCAAACTCAATTACTCCCCGAACTAATCTACACCAGACAGGAGCCTCCAAATGAAACCAGAAGAGCATTGGGTCCGCTACCCGGCCGGAGAAAGGAGCTGAAAGAATTTTCCTCGTCAAGAATACATGTGGTGAACAAAGACTTAGCCCTCGAAGGTGAAGCTGGCACCGAGCTTGTGGGTAGCCTGGTCGAGCTTCTGGGTATCAAAGGAGGCACCAAGACCAAGGGTAACACCCTCGCGGAGGAGGACATTGTAGCCGAGAGCGGCGACACCGTTGTTGTTGACCTTGAACTGTACGCGGAGATTCATGAGCAATGGTTCTAGAAACGATGTTGGGGGAGGGAGAGAAAGTTACACACCTTGGCGAAGGAGACGGGGTCGATGCGGTACTTGCTGGCGACCTCGAGGCCGACGTTATTGCCGGCCTTGGAGTTCCAGGTAGCCTTGGCACCGGCCTCAACCTGGGAGTTGACCTTGTGGTAGTAGGAGGCAGCGAAGACGCTGAGGTTGTCGCTGGCAGTGATGGCAGCAGAGTAGGTGGGGGCCTGGAAGCCGACAGCGGCGGCATAGCCGGTGACGGAGGCCTTGTTGACGTCGTAGCCGGCAGAGGCGCCAGCGAGGAAGCCCTCGTGGCCGACAACGGCGTCGATGTTGGCGGTGGGGCCCTTGAGGAGGTCGAAGAAAGCGCGGCTGTGGAAGTTGCTCTGCTTGAAGGTGAGGTTGAACTTGGCGCCCTTCTTGGCGGCGGCCTTCTCGCCGGCGGAGGGCAGGAAGGAGAAGACACCCTCAGCCTTCAGGCCCTTGGCGAGGCTGTCGGCAAGCTCGACCTTGGTGTCAAGAGCGGCAGCGGTGTTCCATGTCTGGGTGAGGGTCAGGCCTGCGCGATTGTAGAACATTAGCAAATGTGCAAATCCTGGCGATATGTTGGCTGCGAATGAGACAGGACTGCCGTAAGGCCGTCCATATATTCGACCCAAGCTGAGATTCAAGCGCTTTAAACGATGGGTGGTGGTTGCTGTACCGGTAGCCTTGTCGGAGTATTTGCCCTCGATCTGAATTGGAGGAAGACGATGTTAGTCGAGGTCCATGTTTATTTATTTATGGGACACCTGATGCATCATCAGGCGGTGAATGTTAGGGCGCGACTTACAGCTCCAGCGGTGCTCTTCTCGTGGGAGGTCTTGCCGGTGACCTTGAAGGCAACGTTGTTGGGGGTGTTGCTCTTGAGCTCGAAGGTGGTGGCAGAGAGGTGGTAGAAGTCCTTGTTGAGGAGCTATTGAAGGCCAATGTCAGCTGAGTGGTTTCTTCCGTCGAGGATGACCTCGGCCGGGGGAAGAAGCCTAGAGCTTGATTTTCCCCGTCCGCGATTACCTGAAAAAAGTATAGAGGGAGAGAGGGGAGGGAAAGCGCATACGTCGTTGGCCGACTTGGCGATGTCTCCGAAGTTAGGAACAGACATGATTGCTGATTTTTGACGGGAAGAAGGACTTCAGGGAGAAAATTGAGTAGACAATGGGAAAGCGGTTGACGAGATGCGACGGGCAAAAAGAGGCGGGTTGCAGGTGTCCTTTCAGGAGATGGTCTGCTGGGGCGGAAGCTGTTCGAGAAAATGTTTTGGTTGCATCAATTGGTTGACGGGGATTCCCGGCGCAATTCGGTCCGGAAGAGCTTTGCTGTGACGGGGTCGCACTAGGACGCTTTTGGCTGCACGTGGGGGATCTGTTATTGGTTTGTTGGGATTGTTGTCGGCTGGAGAGCTCAGATGGGACTCTGGAAGACAGGGGATCGCAATAAGGTAGAGTAAAGCACTGAGAGAGTGGATGTCGATTGCCAGCAGTGTGGGCTACCCAAGGCTCAGGTGTTCAATGCGATTTTCTGGCTTTGCTCTTTGATTGTTGTACTCTGTTGTGTGTATTTGAGTGAGTGTGTAGATGGTGAAAAGAAGATAAAGTGGAAGAATGAATCTGGGACGGAATGTAGGTAGCAAGAACGGCAGGCGTGAGATTCTTACCGTCAGCCTGAGAGAAGAGGCAGGCGCAGAATCTTTTCCGTGGTTCCTGCCTCTTCCCGTTGCCTTTGTCTCTGTTTGCACTGTCGCTCATTTTTCTTCCCACACACCTGTCTTCGTGGTGTAACTCAGATTACTCCATGGTGTCACCTCACTGCTGGTTCTTTTGTCCATCACTTGCGCTGTTCAAATAGGGGACTAACTGAGTCACGGTGGATGCTCATTTGATCAGTTACCGGCACTTGCCACTAAGTTGACATTCCCGGGCAATCACACTCAATCATTGTTGCACACAAAGTGGACTCTTGGGTGGAAGAAGTCAATGGAAGTTGGGGAAGGCTCTTGGAGTCTGGGATGTTGCTTTCTCTCATAAGCTCCAGGAACCAACCCCTGGCAGACCAAGACCTAGGTACATACGGAGGGGATTACAGAAGAAAAGAAAATGGTCGGAAACCCTTGCGCCATCACCAGAGTCTTCATCGCAACCACGAACTAAGCGAACATTTTATGAAGGCGCAACAGCAGACAATAATTGCAACTTCCATTCCCATTTTTGGAGACTCTAAACTTGTTGAGTGTCTACATAATCCAACAAACCAGGACGCCTCTACCTTTACGCGCCCGCATTGACGTGAAGTGCTAGGATACATGTTGTCTTTCCTCCAAATTACCACTTTATGCGGCGGTCTCGTACTTCTGCTCGTGGACGGCAATAGCTCTGTCATGCAACGGGTCAGCAAACGGACTAGGCCAATTCATTTTCACTGGGGAATTGGGGAGAGGGGGGGTGTCTTGTGACTCACCTGCCACTGGGATCCGTCTGCTTGGACCATGTGGGGGTCCAGCGCATAACGGTCGAGGCGCAATGCGGCGGGAAATGCTCGTCGAACATGAGGCGGTACCAGTATCTGTCAAAACCGCGTGTCAGCGGCGCCTGATCCTGCAGAGCAACAGAAAAGGGATAAAGATTGGATGATGCTTACGCTTCCTTGGTGTCCGGAATGTCAGTGCCCCATTCCGGCTTGGGGTTCTTCATCATCTCGTCGGTAACGTGGAGCTCGGCGTTGTCCTTGAGCCCGTCGATCCATCCGTATCCGACACCGTCGGAGAACTGCTCCTTTTGTCTCCACAGAATGTTGTCCGGGAGGTACGGCTCGGCGCCGGGCTCGTCGGAGGTGTCGAACGCCTTACGGAGGATGTACTTCTCCATCTTCTCTTTGGTGATCATCTTCTCTGAGGGGTCGATGTTCATGCAGGCCTCGAGGAACTACAGAAAACAAAAAGTCAGCGGAGACAAGGTATTATGGGCTTTGCAGTCTACTCACCTCCTTGTCCAAGAAGGGCACACGCGCCTCAAGACCCCAAGCGGAGGTGGACTTGTTGGCGCGCAGGCAGTCAGCAAGATGCAAGTTCTTGACACGGCGAACAGTCTCCTCGTGGAATGCCTTCTTGTCGGGAGCGGCGTGGAAGTAAAGGTAACCTCCGAAGATCTCGTCACTTCCCTCACCACTGAGAACCATCTTGATGCCCATGGCCTTGATCTTACGGGAAAGGAGGTACATCGGTGTGGAGGCACGGATCGTGGTGACATCGTACGTCTCGAGGTGGTAGATGACGTCGGACAGAGCGTTCAGGCCGTCCTCAATCGTGAAGGTCATGACATGGTGCTTGGTGCCGAGGAACTTGGCGACCTCGAGGGCAGCCTTGTTATCGGGCGATCCTGGGAGACCGATAGAGAAGGAGTTGAGCTGGGGAAGATATGTGACAGTTGACAGCTTGTTGTCGTCGTCGATACCGACCATGCCATCGCCAGTATCGGGGTTCTCCGTCATGGGAAGCGCGCCACCGTTGGCATCGAGGGCCGCCTGCTTCAAGCGCAAAGTCTCCCTTTGGGCAATGGCCGCGACCAAACTGGAATCCAGACCACCGGACAACAGGACACCGTATGGCACCTCAGCCATGAGTCTCTTTCTGACTGACTTCTCGAGCTTCTCGCGGATCAACTTAAGGTCGAGAGGGGTCTCGGGGACCTTCGCGGCGTCCCACCAGGTAGGCTCGAAGTATCTTGTGGTCTTGCCAGTGGCAGAGTCGTAGATGTGACCAGGGGGGAAGGCCTCGACCTTGTCGCAGACACTGTGCAGGCACTTCAGCTCGGAGGCAAAGTACACCGCGTCGGGCTCTTTTGAGGACCAGCCGTAGTAGAGGGTGGTAATGCCGATGGGGTCGCGGGCGGCGATTGTGCGGTCCTGCTTCTTATCGTACAAAACAAAGGAGAACATGCCGTCGAGGTGCTTCGGGGCATCGAGACCATACTCCATGTACTGTGATACGTCAGATCTCCATGCCTTCCAATGTGGATATCAGGTCGAGGGTCGATATTGACTCACCAGAGGGATGACGACCTCGCAATCGGAGCCGGTCTTGAAGTGGTATTTGTGCTTGAGGGACTTGCGGATCAGACGGTGGTTGTAGATTTCACCGTTGACGGCAAGGACGATGCTCTCATCCTCGTTGGTAAGGGGCTGGGCGCCGGACTCTGTGATGGTGGTCAGCCATAGAAGTTGTGGCCAGGTAAAGGTAAATCTTACCGACGCCGACGATGCTAAGACGCTCATGGCACAGAACTGCAATTGATGGTCAATTGATGGGATACTGATGGTCATGATCAAGTATAACCTACTCGTCTTGTTGGAAATGACGCTTCCACCTGTGTGAGGGAGATTGGTCAGTTGTCTGCTTGGTTCGTGTCGAAGTCGCGCATCGCGGTGACTCAGAACTCACTCCAATCGGGGCCACGGTGACGGATGCTGCGAATTGGGGGTCAATTGATGCGCCTTGAATATGAACGATTGAAAACTTACGCCTTTGCAAGCTTCAACGCCGTAGGCTTGAACTTTTGTACGTCGGGGTGACTGCGCGCGCACACAACAGTCAGTCGCATTCTCCAGAGGCATCATGGCGGGGTTAATTATTTTTTTGGAGGGGAGCTCGCGTTGCCCCTCCATCCGCGCCGAAATAGGGACGATCTCGCAGGTGGGCTTACCGGTGACAAGCGAAAATACCACACATGATTGCAGTCTCTCGAAGCTACGGCTGTGTGTTGTGTATGTGTATGGGATGAACTATACAACTCAGAAAAGGTTGGAAGAGGCGAAAGACGTGTCCCGGAGGAATAAATACGGAGCAAGAGGTGGGAGCAACCGGGTGAAGGGGTGGGAGTGATAGAATTATGACTCTTCTTGCGCTTCACCCAGTTTTTTTATTTTGTCGTTATTTCTTTTCGACCTTAGTTACCCTTTCCTTTTGCCGCAACGGCCCCAGAGAGTAGGTACTTGGAAGCATTGGACCGCGCTCCTGATACACCTCAATGACATCCCCCCTAGCACCTAGCTCATCCGACGGAAGCCCAGCCCTGAGCCCCTGACACCTGGTACTTTACCAACCTTGGATTATCGGAGGCCGTAGCCGGTGCTTCGATAAGGGTCGGAAACGTCAGGGCCGTCTACGACTCTGTGCCAAAGTATCCCCAAGGGTTGTTAAAGTGTGCCAAATTTGCAAGTCCGCCGCTGCGGAACCACAGTGACTGGCTGCATCTGCACGATACGCTAGTCTGCTGCGCTGCACTAGTGTAACATAGCTGGTCCCCTGGGCCGATCTCGGCTCTCGCAATTATTGGCGGACTGGCCAGTCAGAGTTCACCAGTCTCCCAATTACCTAAGCTTACCGACTGATAAGAAACTACATCGTGCCCAGCCACCAACGAGAACGCAGAGAACGAGTCGGTGTGGTTCTGCCGTTTGCTGTTTGCTGCTGCTGCTGTTAATCTGTTCTTTCACGACAGCCCACATATGGTGCCACGGAGACGCCTTTTGTCTGCGAAGCTGCAGCTCTTGATGCTGCCGGGCATACTTACCTCACTGTGCTCGTGACAATGTCTTCTACTGGAGGGAAAACGAGGCTTTCGGCAGCCCGTGTCTTTCACTGTTTGGTAATACGCCCGCTCCCATTGAGCCCTGACTCTTCCACCCCCCGACTTACTCGTCACCGTTGTCAGGGTTCCGGGTCTCAGGCCAAGCAAGCTATTGTGGAGGTGCGCTCCTCCGACAGAAACACAAGAGCCCGGCGGCATTCGTTCCGGTGCAATATCCACAGGCGGCGGCTTTCGACGGGTAATAAATGAGCCTCCCACCACTGACTGGTGGGGTCTCGAATCGCCGCCAAAAGAGTCATCGTAACCAGCGTGCCAGGCTCGTATAGTCGACTCGCATATCATTTCTACTCGCCTTTCCAAGCACTCAATCGATGCATCTCACACGCAAATAACCTATTCACCAGATCAACAGCCGGGCTGGGAATTGATTGCCCACTTGTTTTCTTCCGTCACAATATTCTCATTGCATTGTCATTGAACAGATCGAAAGCAGAGAAGCAGACCGTATGGTATTCCCGTAACTCCGAAGTCCTGCCTATGGGCAAGACGCTGTGATCTCGTAAATCTATTCACACATAGTTGCCGTTGCATCTAAGGCGCCGGGTTCTCTCTCACGACGCGCTTGATGCGCTTCTCGTATTCCGTCTTGTCTTTCTTGAAGAGACTGTAGGCTTCAGCCTGAGCGGGAGACTCGGGGTTGGGATCGTCGAGCAGGTTCTGGATGCCGAGCAGGATCTGCTTCACCGTGATTGCAGGCTTCCACGCCTCTTCCTCATTCAAGATCGACAGGCAAACGGTGCCGGAGGGGTAAACGTTGGGATGGAACAGCGGAGGGACAAATTTGCCTACGCATGTTTCTATCAGCTTGACGTATATGGACGGGCTTAGGGATGCTTTGCAACTCACACTTAGGCGGCTTCGTCGGGTACTCTGTTTTGCGCAGAATCATCAGCAAACGGCTTTCACTCCACTGCCATTACTCCGAGTAACTTACCTTCGGGGAATGTGATTGTCAACTTGAAGAGGCCGCCCTCCCAGATCGTCTTCTCCTTGCCAGGAATACCGCACTCCCAAACCTTCAGGTCGAGTGTTCCACTTGCGGCATTGCGCTGAGGCTTCGCGAAGAAACCGAAAGGGTGGTCCTTGCGCCACTGCTTGCTATAGCATGGCCAGAATAGTTAGACACATATAGGACGATAGAGAGCAGTTGGGGCAGCATACCGCTCCTCCTGAAGTCTGTTCTGGCAAAGCGACATTGTGGTGATGTATAATAGTCACTGAGAGTGTCTGTGTCCAAGGTCGTGTGCGATGTCTGGCTCGTGTTTCGCAAGGTTGCGGTTGCGAGTGTGCACAATCGGGACGATTCAACCTTCGTATCGGGCCGTGATCGAGGGCTCGGTACGTTCGGATGGCGGAGGTGTCGTAAAACGTTCACGCCGGTCGATGTAGAAGAGGAAAGTGGTAAGGCTGGCTGTGTTTGAAGGTTGGCTCGGTGTGTTGAGGCAAAGCCGCAGCGAGTGGAAGTCGTCAACGAGTTACCTGAGGTAAGGCGCCTTGCACTTGCCTCACTGAATGCGCCGCGTTGGAAGGCGGAAGATTTTCGGGGTAGAGGTACGTACCGACTTGGATCGACCAACGGAAGGTGCGAGACCTGGCAAACGCGAGAAGCCGCGGTACCTTCCGCAGGAGCTCAGGGCCGTCGGGACCTTTGGAAAATGGAGAGGGGCGGCAGGGGCGCGTAGGTAGGTAGCGGTCGCCCAATGGACAAATGGGAGAATGGACCCCGCCCTAACCACGTTTGTCCGGCGGCGCGGGGTGCTGGGAATCTGACGTGGGGCTAATGGACCTGCCCAGATGCAAGACAACCTTGGAGCTTCAGGCCGATTCCTCGGCTTTCATCTGACAGTCCATCTTTCTGCACGTACAAAGGCGATAATCCCAACCCTTGTGAGGTTGTCTATCACCTGCAGCACCCCGAGGTTCTGGATCCCTACCGTACGACACCTTTGTCACGACCGCATACAGCGTTGCTTTGACCAGGGCGCCTGTTCTTACATTCACAGACACTGATACCACCCCAAGCGCCTTCTATTTCTTGTCACACGCATCATATTTGGATCGCAGCGGAGGCATTTTGCAAAGATGGAGAAGGACGGTAGCGCAGCCGGCGCCGCCAACACTGCCGAGGCAAAACCCGTGGTGCCGCCAGTGGAAGAGACGAAGCCTACGACTGTTGTTGAGGATGTTCCCGACCCCGATGAAGACGATTTGGACGACCTGGATGGTGCGCAAGTCACTCAGAGCCCTCTGTGGCGGCTTGGACTATACTGACTCTGCTAGATATGCTCGACGACTTTGCCGCCGTGAATGTGGAATCAAAGAAAGCAGCACCACCTGTTGCGCCAGCTGCGAAGACCACTGCGGCTGGCCCAGGGAGGCCCGCGGCAGCTGTGGAAGATGATTCTGAGGATAAGACACTCGAAGAGATGCTGTCTTCCGACGATTTTGCGAAGCAGCTCCAGGCTGGCATGGCTGACTTGATTGGGGAATTTGAAAAGAATGTAGGAGACTTTTGAGGCATGTCGACAACGATCCGAACGCTGACTATTTTCCACAGCCCGAAATGCAGGCGCAGTTCGACAACGTTTTCAAACAGATGAGTGCAGCTGCTCAAGAAACGGAAACCACTCCCGAAGGCACGACCGGAGCAAAAGCGCCACCACCGCCAACCTCAGCTTCGTCTTCAAGCAAAGCTACCGTTTCGGACCCCACCGCCGACGGTTCTTTCCAGGAGACCATTAAGAAAACCATGGAGCGCATGCAAGCATCCGGACAGCAGGCGACGGCTGCTGCGGCAGAGTCTTCGACCGAAGACTTCCTCGCGGAGATGATGAAGCAACTCGGGGAAGGCAATCTCGAAGGCGGTGGTGGCAACGAAGAGGAGTTCTCAAAGATGCTCATGGGCATGATGGAGCAGCTCACCAACAAAGAAATCTTGTACGAGCCCATGAAGGAGCTCAACGACAAGTTTCCCGAATGGTTGGCAAAGAATCGGGAAAAGACACCGGCAGAGGATCTCAAACGGTACGAGGATCAACAAGCACTGGTTAAGGAGATCGTGGCCAAGTTTGAGGAAAAGTCGTACGCCGATTCCAACGCGGCGGACAGAGAATACATTGTGGACAGGATGCAGAAGGTATGAATCCCGATCGAACATGGATCTTCACGCGCTAACAGCAGACAGATGCAAGCTGCTGGCTCACCCCCATCCGATCTAGTTGGTGACATGCCATCAGCGCAAGAAGCCTTCAATGGAGACGAGGGCTGTAATCCTCAATAATTGGACATCTCGATGGATGTCCCGTCAAATATGTTCCTACACAACCGATGCCTTGCCCCGTGAGTCTGCATATACACAGGAGCCATTCATGGCGTATTCCGACCGCCGTTTAATGCCAAACGCCAAAAAGCAACCCCCAGATCCCGAAAGCCAAATAGTCTCGAATAAACGCCACAATGCAGATAGACCAGCAGTAATCAGCACCATGTTTTCAAGACATGTCCATATCTTGTGAGGACGCGTCTGGCTGACTGCTTTCCTGTGATACCAAATTCATGAATAATGAATCGTAATCCTCGTCGTCCGACAGGCCATACGGATCTGATTGCATCATTTGTGAGGAGCCAGATTCGGGCTGCGCGTCAGATGACTGATCGTAGGACAGCAGTAACGCATCGAGCTCGTCCTGCTCCTCCTGGGCAATGGCATCAACCATCATGTCGTCAGCATCATCGGGGATGCGTTGCGCGCGCTCTTGAAGGACCGATGCCGCGTCCTCGATATCTGCTTCGGAAAATATCGCGTTGCCCTCTATTTGCTTGGCATAATGCCGTTGCCGCATGTCGCGATCCCAATCAGACTTGAGAAGCTGTCGGATACGTCAGTATGCTAGATCAAGAGTCAATAGCATCGCCACCACGTACAGTGCCCTCCATATCCCGCCGCTGGTATTGACGGTCGTCCGCGCGCTGCCTCACGTTTTGGAGGAACAGCTGCCGCCTGCTCTCCTGTGCCTCTTCGCGTTTCCGGACTATCGGGTTCGGTCTCGTAGCTCTTGATGCATACTTGAACTTTGGTTGAGGGATAGGCGATGATTGTGTGTGTCGTACGGTGTTGTCATTGATAGGCGAAAGTGGTGATGACGCGCGGATGGGCGACGAAGAAAGAGGCGAGGGGACCGCGGGCCTGAAATCCCATGTCCGGTCGCTGAAGATGGGTACGGGTCCAGCGACGGAGAACATTTCGGAGGTTTGGCTAACTTCTGGTGTCTTGTCTCGTTGCATAGAGCCAACACCGTGAGGCAAGTGGGTGATACTTGTGTGCAAAGTCGTGTGGTGTTCGTGCTGTCTTCGAAATAATGGGCTCTGGTGCTGAAGCTGTAGTTGTAGCTGTCGCCTCTTGCAGGTTGCTTAATTGGATTACGGCGCGGCAGGTGTCATTGAACGCGCCCAGGACGCGGTTGAACTAAAGATGTTTTGCGCCACAATACATGTGGCTTGGAGCGATGACACGTGAAATCCACTTTTGAAGTGTCCCCTTCCCGATCACCGGTCCAGTGACGGATCATGCAGAAGCAGTCAATTACGGTTTTCTGGGCTGGACCTCTATCCCGGCGGTTTCCGAACGGACCTCGAGGTAACGATAAACGTGGCGCTCGACGAATGAGAACGACCGTCTAGAGTGCCACCGTTCCCCCGGGCCCCAACGATATGGCAGGCGCAGGCGCAGAGCCAGCAAGATAAGGTAGAGGAAGAAAAAAAAAGTCCAGGAGAGTTGACTGACGACATGACATTCGACTAATTAGCTCTGGACCGCCCCCAAAGCAACTCGACCCCTTGAAAAAACGACTCCACTATCTGTAGCGACTGTTGGGAAGTCCATATTGAGACACGCCTCTTTGCATGCAAAAGCAGACACCGAATCTCAACATAAACTCGTAGAATGAGCGTCGGCGCAGACAGTTCTCCTGTTTGTCTTATCGTCGGCGGCAGTCGGCCAGCGTCCAGATGAAAGTCTTTACCGCCTTCTCGTTCCCATTGCGCCGGCTTGCCACTCGACGGCCATGGACATGCTCCAACTGTCGTGGAGGCCCGTTGGCGCAGCAGTCTAGCCGGGCACAACATCAGCAACAGCAACGATTTGGCAACACCGCACGCGAATTCTCCTCCACAACCACGAAGGGCGCGATTAGCAGGGCCGCACCGAAGACCGGAGGTGCTAAGAAGGGTGGTCGCGTGTGGCTACTTGCCTCGGGCGGTGGCGCTGCGACGGCGGGTGTCCTTGCGTTCGGCGACGATGTCAAGTACGGCTACGATGCGGCAGAGCGAGCAGGCCGTGTTGCAGCTGCGCTTGCAGTGTGCATTAATGAGTACGGATAAACCTTCTTGGAGAAGCAGACCTGTGTCCCAATTCGGTCTTTGCTAATACACCTACTTGCAGCTACCGAACGACTCTCAACCAGAAAGAAACGATTGACGACCCCGAACTAGCAAGCAAGATTTTGAAAGACTGTCACCAGCGATGCGCCGATCGAACATTGAAGGTCCTGGAGAAGAACGGTGGAATCTTCATCAAGTTGGGTCAGCATCTGGTAAGACCCCCTACTCCTGGGTTTCTTCGAGCTCTGGAGACTAACATGCCGGCAGAGTGCGATGAACTACCTCCTCCCTCAAGAGTGGACCAACACCTTTATCCCGCTACAAGACAAGTGCCCCGTATCGTCCTTCGAGTCAATTGAGGAAATGTTCCGCAAAGATACCGGCAAAGAGCTTTGGGACTACTTCTCCGAATTCTCGACAGACCCGATTGGTGCCGCATCTCTGGCTCAAGTACACACCGCTACAGTAAAAGATACAGGAATGCCTGTGGCTGTCAAGGTACAACACCCGGGACTCGCCCAGTGGTCCCGACTCGACCTCGCCCTGACACGGTTCACGTTCTCCACGCTCAAGCGCTTCTTCCCGGAATACGATTTAGAATGGCTCTCTAAGGAAATGGATATCTCGCTGCCGAAGGAATTGGACTTTAGAGAAGAAGAGCATAATGCTAATCGGACGAGGGAACATTTCGCCAAGCTGCCCAAGCACCCTCTCGTCGTTCCCGGCGTTCTCTGGTCAAAGGAGCGGATTCTGGTTATGGAGCGGGTATCAGGACACCGGTTGGACGATCTCGAGTACCTCGACGCCAACGGTATCGACCGAGATGAAGTTTCCGCCTGCCTCGCGCGCGTTTTTAACGAAATGATCTTCGGCCACGATGCACCCTTGCACTGCGATCCCCACGGCGGCAACCTGGCCATCCGGAAGAACGAGTCCCGACGCGGCCTCCGTGGCGGGCACAACTTTGACATCATCCTCTACGACCACGGCCTTTACCGCGAGATCCCCCGCGACTTGCAGCGCTCCTATGCCAAGATGTGGCTCGCCGTCATCGACGGGGACATGAAGCGCATGCGCAAGTACGCCAAGGAAGTGGCCAACATCAACGACGAACAGTTCCCCCTCTTCGCCTCCGCCATCACAGGCCGCGATTGGAGCGTTCTCAACAGCGAGGGCTCCGTCCTCCAGACGCGCACAGACGACGAGAAGAAGGAGATGGGTGACGCGCTGCAAGAGGGCCTCATTGTCGACCTCGTCCAGCTCCTCGGCCAGGTCCCGCGCATCATCCTCCTCATCCTCAAGACCAACGACCTCACCCGCAGCCTCGACGAAAATTTGCACACCCGCCAGGGTCCCATCCGCTCCTTCATGATCCTCGCGCGGTACTGCACGCGGACCGTCTTTGAGGAGCAGCTCGAGGACCTGAAGCGGCGGGGCTCGCTGCTGTGGCCGCCGAATACTCTGCGCCTCGTGTCCGCGTGGATCGGCTTCTTGAGGGTGGAGTTCAAGCTTGGTGCCTTTGAGTTGTATTTGAGCGCCAAGAGGGCGTTTGGGTTCAAGGGCGTTGAGTTTTCGGCTCCGGGCATGTGATTGTATTAGATACCTGGACATACATAGAGCTATAGACTTATAATTTGACTGTACTTGAAAGTGTAAATCGAAATGTTTATTGGGTATCTAATCGGATGGGTCTGCCGGCTTGTCTATATTACCTTTGGCCTAATAAGTTACGAAGTTGCTCTTCAACTGCCTGCTTCCAATGGTGACATCGGAAAAGGAAAAGAGGGTCCGAGGCTGAAGGATCTACTATCGCACTCTTTACATAGCCAACATGGCTCCAATAATGCCGAGAGGTCAATGTCAATTACACGCACCACAATGATCTTTACAATTAACTCTCCTTACAATGTTTCGATAGCTGTAAGTTGGGCAGGTGTATGCAGAATGTTCCTAGACTATCGTTCAGCACGATAGGGTCTCAATGTCTTGTATCATAGCTCATGGGGTTTAGGGCTTGGTTGAGCGTAAATTGGAGGCATCATCAATAAGTCATATCTTCACTGCTACTAGAAGAAATCAAACTGAGTTGACAATGCTCTCGTTATCGCCAGCATGCGCCGGACCTATTGACTAAGATACAACGCTCGACTCATTCATACTCGCTAGCCGGGTCCATCCAAAGCGATAAAGTGGGTATCGGTTCGTAAAAACATCATTTACATGTTGTCAAGACGCTCCTTAGCAGACTCCTTGGCCTCGTCAGAGACGTTGGGGTTCTTCAGGGTACTGGAGGCTTATTAGTGGCTGTCGCTTTAGACTGTCGAGGAAGATGGAAGACTCACGCCTTGAGACCACCGGCAACGTTGCCAGGGTTCTTCTGCTCTTCATCGCCAGACTTGGGGACATCGCCGCCGTTGAACTCATTGTCGAGGACCTTCTTGGAGTTCTGCTTGGACTCCTCAGAGGTGTTGGGGTTGTTGATGTTGGCCTTGTGGCCGCCGGCGATCTGAGCTTCGGTAGGCATGTTGAAGGTTGGGGGTTGGTTTATGGGTTTGGGGAAAGTTGTTTGTTTGCTGATAAGCTTTTTGCAGATGTTGAGGTTGGTTGATTGCTTGTTGTTGTGATGATGAGAAGATAAAAAGTATCTTCCAGAGGTGTTGGATTACCTCCTTCTTATACATCTTCTGGACTCATCGGTATGGAATCTTGTGACCTAGTCGAGGTTTGAGCTGCAGGTCGACAAACAGACCAAACAAAGCAAAGCTTCAAGCCCATTTCCCAGACCGCCATCAGAGAGCTTGCGGTAGTATCCGCATGTGGGAGAAGCGGTAGCTTCGACGTAATTCATGTCATCATCGATTCCCTCTCCTCATGTACATGGCGTTTTCACATCGACTTCACACCAAATGCCCTTTAAACCCAATCAACCATGATACAGAGCTTGTGAAAAGATACTTACCTCAACCCCCTCTCGCATGACAGTCTCACTTGGTAGGAAGAAGCTCGACATGGAATCAACCCATCCGAGCTACAGCAGAGCTACCGGGACAACGACCGAGCGGTCTGAACTGTATGGTCCTATTCCCGGAAGCTCTTCCCTCGTACATTTTTGATAGTCAATCCCTTTTGATCATCGATCGTGACAAAAAAAGTCATGACGTCCTTGGTTTTCTTTCCTTCTGGGTATGTTTACGGAGGAAGGAGTCGTCCCAGCAGCATGAGCGAGATCGAGATGGCACAAGTCGGTGCGTCGTGGCTTGAATGATGTTGCATGTTTGTTATTCCGCTACGCCCAAACGGTCGTACTTTGCGTGCCTGGAAGGAGGTTTTAGACATTACTTTCCGTAATGAGGCACACTTTGTGAAAGGGGTAGGTACCTTAGGATGGGGCGCCGGGCGCCAGGCGAAAGTGTGGAGGAGGGGCGGGAAGAAAGATGATAGATCGGGCTAAGTAGCAAGCTACTGTGACAGCCTCAACGTATCAGCCCAGAAGGGGGGAGACGAGCTTCGTGTGGTTAACATGGTTGGTGGTATTGGATAAGGGAATCGCAGTGACAGGCCTACAATCCCCCACGACGTTACACTTTCCAATTAACGGGAGACGCGGGGCCGGGGGGGCAAAGGGACGGACGGCACTAGGGGAATTCGGTTCATGCCCGTCCGCCCACCGCCGCCGCCCCTCCATCTAGATAGGTAGGTACACTTCCGGTCGATGAGGTGGGGTGAAGTCAGATCGACCGATGATGCTAGCGGGGAAACGGCATAGGAGAGGGGGAGCGTAGCAAATACTCCGGGGAGGTTTCTCTGCCGACAAGTTGAAGAAGAGTGGGCTTTGGAGATGCGGCTCGTGGTTGCAGGAGCTCGGAGCTTTGAGAAAACTTCAAAGCAAACATGGATCCAATGTGGAATCGCTGTTTGCTTCGTCGAGGCTCAAACAGCTATGCTGCTTTGGGGAGGCTCGTAGATCGATCTGATCTAGGCTACGTTTTCTCGGACGCCTAACCTTGCCGTCATGACCAAAGACCATCGTCATTATCTAGGCCGAAGAAGAAAGAAATGCTTAATGCTTGGTGCACTATTGCATCGAGTTATTCAACCCTAGCGGCACTTCAGTCAGTTGGCATCTACTGGACCTTGTCATGAGGATGCCAATGCCAAATTGCTGCGTTGCCTAATATGAAGCCATGGTGAGCTCCATATTGATGAACCTTGACGTGAATCGCCTGACACGGTGACAATGACAAGTATGGGACGAGATGCTGATGTAATGGGTAACTAACCCCGCCAAAGAGCTCACCCAATTGTCAAACCCCCGCCAAAAACATCGGAATCTGACATGGCAATCCGGGAAAGGAATGCAAGGTACCAAGCCATGCCCCAGACCTTGCCAAGCTCTCAGCCTCCAGGTGTTAGCCCGAAGCAAACAACATCAAAAGACCGCTTCTAGACCGCGCAAGGGGCCGAGTGCGCGGGCGGGGGCTATTCGGCTGTGTCTGGCCTGTGGACTGTGGGGGAAGCTGATCTTGTCCTCATCTTGCGTGAAGTTTAGGTTTGCAAAATTGGTGCGTTTTGAACAATCCCATCATAAGGTAACAAAGCTTCGCCTACACGCTAGGGGCATCACGGCGGTGGTGCCGCTGGTAGCCTGATAATGCGGCTGTGAATAAGGGCCAGAAGGTGATGAATCATCGGCTCTGGTTGGTGATGTCAATGACTGGGCGAGCTAGGCCGGGCCAAGACGCAAATATGCATATTGCGGAGAGCACAGACTCCCCGCGGCAGGAGCTTCTTGTCCGGAGGGAATGAGGGGATATGGAAAGACTTTTGCGTAATGATCGACAGGGGAAGGAAAATGTCAGAGAGGATGGTTGATAGATATGTAGAACCGTGGGCCCTATCGACTGCTTTCTCGTCACCCCCTTCAATCATCTCACTCTTTGATAGACAGACACTTGCTACTATGTTGGGCGATTCATCACCCGTTCAGGATTGAGCCGGATCCAATAAGTTCAAAGTATTAGTGCGTCCAGCCAGCCATATAAAAAGCAGCCCGTCTTCGGTGTTCACTCGACACCAATCATTCGACCTCTCGCTGTGCGCCGCTTGGAAACACGAGATTCTCAACTGCCGGCTGTTGTGCATACCTCAGGAGTCATGACACTCGACGTCACGTATCGGTACTGCTTGTGTGACCGGTACATCAGCCGCAGGATGAGATCCATTGCCTTGCATATTCATACAGAAGCAGCGTGGTTCTAACGGCGAATGAGAGGTGGATGGATATGCGTGCTTCCTATGGCTAGCAGGCACGGCAGGTAGGTCGACCGCCGGGTGATGTCGCCCACAACCCGCTGGCTTCCGGTAGCCAGTCAATACTCAACTAATGCATCGCGTCTGTTTCCAAGTGACACAGATTGGTCTGGCGCCAGAAAAGTCCATCTTGATACTTACACCTGCAGGGTAGATCGACCCATTTGACCTGAACGTGGTGTCGCCAAACTCCCAAAGTCTCCCAGGTTCATGACTAGATCCATGAGTAATTAAAGGGAAACTGAAGCCATTGCAGCAAACTCGATTGTGCTTGTGCCGCATCGCGAGAGGCCTCTTCACCATCTTCGCGATGATGTCTATTTTCGGTGATGCTGCATCTTTCAGGTGACGTTATCGACAAAGAAGACCACTGCCGCCGCGCCAAAAAGGTGTTGAAGTCGGTGAAGTCAGCCGCTCGGCTAGTGCCGCCGCGGTGCCCATGTCAGATCGGACTTACCGACCACTCAGCACCCCAAGCGCGGCTGTCAGGGACAAAGTACCCACACCTGTCGCGTGGCTGAGCTGAGGCTTCGCTCGGGCCCCTGCCTATCCCCAATCCGACTACACTCCATCCCGTCTCAGTTCCCCGTCCTCGCGTGACCGTCGGCATCCCATCGCAAACACCACCAAATCATCCTTTCCCCGTCAATTCTCACAATCAGCGTTCAATAGAGCCTCAGCTGATGTAACCACACCTCACTCCAAATATCGAAACGAGGCTGAGAAACAAAACACCACTCACACACCCACCCACGCGCATCAACTGCCGGCCAACCCCTCCAGAATGACATCACCAGACGCCCCCGAATCCCAACCGGCAGCCATTAACTATGTCGCCGGCTTCCTTCTCGTCGGCCTGGCGTGGGGCTTCACCACCCCCTTCATCCGCCGCGCCGCAAAGGACCACAACCCGCCCCCGCACCCCGTCCTCGACACCGAAGCCGTCAAGAACAGCTGGCTCCGGAGCCGGGTGTACGGCGCCTTCTTCGGCGTCGTCGACCTGTTGCGGAACCCGCGGTATGCCGTGCCGCTGCTAATTAACTTGACCGGGAGCGTTTGGTTCTTCCTACTTATTGGACAAGCTGGTGAGTATCCTTTTCAGTTCCCCTTTCCATCCATATCCTCTCCTTTGGAGAAGAAAGAATCCGGAAGAAAAGAGGTCCGTGTGAATAACGGCAAATGTGCTAGAATTGAGTTTGACGGTCCCCATCGTCAATACCTTGGCGTTCCTCTTCACTGTCATCGGAGACTGGTGGGTTGAGAAGAAGGTCATTAGTCGAGGTAAGTGTGGACTTTCAGAGACCGAGAAACCCCTTCGATTGGCTACGATGCTAATATGCTGCAGAAACCTTGGTCGGCATGGTTTTGTCTCTTTCAGGAATAGCGTTATGCGTGCATAGCAAGACGAAGTACTGATTTTGAGCCTCAATGATTTGAGGGCCCTTTCGAGAAGAGATACGGTGCATGTATGAGACCTATACGTGCTGATGTCTCGTTCAAGGTGCATAATGCAAGATATGATATCTGGCATTTCAAGCCATGTAGAAGACGTGTAAATATATATACAGTAAAAGCGAACAACGTGCCTGCGCCAGGCAGCTTCAGTCATCTAAACTTCTACCGTTCAAGATCCACCGCCCATCAGAAACATCCTCTCTGTAGTCGTTTGGTCTTCCTGGACCTTCTTCCCGTCCAAGCGCGTCCAGCTCGCTTGTGAAAACCTAGTAATAATGCAGTCCAGCAAAGAAATGAAAAAGCAAAGACATTATCGAAACGCTCGCTTCGTAAATGGTATCCTCCATGCGCCGTTTATGTCAAAAATCCCCATCCCCGATGCCGTCAAAAGAAACATTACTCTTTTTGTCTTGAATCATCGAACATCCCAGTCATCTTAGTTCGTCTCATGGATATCGTGACGGAAACTCTATGGTCGACGTGCGCGGAGCCAACGCTGCACACCTCGTTGGCTTGGGTCCTCGGCCGTCCAGCGGCCCATTGTGGCATCGGATGCCTGTAGTTCGTTGTAGATCGTCTCGTCGGTGATGGTAGCGAGCTCCTAGAGTCATCGTATCAGTCCAACGTGCCCCCCGTATTCTCAACGCTCTCGATGTATCATAGACTTACAGCTCGTAGCTGTTGATCACACGCTCTCAAATGTGATTGATTCCTCGAGTTCGGTCGCGCGCCCTGTAGAATTCCATCCCTGTTTGTGACCCATCGCTGCGCAGCAGCTTGTCGCAGGTAGATCTTTTGACACTCGTGTCTCCTCGAAAATGCGTCAAGCAAACATCTGGCCAAAGTCAGCTCGCGTGCCCAAGTCGAGTCAGAGAGAGATATCCTCACTGCCTCAGCTCCGCTTTCTCCTGCTCAAGGGTCCCGCCGCTTGCTTGTGGCACGCTGGTGTCGGCGGCGCAGTTGAGAATGTGCTGCCCGTCAAGGGAGCATTGGCGCAACGCCGCCCAGCCTTCTGTGTAGTAGTCCTCCATGTTGTTGGGATCTGTGGGTGCTGCCGCGATGTAGTACTGCAACGTGCGGAAATCGGAAAGGACTTCGGCTACTCTCGTCGTTCGGTAGTCGTTCACTGACAAAAAGATTAGATTCAAGCGCACCAAGAGAGCCACTGCCATCCGGAATACATCTGATAGAGCGTCTTTGCCGTAGGAGAACTTACATCCGTCCATTGTGATAGCACATAGGGTAGATTAGTGCTCTCAGTAATCCAAGGAAATCCGATGTTAAGGAAACGGGCCGAGTAAAGTGAAAGATAGAAAGATTAGTGCCAGATTAGCGAACGAGAGGCTATTACTTTCGAATACCATGAAACACTGGATGGAGCATGATGATCGACATCAAACTTCGAACGCCACGCTCTTTTCCTTTTGTATGTTCTGGACGGCCTCCAAAGGACACGAGAATTCAACCGCGAAAGTTTACGGAGCGTAGTCCGAATCAAGGTCAAGCCTGGCTCCCGTCAGGAACCATGAATGAACCACGAATGAACCCATGCCCGGGTCCTTCGAGCGGAGGGAGCCCCATAGGGATGCATGAGCTCATTGAGAGGGTTGTGTCCAATGAACCCTTGGTTCATCTGGATTGACACCCACGGCCCTCCAGTTCGCTGATGGGGCTAGCTGGCGAATCTGAAAATACACGCCGGGTTCCTGGCAGTTGGGATGGCTTTGCAAGCTCAAAGCTAGACGGAGACCCTAGCCAAGCTGGTGGCATACCCCCGGTTCCCGGTGAGATGATGCGACAGAGAAAAACTTCTCTGCCTGTCCAGGAGGCCTTGGAATGATGCCAACTTGCATCTTGAAAGCCTGTAAGACCACGTTCCAGCCCTGGACGGCTATCATAATTGATGATAGTCTGGCGTGTAATGCGGTCAGGTCAGCATGGGAAATCATGGCTGCAGCCATTCACCATGGCCCGGACAAGGCTGCATGGGATGTGAGACCTGCCGGGGGAGAGGGTGGGAAGATCTGGGACGGTGGGATGGAACACATGGTCTTCGTCGGCAGGCCGGGGGGGAAGACAAGTTGGGATGACGAAGAAAAAACCCGCCAAAAAAACCAAAGAGCCTCCATCCAGCCCATCGCAAAGTGAGTATTTTCTCCGGTAGAACGGACAGGTCGGTAGCAGGGATGCGGAATAAGGTAAGGCTGGTGGATCTTCAGCTGCATCCACATCAGACTTGGCGGCCGGAATAGGAAACGGGCTGGAGCTTTGCATGCAGTGCTGCTCCACAGCTTCGTGGCTTGACGGGGATAACAACCAATCAACTGTCGAAACCGTGACGTTCGCCGACGACTGGCACGTTTGGCACGTTTTGTTCCAGCTGAACCAGTATCGTAAAACCGTCACCCACATTAGGCCCCCGTCCCCGTTACCCTTTGTGACTTAGCAGAAGGCTGACTGGGAGACTCGGGAGGTGTTTTCCTTACGGCACTCGATTGCTGTGAAAGGACTGGTCGGGAGCCTTTGGGGGCTGATATCTCCAGCTCTGACTCGGGACGCCATCTTCCTCGACAACCGTCATCCTTGTCTCGGCCTCGTGAACTCTGCAGCCCCCAATAAAGGAAATATGGCCTTGCATTTGCACAGCATTTCTGACTTCGGGTCGCTGAGCAATCAGACGCTCCCAATGGTCCAACCTGCTGCTATCAGCATCATTTCCCATATGCAATTTTTTGCTTTTTTAGAAAGGTCGACTCACTTAATACCACTGGCCGCCCTATGAGACCGTTTCACGACACCATGACAGCCTCATGGGAGTATCCGACGCCCGTTCTTCGATATTGCTCCTCCAGTTTGACTGGGCTAGATGAGCGCTCATATTTTCTGCTGTCTCATACCTCGTCCAGGTAATGTCCGGCGCAAACTCCGTGAATCACGATATCCGCTGGACTCGGGCAAGCCATGACTTTCCCACATGCCTACTCGGTCAGCACTCAGCCAAGCCACGAGTCGCATAGCTCGCATCGATAATCATGGGGTTTATCATGGCGGCATCTTCCAAATGTCTTGATCTATAGTGATTGGTAGGCTGGCTAGTAATACAATCGTGTGCGGGGATCTCGGTTCGTAGGACTTTAAGCTTGATTCTCATCTGCAATATCCCGCAAAGCTCATGCGTGATCTGACCTGTCAACGAATCAGTGTCGCTTTGGACTGAGCATCCGCTGCACCAACTATCCCCAGCCTCCACCGTCCGGAATGTGTTTCTTCCACCTCAGTCCTTCTCCGCAATCGCCTGTAACCGCTCGTCGATCTCATCTTCAGTCAGGATCCGGAAGCCGGAATCCGTACCTTCCTTGCCGTCCGCACGAGGTCCCCCAACAATGCCGATCTCGATCTCGCCCTTCTTGAAGTCCATGCTCAGGACAGTGCTGAGCGTCGTGATAGCGAGCTCAACAACTTCCGTCCAGTCACCAGGGGCGGCCTCCTTGTTGCGCAGCTTCTTCTCCAGGTGGTTGAGAGCCTCCTGCTGCTTGGGACCGGCCGCAGTACCCTTGTAGCCAATGTAGTATCCGGCGGGATCGCACTTGAACAGCTGAGGTCCGAACTCAGAGTCCAATGAGATGAGCGTCGTTGCAACGCCGTAAGGGCGCATGTAGGCCTAGACCACCCGTCAGTTCCTGTTCACACAACCACCTCGACATTTGTATCCTGCTTACTCTTTGTGTGTAGACCTGGCTGATGTTGGCCAACCTCTTCGCCAACGCATCGGCGGGCATTTCGTAGCCGTACTTGTAGCGGAACTCTGCTGCCTCGCCCTGGGCACGCTGGGAGAAGGCGCGGGCGTCGGCGATGGAGCCCGTGATCACGCACCCAACAGATGGGGAGAGCTGGAAGAGATGGGAGACGGAGGCGGGGTCGATGAGTTTATCCTTGTAACTGGGTCAGTCCCTCTCCCTCTACTGGCAACTCAGCTGATTCTCGACCTACAGGGACCTTCTTCTGAGACAGGACAACGGCGCAGTCCTTGCCTCTGACACCTATCGACATGATGTTGGCGGCTGTGATTGCCTTGAAGGCATATTCTATTCGATATCGTATCGTCAGTCCCATCGACTACTTCCAGGCCAGGTTGAGTCGAGCCCCGCATGACGGCATCACCACAGGGAGGGGCAATCGGTTCGCGGGAAAGAAGACTGTACATACCGACTTGGTACAATCTTCCCTGCTCAGAGAAGATCGTGATGTGTCGGTCGTAAGCTGAGCCACCTGAATGAGGGAAGACATGTTAGCTATGGTGGGCATTTGCAAGGGTTGAGGCTAGCTATTGTAGGACGGACGTACCCGACATCTTGGCGGTATTGCTGTGGTTACGTTGATCAAATTACGTCGAAGAAAGTCGTGGTCGGTCGTCAATAGCTTCAAAGAGTCGTTGATGGGTGGAAGGTGGAGGTGGGTGTCGTCAATGAAGTCGGGGTTGAGCTCTAGCGGAGCTCTTGGATGTCGACGCGTTTGCAGGAGCTTGCCTGGAGCAGGCGAGGCAACGGCACCGGGAAGCTCCAGGGCCTGGGCTGGAAGGCTGAGTGGATGCCTTGCATTCGGGGTCAATCTCTAAGGCTACAACTATCCATCGACGCAAAGCTTACATAAGGCAGCTCGGGTTGCTCACCTTAAGGTAGGTCGCACGTGCTGGGTCTGACACTGAAGCGGCACTTTCCGGTACGTACACCAATTGACCAGGGAGCAGCGGGGCACCCCTGCCCAGTGGGAACGACAACGCATCTCTGCTGCTGCCAAATTTTTGGCAGGGCGGTCGGTATTCAGAGCCAGAAAAAAAAAAGTATTGGGACCATTCCCGATACTCTCTTTTCAAGTGTCAAGCACCACCCATTGCGCCCAATAGGACTGCGGTATACGAGGCCACAGCATTCCAGTCGAACAAGCCAATCGCACGTGGAAAACATTGAAGCGGCCCAATTCTGCATTTCTTGCTTGTCTCGTCAGGCCAAACACGCAGCAACGCAAATTCCGATCCAGCAGCGGCCCGAGGAAGCAGCAGCAAACCCCTCCCCCCTCCCTTCAGAGGAAAACCCGATAGACAAAGCCGAGAGGAAGAAAAAAAGAGGGTGTGCCCGCTGCCCGTCATGTCCTCCGCACCAAACGTCCCGGCCTGGAAACGATTGGGCCTCAAGCTCAAGCAGCCCGCATCCGGCGCAGAGATTGGCGGCCCTGCTCCTGCCGAGGGATCGAAGCCCAACGGGCAACAACACCACGACCGGGACGCCAGCGGCCCCGTCGTCAACGCCGCCTACGCCTCGCCGGCCGCCGCCGCCGCCGCCAAAAGGAAACGTCTAGATCAGCCTACTCCTCCCCCTGCGTACAACTCCAACTCCCCCTTCAAAAGGACCCGCACCGACGGCGACAGCAATGCAACTCCGACCTTGAGGAAGCAAAAGTCCGTTACCTTTGCCGACGACGTCAAGAAGAACACCTTCACCACCGCCACCGATCCCAAGAAGAACAAGAAGAAGAGCTCCAAGCCAGCGACCCAGCAGCCGACCGCCGACATCAAGCCCTCCCTTGAGTACCTCAAGAACTGGAAGTCCTCCCGCCAGACGTGGAAGTTCAACAAGAACCACCAAACGATCCTGATGAAGCGGGTCTTCCACCCCGACGCGATCCCGTCGAGCGATATTGGCACCTTTTACGAGTATATCCAAGACCTCAAGGGCTTCACGCGGTCGCGGCTGCTGGAGACGGCGGCGGAAGTGAAGAAGGAGGACGCCGAGAAGGGCAAGGCTGCCTTCCCCGTAGGCACGCCGGACATGGAGGGGAAGCAGTCAGAGTACGAAAAGGTACTGGGTGGCCTGATGCAGCTCGGCAATGGCTCCGGCTCCAAGAGGAAGCGCTTCGACGAGGCCGGCTTCGTGTCCAAGTCCACGGACGTCGTCATCACCCAGAGGGTCATCAAGCGCATGCGTGCCGAGACGATATTGGAGGAGTTGTCTGACAGCGAGGATAGCGACGCCATGACCATTGATACCGAGGAGACGGCCCCTCCTGCCCAGGCGGCTGCGGCTCAGGAGGAGGAGTCTGCAGACAAGCGGGTCAAGCTCAACGACGGCACAACGAAGGAAAAGGCCCCCCGCCGTCGCAAGAGACGTACCAATGTCGACGAGTCGAGTTCTGAGGAATCATCTGATTCAGACTCTTCGGATTCAGACAGCGATAGCGACTCCGACGATGAATCGGACAACGCGAGCGAGGTACAGCGCCAGGCCGCTCAGCGGGAAGCCGAGTCTTCGAGCGAGTCATCATCATCGTCGGAAGAGGAAGATGACAGCAGCGAGGACGATAGCGAGGAAGAGGAGGAAGTTTCTAAGAAGCGGACAGAGTCGAAGAAATAGTAGCATACCTCTTTCTGGTGTCTATCCTCATCTCTCTACTTACCCCCCCCCCCCCCACTACTCAGTACAACATCCCGATGTCAGGATATAAAGGATTGTTTGATCTATTTATTTCATTAGGAGCAGACTTGAGTCTCCATCAAAGGAATACCCACGACTTTCTACCTCCAGCTAAGAAGAATACAACCTGGTGAACCCAGCCTTGGGCGGCTGCAACCAGTTCCTCTCGTCATACTTGTTCCCCTCTCCCTCAATGACGTGAAACGTGTAAATGATGCGTCCCTTCTGACTCAAATTTTTCTCGCTCTTGTGCAGCAAGTTGCCGTGAATCAACACCAGATCCCCAGCCTTGACCTCCCCAGGCACATAGTTCCCCTCCCCGGCCTTTTCCTGCTCGCTCGCCTTCTCCGCGCCGTACACATCGCCAGGCGGGAACCGCGGGCCCTCATTGTCCACCATCTCCGTCCCCGCGTCCCCGGCCTTGCGCACGAGCCGGCTTGACACGGGTGCCCAGCGGTGCGAACCAGGCAAGAAAGAAAGACACCCGTTCTCGAGCGTCGCATCCTCGAGGGCGTACCAGAAGCCCACAGCGGACGGCGGGTCCGTGTACAAGAAGGTTGAATCCTGGTGTGGGGGCACGGCGCCGCCGATCTCGGGTTGCTTGCAGATGATCATGCTCTGTAGGCACCGCGGGTCCCGGAACCCGAGGCTGCGGGCCACGGCGGCCGGTTTACCCCGGACGGGGCCACTGCCGGCACTGCCGGTAGTAGAAGACGCGGGATCCGAGATGGCGGCAAAGGGCGGGGAGAGGACGTGCAGGTAGTGACCAATCTTGTTGATGGCACGGGCTTTGGGTTTCACGAGGTTGCCCTCGTCGTCGAAAGCGTCCTCCTCAAAGAAGAAGCGGACCTTGTCGCCCGAGGAGAGGAAGTAGTCGTCGCCGACGTGGTCTGCCTTCTCGCCGGTGGAGAAGCGTGTCATGGGGTGGTCGGCGAGGGAGAAGTTGTCCAGCAGGGAGTGGGTCTCGGCGAGGAGGCCGGAGACGGTGTCCGGGGATAGGGCGCGGGGGATGACGAGGTAGCCGTCGCGGTGGAAAGATTCGAGCTGCTCCGGGGTGAGACCCTCGTCTTGAGCGGGGACCGTCATGGTGATGAGTCGTGTTTGGGTTGATAGGGAAAAGGGGTAAAGATTGTCTTGATAAGATTCAGGACAATATAGCTTTTTTGATGGTCCCGGATGGGAGTTCTTGAAAGAAAACTTTCGTTTACTGTGAGGTTTGACGAAATCGCAAGGGCTTATCTGAGTTTCGCAGTGGCGCACCGTTTGATATTGGACGGCGGGAGAGATGGATATGTGAATGCGGGGATGCGGCGGGTCCCGAATACCTTAGCCCGCGCTTATCTACATCGCCTCACTGCGTCACTTTTCAACTAAGGTTCTACGCTCTCGGCATGATCAACACTATCATAGAAGGTAAAAGTCGTGTATTCTGTGTTGTATACCTAGATTATTTGGCGCATATACCAGATGCATCCACTCTCATCATCTTAAGCCGCTTCAAAATTGCAAATGTGAAAACTCCTTCATCATGTAAGCTAACGGGAAGAAAAGAACATGCACCCCCTTGAAGCCAAATCAAGACGCCAGTTTTCTGTATGCGCCACGATTCGGTAGCTGATTCTAAACTCAATCTTTGGTCGGTGATTATGTCGATTACGGCATGGGATCGTTAAGGAACTCGTAGCCCTCCTCTGGCGGGAGCACAAAGGCGGAGATGGCCAATCCAGCGGCACACAGAATCGAGATTGAAGCGCTCACGGTACACAGGATCCAAGAGGAGTCCAGCCCCCAGCCAGGAACCTGGAACTGCTCGTCGTTGTCGTAAAGGTATGCCTGTGAATAACGATATTTAGCCTTGTTTTCGTGTCCAGCGCATTGAATAGATCGCTTACCACAATGCCCATCAGCGTGAACTCGATAGCCGCGACAAATACCAGAAGCCCGCCGAGAACTGTCCAGCCGGTTTCGCGCTTGTATTTGCCACCGCCCATGATGACAAGGAACGTGACAATGGACGCGAGATGCAGGATGGTCGAGAAGGAGGCCAGGAAGCCAACAGAGCGCCACATTGAACAGAAATAACGTTCGCCATTTGCGCTACACAGCTCCTCGGTCGGAAACACCTGGCATGGCTCGTTGAACCCACTGGAACATGATCGATGGAGACCGATGTGTTTTGAGTATTCCTTGCCTTCGGCGGTCGTCACGGTGTAGGTGACCCAGTGGGGGAGCGTAATGGACGCAATAATCATCGCCGTCGCTAAATTGACATGTCAGCATTGTCCAATCTCCTTCATCTTTTCGAGGCATTCGTTGATGTTCCTCCCCTCCGTCTGCCATAGCTGCATGCCGTCGCAGGCCTCCCAGCTGAGATGCGCTCACAAGAACAGCGATGACGATGCTGGGTGGATCCCTCTGCTTTTGGGTTCTCGGGGGGGCGGGCGCAAGGCAAAAACTTACCAGCGACAAAGGCCACGAGGGCGGCGCTGTAGACGGAGACTCGTGTCATCTTTGCGAATCGACAGCTGTATAGAAACAGGTCACTGTGGAAGTGTTGCAAGGTCGTTGTTGTCTTCTTTTTCCCTCCTTTCTGCCTTGGGAAGAGAAGAAGATGGGTGAGGCAAGAATTGAAGATGGCCAAATTGCCTTGGAAGGAACAACTGGATCTGGGATGGGAAAGCTGGCAGCTGGGGGGGTTGTCTATCAGCGATTGGTGGTGGCCAGACCGGTCGTCGTTATGACACTACTTGCCTGATTCGGGAAGCCGTGGGCAAGCTTGCAACACCAGTTACGTAGGAAAGGTACATCTCTTGTCATACAAGACAATGCTGTTTATAAAGTACCTTTCCTCGACAGCAGGAACACAGCTACAGGCAGTTGCAGCCAAGAGTTGCAGCGAACATGCATGTCACGGGGACACCTGCCACACCATCCCGCCCCCCGTCTCTCCCATCCCATCCTCTTGCAGTGCTTCACTGCCACTGCTTGCTGCTTGCTGCTACGTCCGTCACCCTCGCATCTCACAGATCACCGACTGCCCACTCCCCACTACTGCAACCGCCGTGTTTCTGACCAGCAAAGATTCCATTGCTTGGGTGGCATCGCTGGCTTAGTGTCGACCCGATATTGTTAGTGATGGACAAAGCACCATCTCATCTTGCTTTGCCTCACCTTAGCGACACCTTGGTCTTCACCGCTCGATCCTGCACGGATCGCCATCTGATGAAAGCTCAAGCTATCGCTCTCTGCTACAGTCCAGCTTCGTCGCAGCCTCCTCTCTTTCCCACCAGCAACTCCGGGAGGAGCACGCTGTCAGGAAGACAGATGGGCCCGTGAGACACTATCCGAATGTCGTTGGATTCAAAAGTTCAGAACAGATGTTCAAGTCGACGAGATCGAGGCAATGTGGCCTTCTTATTCGACTGCCTAAACCAACCAGGCCTGCCGTGCTAACCGCCTGCGAACCCCTAGCTCTGTCAGACGCCTGGATCGTGGGGGTTGGGGGGGGGGGTTATAAACACCAAGACCGTCATCTGCACCCGCTCTATATCTAGCGACACATCTTCAACGTCGGTTCCTCGCACCACAAGAGAATTGTTGTTTGCGGCTCCGAATGGAAGATATGGCTTGTCGAAGGATACCTTCGTCGACAACAACTATGTCGGCCCCGGACTTACCTATTCACAATCTTTCCAATCAGCTCAAGCCCAGCCTCACGGAATAATTCGCAATTTTGCCCTGCTCCGATAACGACCGTGAGGTATTGGAGTGCGGTAGCCCTGCCGCTAAGCTGCCTTGGCACAAGACGCCTAACCTGTGCAAGCACCAGAAATTGAGTCCACGCCAGATCGCCGATCGTCGTTGAAATGCCAGACTCCCGAGAACTCAAATCAGATTGCCTACCCCCTTTCGACTTTATTAACACCGCTTGTCTCCATCGGAAATTCGACAAAAGGGTCGTCGACGCCATGGAAGTCAAGCCTTTCCTGTTTTCGGTACGTATGCGGACAGTGCGAGTTGCCGGCCGTTGTCCCAGCCTCCACGTGCTGGCAAGCCGCGTCGGCCGCTGATCTCACCTCGGTGAGGCCGTATATGTTCGGGCCACACGATATCTCCTGTTTGTTGGCCCGGGGTACTCCGTACAGTCCAAAGGTACTTCGTACCCGTGCCGCGGGGAAGCATGGGCAGTGAGGCTCAGGGCCGCGATGACAGCCGCGCCAAGCTGCATAATCGCAAGGAATGAACGATTGCGAAAGCGACTACAATGAGCGACAGCTTTGGATTGCTCTCGTTTGCTACGATCCATCAACCCTTTGGGCTCTTGAGTTAACTCAAACTGCTTTTCGCCAAACATTCTCACGAAACAGCACAGCACTTGCAACCCTCAAGTCACCAAAGACGGCATGGTCCGTCCAGAACAATAATTCTCCTTGGCGATGCGCAGACCTGATGCTGGTAAATGGTTGGCTCTAAAGCCATGTGCACCAGCGATCATTGTTTATTGTTGTGACTACCCTCAACTGCCGCACACTCGGATTTGGAGAACCGTGTTGCTCATGGGCACCTTGATTGGCCAAATGTTGCTTCTTTGACAACTGGCCAGTCTTAATTAAGAACACGCTGATCACCGGTAGCAACGTTGAACTGATGATGCACGCCTCTTGAGAGACTTTTGTGCCTCAAACTGATTGAGAACTGGGGACTTCACAACTGTACAGTCACGGCAACCGTCAAAAATACTCTGCATCGAGAGCGGATCACTACTCCATTCATCAAGCGGAGACCGGGCCTTTTGCGGTCTTGTCAATTGCTTGGGGCCAGGGTGTTGACTGTCAGTGCCCTGGGCGATCTGTCTACCCTAGAAAAAGTTCGACCGAAATCTCCGCTGAAATCCGATCCGCGATCTCAACAATAGGAAAACGGCGTACTCTAAAATGTCTTGCGGCAATGCCAGGCAGCTGCAGCAGCCAGCTGAAGCGGTCAAGCGGGAATTAACAACAAAAACTTTACTCGGAGCTTGATATTCAGGGGATGGTCGATTCTGACATATGTCAAAAGCACGCATCATCGCGAGGCTAGGCCGCATCGATATCCAAAATCCATGCTTGAGAAACATCGAGGGATCATAGACTCGCGGAACCCCACCAAAAGGACCAGGCTCGGATTGCTTGTGATGCCGACCTCCTATCGCGCTTGGGGCAAAGCCTCTTTATCGCCCGTGTCTTTGTTCGGTCTGTCTGCTCTGACTCAATTGCCCGGAAGCGGTGGCAGCGCCATCTGCGTCCACAATCCCCATCCTAGGGAAGAAGGCTTGTGTCGTCCCTGGCTAGCCAGCCTATTATTCCCGGATCTGATTACCAACCCATGCTTTCTCGGGAACCATTCACCGCGCTTCGTTCGATCACGCCAGAGGCAGGGCATGCAGAGCCATCCCTCCAACGTGCGACATGCCGCACCAATGTTGGATTTATCGGCCAGTCAAGGAACCGGATCGGGGCGAGCTACCCACCACGCCTGAAGCGAAGTCAAGGGTAGCCCCGAATGGAGGGGACAGCAATTAAGGTGAGTTTGGGAAGGTCACCTCGCTACAGCGCAGGGTGCTCGGTCTCTCTACAATAACTTACGTAGTCCATTTTGTCTTCTTCCTCTTTTACTCGACCGCGCGCTTCGGACAAAATCCCATAATCCCCCGAGCTGCGAATCTTGAACGTCATGGAGTTCTGTCACAACCTTGATCTTGACTCTTGCTGCTCCCCGCGACTCAATTTTAGGTGATTCAAGCCCAGCTTCGGTACTCTTCAAACGCAGAAGTGTCCATCTTTCTTTGGACTTAGGAACGCGAAGCAATAGCTTATTGCACAAAACTGGACCACGGCGGAACCTGGTCCTCATTGATCGATAACGATAACGAAGTTGACGATTTGTTGAGCGACGATACAGACATTTGCGCCCATACACGAAGCGCATTTCACAGTGAAGTTTACCACTCACGAATAAGACATCACAATATCAGAATGGGAGATCAACGCCATCACATGGAGCACCGGCCAGTGCAAACCAGCGCAGTCTTTGTGCTCGGCGCAAACCACTGCGACTCAATGCCGCCTCCCTCGCCTCCTTCACCACCAGTCTCACCCCCAGAAGATGACTTTTTGGAGGAATTGGAAGAACTCAGCCTTGGATCGCCCGACGACCTCCCCGAGAGCGATGACAGTTCCGCCAAAGTCCAGGATAGACTTCATGCAGCAACACACGTTCTCAAGACAGAAGCCGCAGCACTCCGGTCAGTCGCAAACTTATACGAGACAGATCCCGTTGCCCGGGACGGCTTCAGCAGAACAGTTGCGGCAATCACACGGCACAAGGGTGAGAAGGGAAAGCTCATCATCACCGGTGTTGGAAAGTCTGGTCACATTGCGAACAAGCTCGTTGCGACTTTCAACAGCCTTTCACTCACATCCGTGTTCCTGAACCCAATTGATGCTCTCCACGGCGATTTGGGCATTATCCAGAAGCACGATATTCTTCTCTTCATCACATTCTCCGGAAAGACTTCAGAACTTTTCAGCCTATTACCACACTTGGACAAGCCGTCATCATTAGTCATCCTCACCGGACATACGAGACCTGACACGTGCGAGCTTATCAAACTCCGACCGGATACGATTCTTCTCCCAGCACCAGTCCACGAAAGTGAGACATCGTCGTTTGGTGTCTCGGCTCCGACAACGTCCACAACGGTCGCCTTGGCCGTCGGCGACGCGCTTGCCATTGCCGCCGCGCAGGAGCTGCACCCGAGCGTCGCACAGGTGTTCTCCAAGAACCATCCGGGTGGTGCGATCGGCGCCGCGTTCCGGAAACCTCAGACGATCCTGGACTTGGCCATTCCCTGGGTCGACATTGATGACTCGGAACATCTCTGTGCGGACACCAGCGTCGGCGCGGACCTCTTCCGTGCCGCGTACGACTCGCCGTCGGGCTGGGTCCGGGTTGGGAATGATGTCGCATCGCCGAGCCGCATCAGAAAGTTGGCGACGATGGACTTCACACGTTCTCTGAGAGACATTCCCCATTTGATGGTGCCGAGGGCGGAGATGCTCTCCATCTCCTCCGGGACGACGATACGTCGCGCCGTGGACTTTGTGAGAAGCATGCAAGGTGCCGCCGATGACGGCGAGTACGTCTGCACCTCGGGTTCTCTCCTGGCCGTTTTGGACCAGGGCGATATGGTTGGCGTTTTGGAAGCTGGCAAGCTTTTGGAGTGGAAGGATTGAGAGGCGCAATTTGGAATTTACTGTAGGGCATCTCGCGTGCCCATTGGAACGGCATGTACGGGACCGGATACGGAACTTGTTCTCGTTCATATCTGCCCTTGCTGGAGGTATGCGGGCGGAGCGTTCATTTGATCGGAAATCATCTGGGAGAAAATTGTCTGGCCTCTTGAAGTTGGCTTTACGACACTGTCTTTAGACACTGGGAAACTGGATCAGGGCCAAAATTGAGTCCGCTGAGTGGCATGGCGACTATGCCCAACTTTTTGCGTTCCAAACCTCACCTAGTGAACTATGTTGTCCCGAATGTGTCCATGACAACACCCTAGACCCATTGATACCGTCTCCTATGCGTTTGGGTTGGTGCCCAACTATCCTCAGGCTCGCTCAGCAACAACGTTATCAGGTAACTTGCAAATTTGAGCTGAGTTGAACTACAGGCAACATCCCTCCTACGAGCTCAGCGCGTCATCGAAGATGTCTACCTACCTACTGCAGCCCACGTTTTCTCTTCGGGGTGTACTCCGTAGCAGGTACTCTTCAGTACTCCATGTAGAGTAAAAGGTCGGGAAAAGCCCACAACAAACGGATAGATATACGGGTACTCCGTACAGCAACGTGTTGCGTAGAAAAAACTCTTTTCACAAAGCGGTCCCAACCTCCCCTCGGTGATGCCCAGTCAGATCAACGAATCCACTTTCAGGCGTTGGGGTTTTTGGGAAGATTGCCCGAGACTCCATCTTTACAGTGTGAGGATACATGGTTACGATGGGCATCAACATGAACAGAAACAGGTAGAATGCCATCACTGGAGAAGGGAAATCTTGGAAGAGCGAATTATTCACGTATCGAGGATCGGAATGTACTCCGCACATGACGCGCGAGAGGATCTAGATTGGGGCCAGGATCCCAGCCCCCTCCAGGCTCCGCTATCAAAGGAGTCTCACGGTATGGGAGTCAGTTCTTCTCGATTTCCGCTCCGCATCGGATCCGGCCGAGGAATGCGGAAATCGGTGGCACGAGGGCCCGGAGCTGTGTGATCGGGCAGAGGTGGGGGTTTGGAGGGGGGTGGGCCGGGGGAAAGGAACTGGACTCTCCGTGGACTCGGCCGCTGGTTGCGGTAATTTAGTATCGTGTTGCTCCGATGACGATATTGCCATCTCAACGGAAAGCCGAGTCATATGCCCAGGCTGGTAGATAGGGGTTATAGGGAGGACCAGAATACAATCAGGAAGGGGAAATGCACTCGAGAAAGGCATCTGAATCGCACGGTGTAACTTGTGGTGATGATGGCTTCGAAACCCGTTGACGCACCATACATCTTCCACAGCAACGATGCGGGCAGCAGGAGAAAACGTTCCTAGTTCAGGTTGGTTGCTATGGAAAGTGAGACGACTTGGTAGCTGCACCAGAAACTTCTAACTCCCTCCCCAAAAAGGTAGAAGAAGAAAAAAAAGGAAGACCAGACGAACCACCTACATTAGCGGGCTTCTATCGTTCCAAGAGAAGCAAAAGAAAAAGCTACTAAAACACGGGCACTGTGCTATGTCAAGCAGTGTCCTTTGTTCCCTTTTTTTTTCTCTTTTTCTTTTTTCTTTTTCGCTGCGCTAGGCAAGCTTGACCCATTGACCGTTGGCCCGAGGACAGCGCGACGGAACCAAACGTCTGGATGAGCTAGAAACGAAACATGGCTGGTTTTTGTGTGACGGCTCTGGAAGATTGAGAGAGACGTTCGATATGTACGGAGTACAAGTCTGTGGTTTTTGGGGCTGAGACAGACTTACGTGTTATGCATCTTTACTTACTACTCCAACGGAAATATGCGTCGTTGTCTGAGGATGGATCTTGATGGTTTCTAGCGACCGGGGAGGGGCGAAGGAGACTCATCGTCATTGTACATGCCATTGCGTGGATGGACGAGCGTCTAGAACGTCTTGATCAACATTTGCGGAGAGTCGTAATGATGTACGCAATCCCGCCATCCTACACGGAGGATTATGTAAGTAGATACGATAAAGTGTCTCCAGAACACATTCGATTCGATGCGGAGGAGTGATATGCCGACGGGGAGTTCTTGAAGAAGAAGCTGCATCGATCATTCTATTCTAGCGGACGGACCCCACTGTGAAGGGTGATCTTTTCAATTTGACGGGATCGCGAATTCTTCTTTATTTGTTTAAAGCTTAAAAGATGAGCGACGGGCCGATCGATCCGCTGTGGTTCTTTTGATTTTCTCGTGCTTCTATTTTGGTCTCCGCGGGGAGGGGGAGGACGGGAGTCGTCAGCGTTCAGCTCTTGGCGGAGGGAGCTTTGGAGCCGTACTCCGTAAGAAGCCAGAGATGATGTCGTGAACGCGAAAGTCGGAGTTTCTCTGATTGGCGGTTTCGGGCTTTTCTGGGGAATGCTTCACGTTGACGGGCCCTGCTTGTTTCGCCTTTAATCCCAATTGTGAATCTCTCATTGGGGCGGCGTTTTGGCGAGTTGGGGCCCATTGAGCGCGTCAGCCAGTGAGGCTCAGTCCGGGATGATGTGCATGTACCCTGCTTGCAGCTGCGGGCCATGGCTAAAGCTGGAGGAGGGCCTGTCTGCGAGAGGTCCGCAGCAGAACTTCTCGCGTATCTGGTATACTCTAGAGTGCTTTTGGAGCCGAAGATGCGGATTGAGTTTCGTTCAACTCCGCGACTGTGAAGGATGCTGTCGGATTTCAAGTGAAATTTGAGAATGTCGCGGACAGACTGGTGAGGTGATTAGCGGTGGCAATGAAAGCGCAGAGACGTCAGACTTGGAGGTCGAGCTACCTTAGTTCAGACACCAACCACCTGTTCACTTGGAGAACCATCTGATATCCCGCAAGCGGTGCAGTGACAGCGCAGAGTTATGCAACGGTCTCAATCTCATGTTTCAACTTTTTCGACCACGTCGTCTGCATCAGTCTGTGGTCTTTTCTGTGCGTATTTTTCCCATACTGTGCCCACGGGCGATGGAGCGAGTCACGGGTTTGGACCCAATCCTCGATATTCCGTGAGAAATAGAGTAATCCGAGTGGCACAGTTCGAGAATGCCATATTGGCCTCTCTTTCTCTCACTTTAAACCCCTCCCGAGTCCCCTGTCGAGAGCCAGCGGAGCAGACACGGGAAGCAATTGATGGGGGCTCGGGTAGCATCTTTGACATGGCTTGTCGTCAAGCGAGGCGAGATGGCCGGCGGTAAGGACCGTGAAATGACGGCAATATGAGAAAAAAAGGTTTGGGAGGGGCGCCTTTTCGGAATCTTAAATCCTTGCTATTCAGCTCGCGTACCCCTGTGCTACGGCACATGAACTCTGTAGCAGTCGAGGACAACCTCTCAATGTCCTGGGGGTTCCTGGTATTGAAAGCCCTGCCAATCTTCGAGATGAGGGCGATAGAAAAAAAGACATGGCCTGGACGTCTGTAGACATAACCAGCCTCCCGGATTTCTCGTCGAGTGATACGGCCCAAGATGGAGTGCCGAACCATGAGTGGCATGATTTGTTGGCTCTGCATTCATCTGCATTCGTCTGGGGGAGGCATTCATACCATACCTTGGTACTCTGTAGACTGCAGTCTGCCAGGCATCGGTCAAATGTCACTCGGTGTGCTGCCATCTCCACTTGACATGTTGAACCCCGAAAAAAACAATGACGGTTTCCTTGATCCGTCGTCTCAGACCGGGTGCCGGCAAGCCCGCTTCTGGCGTTTGTTTGGTTCATGGTGCCTGGATTCTGAGCTCTGGACTCCTGGAGTACTTTCGTACCTGAGATGGTGGGAAAAAAAAAAAAACCTGTCATGGTGAGAAACAGTTGCAAGCGGTTGCAGCATTTTGGTGGCATCGTCCCCCCCAGCCCGACCAGCCACAACATATTCCCCAATCCAGGTTGGCGGTGGAGCACAGGTGGGGAACACGTCGCCCCTCATTCGCCCAGCCACCACACGCGCGGCCCTGGGACGGCCCCTGCACGCACAGTGTGGTCCACCTCTGGTTTTTCTGGCCGATGGGAGTGCCTTGGCGCAGTCAATCCAGTCTGCTAATCGCTTGCTATTCGCAAGGTACGAAAGACGGATACGGAACTTGTGAACATCTTGACGGATACCTTACATCAGGTTAAGCCCAGCCGAACCGGCCAAACGCAGGGCGTACATAGTAAAACTTTGGAGAGCTGAGGTTGGACGGTTAACATCCCAGCAGTCAGAAAACGGGAAGGTTAGCAGCTCATACCCGGAGACTCGACAGGTCCAGGGCTGTAAGAGGTCTAGGTACCCAAGGTCCAAAGCTAAGCCCAGGACGAAAAGGTGTCATTCAGGTACCTTCACCATAACATTGTAAGGCGAGGTACCTTGGCTCGACAACTCCGCCCCACCTGCCCTCCAATTGGCATGGTCTTTTTGCATGTCCATGTCACCCGCCGCCAAAAACAATCCTGGAGCGACATCATTCATCACCCGCCAACGTCGCACCGCACCTGCTCAGCTCTGGCCGTGTCGCTCCCACCACCACCACCACCACCACCACACTCTCTGTGTCTTTTCATCTCAAACATACTCTCTCTCTCTCACGCTTCCACCTCTTTTCTCCTCCTCCACCTCATCCGCTGCCGCTGTCATTCATTCCTCGGCTGAAGCGTTGATTCACGTTTGACTACGTCCTCGCTTTCCTTTCCTTCTCGTTATCCGTCATCCAGATCTTCATCTTTTGTTCATCGTGTTGCTCCCGGTGCGCTCCACCGTCACATCTGCTTTCCTCGACCTCGATTGTTTTGATACCCGTCTCCAAAGGCCCCTCGACTCCCATGTAAATAGCTTCCAGAAAAGCTATTCTCTCTCGCTTCTGTGGCTCATCGATAGCCCTGATTCACTGCCTTTCTCTCGACTTGACATCATTACAGCGGATTTGAACTTGCAAACAAACCACTTCTTACAACAGCGCAGCAAACAGCAACCGCCAAAACACCGCAGCCATGGCGGCACCCAAATCCAAAGCTCACCCCCTCAATGGGATGCACACGGCCGGAATCTTCGCCGACCCCACCGTCGACGGTCCCTTGATTGGAACTCTAGTCGCTATTGTCGACCGCGCAAAGAACTTGCCCAACCGCAAGACCATTGGAAAGCAAGACCCCTACTGCGCCGCCCGTCTCGGCAAGGAAGCAAAGAGGACCACAACAGATATTCGAGGAGGCCAGACCCCCAGATGGTAACCACATTTGCCTTGTCTCCCATACTCCGTTCTTTTAACAAGTGACCACCTACTAACGTTGCCTTCTTAGGGATCAAGAGCTTCGTTTCGCCGTCCACGACTCACCAGACTACTACCAGCTCAAGGTGTCCGTATTTCACGACGACAAGAAGACGGATCTCATCGGAGAGACATGGATTGACCTCAGAGACATCATCGTACCGGGTGGAGGCCAGAATGACATCTGGCGCAATCTGGCGTTCAAGGGCAAGTACGCCGGCGAGGTGCGCATGGAGATTACATACTACGACCAACGGCCGAAACCCGAGAAGCCTGTCGCGAAGCCCAGGCCAGTCGACGCAGAGCCGACCGACAACTATGGCGGTACCATTCCCCGAAAGCAGATCAAGCGACGACCGCTGCCATCCGATCCCTTCACGGGCGAAGCTCCCGCCGGCCCAGCCCCGGATTTAGCACCAACCCCGCCTCGAGCCGGAGGTCCCAGAGGACCCAAAGAAATGAATGTTCCTTCGCCAACAGCTTCAGAGCTCAGTCTCTCGGGGTCGCGGCCAATGCCCAAGGGCCCCAAACAGCAACAGCCTCCTCAGATACCTACGCAATCGCCTTTGCAAGCTATTGAGTACAACACCAGCCCTGCTCCAGACGCTTGGTCTAGCCAACAAGACTTGCATGCGCAATCACCCCAAGCTGCCTTGCCGCCTGCGGAAGTTACACCACAGCACACGCCAAGACATGAGCGCTACGACAGCCCTAGCTCCCACCATGACGAGAGAGACTACAGCCCGAGATACTCATCCCAGGAAATCGTCAACCAGGCTCACTACCGTCAGGGCTCCGAGCCGCCGCGCGATATGCTCTACTTGGAAGATCAGCGCCATGCTTCGCCTGCTGAGGATGATCGCCCACCACCTCCTCCCGCTCACAGGAGCCGGCACAACAGCGGGAACTCGCAAGACATGGTCGTGAGGGGGGCCTACGACACGCCTCCCAAGCCAGCTAATGCTATGAGGCAGGATGTCCTCAGAAATGAGGCCCATCGGGCGTCCGTTTCTACGGCAGCCTACCCTGGAAGACCTACGTACCGTGGCTTCGATTCCGCACCTGCGGTCACAAACGCGCTGCCGGCTCCCGAAGAGCGTCATCACGAAGCAACGCCGCCGAGACATCACTCGTATGATGCCCACGCAGAGTATAGATCTATGCAACCGACAGTCGAAGATGTGCCGGAATCGCCCAACACCGCCGCGAGTAATGCTCAACGCAGGATTTCTCGTGCACCCCAATACGATGAGCCAAGTTACCGCCAGGAGCAGATCCAGCCGCCACCGCAACAACAGCATCATCAGTCAACGGAGATGACTCGGCGCCGAAACTCCCACACGCCGCAGTATGACGAAATGGGATATGATCAGGGATACGATCAGGTTCCCAGTCCGGCGCCGTTGAACATTAGCGGAAGGGGAAGCGCGAGCTCGTCTCGCCAGCGCGGCCACTCACCGCAGCCGAGCTATGGCCGAGGGGACGAGATGGGACAAGGTGGACGCTACAGCACCTCCCCACGACCCGAGTTTCAGCCGAGAGGTGACGAATTGGTATTCGCAGGAAGAGGCGCCGTTTCTCCTGGCCACTATAGCACATCGCCGCAGCCAGACTACCAGCAAGATTATCAACCAAGAGGCGACGAGCTGGTTCTGGCTGGCAGGGGCAATGTTTCTCCCGGCCACTACAGTACTTCACCGCAGCCCTATCGGGGTGACGAGATGGTTCGCCATCAACAAGCCTCCCCTATCGCTTCGCGTGACTTCGCCCCAAGTCCCATGGACGGATCGTCTTACCACTCGCATTCACGAAGCCAGAACCATTACACCTCGCAGAGGTCCGAATTGGCAGGAACGCAAGTCACAGCTCACGGCATGCCCGCCGTGCCATCTTCTTTAGTGCCAGGCGTCGATCACAGTGTCTCTCAGGATATCTCAGAACGCATCTATGAGGAGAGACGTCAACAACAACGGCGCTACACCGATCAGAGCATGACGACCCCTACCCGCGGAAGACAACACAGTGAGCCAGTCGGTTACGACGGAAGCTACTCGAATCAATCGTATGTCCCACCAGGATACAACCATCGCTCTTCTGTGGCGTACGGTGCTCCCCAGCCTGACATGAACCGGGGACGGGGTGTATCGCCCAATCCTATGAGAGGTCGGGGTGCGTCTCCTAACCCGATGATGGCAAGAGGCGTGTCGCCAAACCCCCACGGCACCAGGAGGGGCGTATCGCCCAATCCTATGAACATGTCAATGGATAGAAGAGGAGCTTCGCCTCAGCCGCCGCCACAGCACATGAGGTCGCGGGGACCTTCTCCCAACCCTCATCACACGATCAAGCGGAAGTCTGTTAGTCCCGCGCCGCCTCCGTCTGATCATCGGAGACTGTCCGGCATCCCTTTTGGGCCAGATTCGTACGATGCTCTCAATCCGTCGCTTTCGGCTACCGGTAGCAACGTCTCACGGCCGGACCCCGATGAGAAGATCATCACTCACGATGGACGTGAGATTGACCCTTCAGATCACCTGCCTATGGACACATGGGCGCCGGAACCCGAGCCCAAGGGGCCCAAAAACCCAGCCACGGCTTCTGTCCGCTCACGAGCGTCACCGGCCGCCACTCAGGCAATGCCCCCGACTGGCCGCCGGCAATTGCGGATTGCAGGTCGGCCTCAATCTCAAGCATCCCCGGTCACATACGGTTCTGATCCGTACCACGTCCCGGGTACACCGCCGAGTGGAAGTCGGAATCGCTTGCAGAAGAAGACACAACGCATGTCTGCTATGCCTTCGACATCGCCGGCGGGTTCTAGCCCTCTGGCCCCTATCTCGTCACACAACTACCAAGACCACGGTAGCGACTTTACGCCACCGCGTCTTCCCAGGGCAAGCACATGGGACTACCCCAGTGAGAACCATGCACCGCAGTATGGTAACTCTCCTGGAGGTGGATATGGTGGCGCGCCCCCGATCCCAGCCAAGGTTCCTTTGCCCATCATGAGCGGCGCGAATGGCGACAATGAGTGGGCTTTGATGCAGGAAATGAGCCGCATCGACATAGGCGCCGGTCGCTCCAGGCGTCATCGTCACTACTAGGCGAAGCTGACACGGCGTACGAATGACTAGGTGATGTTTATACGGAGTCTGTGTAATTGTACTATATAATGGTAACGGGTTACGCTTTGAGAGTGGAATGGTTTCTTTTCAATGAATTGGGCAACACGGCTTGGGCTACGGGGTCGGAC